TTATCAATATAGTTTAATTAATAATTGATAGTTTATTACTCGTGTAGGTTCCAAGGGCTTGCCTCATGAGTTGAATAAAATTTAAAAATATAAAATTATTTTGGTGTCATTGCCTCGCGAGTTGCACCATTTCGCTGACACCGAAATTCCTTAGTGCAATACGATCTTTAACTTCCTTCAACTTGGTTCGAAGGAAGTTTTAAAAGAATTTTAAATAAAATAATTTTCGAAATCTTTTTAAATTAAATATGGGCGTAACATTTTCCAAAAGCACAAAAATAATGAAGCTAAATCCTATAAAAGAGAGGAAAAATGTTGAATTTTAAGAAATTCGGATTTTTGAATTTTTGATAATTTTCGATAATTTCACATTTTTTACCAAAGAGTCGAGACAATTTAATATGTAAAGTATTTTCCAAAAGCACAAAAGTAACGAAGCTAAATTCTATAAAAGAGAGAAAAAAATGTTGAATTTTAAAGAAATTCGGATTTTTGAATTTTTGATAATTTTGGGGCCGTACACATAATACGTCACGCGATTTTTGACCATTTTTGACCCCTCCCTCCCCCTATGTCACACTTCGTCACAAACCTTGAACCCCCTACGTTAGGAACGAAAGCAAAAATTTCTTTTTAAAAAGAATAAGCAATTGCTTTGCGTGTATTGCTTTTGTTTTTAGGAAAAAATTGCCTATGTAAAAAACACATTCTGCCTATTATTTATTTAAGTGCAGTTTAAAATAATGTATCACATTGTTGTATAATACGTATGTTATTAAACTATGTTACTGTTATATCACGTCCCAGTAACAGTGTTAATATTTCATTATATAATAGTTACATAATAATATTGTCACAGTGTGATATAATAATGTGACCTACTTTATTAATTATAACAAAATTATGTATTTATTATGTCACACAGTTTCGTATCAGTTATGTAACAATTAGAGAACGATGCAATAAGACAAAAATTATTACTCTGTGATGTAATGAATATATCACACAGTTATATAATAGTTATTTGAAAAAATTATGTAACTGTTATATCACCATCCAGTAACAGTGTTATATACCAGTGTTACTATCTCATTATATAATGGTTACATAATAATATTGTCACAGTGTGATATAATAATGTAACCTACTTTATTAATTATAACAAAATTATGTATCTGTTATGTCACACAGTTTCGTAACAGTTATGTAACAATTAGAGAACAATCTAACAAGACAAAAATTATCACTCTGTGATGTAATGAATATATCACACAGTTATATAATAGTTATTTAAAAAAATTATGTAACTATTATATCACCATTCAGTAACAGTGTTATATAATATTGTTACTATCTCATTATGTAGTTGTTACATAACAATATTGTCACAGTGAGACATAACAAGGTGCTTTATTTGTTATGTAACACTTACGTAACGTGTTTGCTGGGGATATACTTGAAATAAATCTTTTAAATTCAATTTAAAATAGTGTCATAGCAAAGAAGAATTAAAATTATTTGAACACAAGCTTTGTTTTTCAATTTAAAGTGTGGATTCATACTAATATTTGAAGCGTAAAGTGCCTATTAGGTTTCTGCTCACTTGGAACCGTCATGACGAAGCTCATGAAACTTGAAATACTTGAAATACATCTTTTAAATTTACGCAGTTTTTCAATGTTGGACACAAAAGTTAACTATAAACATTGCATAAAAGTTTGAAATTGTTTTAAACTTTAAAAAAATTTCTTAGTTTTTAACAAATTTTTTTTATTTCATCTTTTTGTTAACAAATTTATTTAAAATTTAAAAAAATTTTAAACTTTCATGCAATGTTCAGTCAACTTTTGCGTATAACATTAAAAAAACTGATGACATTTTAAGATTTATTTCAAAAGTAAAATCTCATGAGACTTGAAATAAATTTTAAATCAGTTTGAGCTTGGGTACTAAAGATTCAAAAGGTTGCAGTCAAATTAATTTCAACATTCAGGAAATTTTCAGTGCAGTGTGGTGAGTGTAACAAATATTAGGATTTTAAGAAGAGTATATTATTTAACTATTTAAGAATTTTTAATAATTTCAAAATTTTTGAAAAATTATATTTTTATTCTTATTAATTTTTTTCCACACGGCACTGAAACTTATTTCTAAAAATTTATTAAAGATTTACTTGCAAACTTAGAAAAATTTACTTGCAAAGTTTAGTGTACGCATCATATTTAATAACTTAATAATTAATAATAATAACTTAATTTAATAACATATTTAATAATAATCATATTTAATAATAATATTTAATAACTTAAGTAAAAAATTCCAACATCAAATTTCATATTTGATCGGTTTAAGTATCAATATTAGTTTATGTATAATTTCCTGTAGTTCCCGATGTAATTTAGGATAAAATTTGAATTTTAACTGTTTGTAATTTCTTTTCAGAAAAAACTTAACGGTTTTAAACGTAAACATAACCTATAAATTTTGTTGCTTTCAAGTACCTTTCTTCAAAGTTATCAGAACGCTATTTACAAAAAATATAGTTATTTTCACCTTAGAATCTTTAAAAAAGATTCTACATTTTCTTACATTTCTTATAGGATAAGTGTAACTTATTAAACTGCATACTTTATAATGTCAGAGTATTTTTGTAAAGACACTATTAATAAAACTATTGTCTGAAAATAAAATAATTCTGATTCTTACCTAGCTTTTGCTCCCTTTTTCATAGATAATGGCTTCCCACACGTTTGGTAAGCCCCTGATTTACGTTGTTTACTTCTGCAATATAGACTGTCAGATTTTCTTTTCTGTGGCTTGCAATTCGTACCTTTCGTAATTTTTTCACTTCCCTTAGTTGAAGGCACCTCCATGGTTATCAATCAAAGAGGATGAAATGGAGAAATATGCTGTTATTAACACTATAATGGCTACCACTCATACAGAAAGTGTGTGTGCAGGGTTGTGTATGTAAATTTTAATTTTTTTATCAGGTTGCAGAGACAAGACAAGTACGCATTTGCAAGCTATTGCAGAAACACCTTAACAGCTAGGTGTGAACGAGATATCGATATTTTTCGATAAATTTTTTTTCTACTGTCAAAAAAAAGGTGTAAGCACCCTAAGTCAGATAATAAGACAAACAGTTGAGTTGAGAACCTTATCTTAGTTTAAGATTTGTGCTTTTTCGTCAGTTTCAGTAGTTAGTTAGACTTTAGACTTATTTTGACAAGTTTCAGGTGTTTTCAGTTGTTCAGCAAGTGTCCAAAGTTTAATTATTTAATTAATTCTATTCTCAAAACGAAACGATCCTAAACTTCTCGAAGAAGAATTTACGTTAAGTGTAAGAAAATTATTTTTTATAAATTTTTTAGATTTAATTAATGAGTCTAGAAATTATTGAACATTATTATTACATATTACTGCAAAAAAATAAATTTTCTTCTATGTTACATTACTTATATAAGAATAATTTCTATAATGTATACAAACAAAACATACTATTATTATTTTGTATTTTGAATAGGTAAATAGTTTAATCATGTAGATTAATTTATTTTATGTTATTCTATACAAATTTCTTATATACGTACTTTTTTGAATTTTAGGTTAATGAACTATGTCAGCTAAAATCGCTAAAAGGGATGACTCTCCAATGCTTACTGATACAGAGGAAGAAAATTATATTTCACAAATAAAGTATCGTCACTATTCATTAAAGTGGACCATCAATAATTTCGACTTTGTTTGCAACACCATGAATGCGATTGAATCTCCAAGATTCCCTGAAGCACCAACAAAAGAAGGACAATGGTTCTTTCGATTGGAAGTCGTAAAATTGGAGCAAAACAATGACCAGATATTTAAAATCATATTAACCAACACATCTAGGATAAAAGCAATTATAAAATGTAATTATGATATTTTAAATTCTTCAGAAATCGGACCTGCTTTCAATGCTATTCTGTCTAATGATATTGACAGACATTGGACAAAATCAGGATCAGACATGTTTAAACAATTAGAATGGGATAAAGTAGAAGATAGAAGTGTTACATTAATTTGTAAACTTAGCGTTTTCGATTCTTTTAACGATATTATTCCAAAGCCATTCACTCGTTTTGCAAAAGCAGACAATCTTTTGAATCAAGTTGAATGTTTCTTTGACGATCAAGCATTCAAAGACGTTACTCTCAAAGTAGATGACAAAGAATTCAATGCTCACAAAACAATCCTAATTCTTCGCAGTCCAGTATTCGCAGCAATGTTCAAATCCAAAATGACTGAAGAGCAAACTTCAACTGTCGAAATCAAGGATATAAACCCAACGATTTTTCAAAAAATGCTTCGCTTCATTTACACTGAAAAAGTGGAGGATTTGGACGAGTCAGCAGCTGAACTTTATTATGCAGCAGAAAAGTACCAACTGGGAGAACTGAAAACGATGTGCCTCAACAGTTTATACAAAAATTTATCTACAGATTCAGTTATAGAAACCCTAAAACTAGCAGAAATTTTTTCAATCTTCGATTTAAAGCGAAAAGCTTTTGAATGTTTAGCTTCGAATGTAGAAGAATTAAAAGAAACTCACGAATTTTTACAATTGGCTGATAATTTTCCACATTTTTATACAGAAATCAACAAAGTGCATAAAATGGACTATGCTGTTCGGCATTCCGCATCGACAAAATATGAATTAAAATAATTCAAAGAAGTTAAAAAAGTAATTTTTATCATTATAATTAAACATCGTTTTATTTTATAAAAAAAAACATTTAAAATGTTAAACATTATTGTAGTATTTATCACTAAAATTTTTTAATTTACATTAATAATATAAAAAAAAGTATCAAGTGTTTTGTTCATTATCAAATCTAATTGTAAGTTGATTTTTCAAAAACTTGTAAAATATTTGTATTTATTATTTGTTCATTTCATGAACTTAAAAATTAATGTTTAAGGTTTTTTTATTTGCAAAAGAAAACAAATTTTAATTTTTTTATTCAGTATTCTTTTCCATTTGCTTCTGTAAATGGAAACATACTCAATCAAAAGGATTTAATTTCACTTTAATTTTAACCACACGAAAATATAAGAAAGATTTCGAATATAAATAAATATATTTTTTGAAATAACAAATTTTTGACAGACTTATTTTATATTACAGTCAAATAAGATCGATTTGAGTTTCGTTTCTGTATTCTTTTTTAAAAACATTTCTTTCTTTTGTCAAAGGTGTGAATGCACCCTAAAGTCAGATACATAAACAAACAGTTGAGTTGAGAACCTATAATTTTTGCAAATTTTTGTGATTTGTGCTTTTTCGTTAGTTAGATTTTAGACTGTTAGTGTTTCTTACAAGTTTCAAAGTTTTCAGCTGCATAGCACGTGCCCAAGGTTTAATATTATTTAATTCTCAAAACGAAAGGATCCTAAAATTTTCGAAGAAAACTATTTACGTTAAGTGTAAGAAAATTATTGTTTTTAAAAGTTTTAGTTTTAATTTATGAGTTTAGTAATATAAGTATATAGTCTATATAATATAGAAAACTTTGAAAGTAGATCTTAGGAAAAATAAGAAATATTAAAATTACAATTTTCTGTTAATAGGACAATTCAGGTAACATTCATAACCTATAAAATTTAAGAGATTTTTCGTCCTATAAATTGAATACCCATCGGGCATATAAAAATCTCTTAGTTTACTTGGTTTACTTTCTATTGTTGCATATAAAAAATCTTTAATTTCTTGGACTCAAATTAAAGTAAAAATTTTCAAGATTCCGGTTGATTCTTTTCAAGTTACATCAATCATAATGTTTTAGTTGCGATAAACATTCGTTTCAAATAAAGTATAACTTTTGACCGACATTTTTAAATAACTTTCTTGAACAAACACCCTTTGGGCGAGAATATGTTCCGAGTAATTTTTATACAAATGCAACGTTTAGTTGTTTCAAATATTAAAAATTAAATTCTTTATTTTTCTACACGGAGAAAATCAGAAATGAAAAAAGTAGTTGGACATTTTTAAAACACAATATGAATTTTATATTTTTATTTCATTTTTTTTGTCTCAACATCACACAAACTAAACCCCTTTTACCCTTTTACAAATGATTGAATTTTTAAAAAATTGAAAAATATAAAAGAAAATAATACATTTTTTGAAAAATACTAATTAAAAATTTTGAACATGATTGTTTTCTCCAAAATGTTAAAAATGATTTTCAAAAATTTTAATGTTATTATTTATTGTATGTATTTTGCATTTTCGGAAATATAAGTGTAATTAAAAATAATTGAAATAATAAGTTTGCATTTTTTAAAAATAGTCGAATAAGTTATAGTACCTATCCTATGCTTGGTACCCTAATCTGTTTTTTTATGAAAAATTTGATTTTATTTTATTTTATGTTATTCTGTACAAATTTCTTATACGAAATTTCTTGAATTTTAGGTTAATGAACTATGTCAGCTAAAATCGCTAAAATCGCTAAAATGGATAACACCTCAATGCTTACTGATACAGAGGAGAAAAATTATATTTCACAAGCAAAGTATCGTCACTATTCATTAAAGTGGACCATCAATGAATTCGACTTGGTTTGCAACACCATGAAAGCGATTGAATCTCCAAGATTTCCTGCGACACCAACAAAAGAAGGACAATGGTTTTTTCGATTGGAACTCGTAAAATTGGAGCAAAACAATGACGAGATATTTAAAATTATATTAAGCAACACATCTAAAATGAAAACGATTATAGAATGTGATCATAATATTTTTAATTCTTCAAAAATCGGACTTGGTTTTCACGCTACTGAGTTTATTATTAAGCTTGAAAGATTTTGGACTAAATCTGGATCAGACATGTTTAAACATTTAGAATGGGATAAAGTAGAAGATAAAACTGTTACATTAATTTGTAAACTTAGCGTTTTTGATTCTTTTAACGATATTATTCCAAAGCAATTGACTCATGTAAAAGAAGACAATCTTCTCAATCAAATTGAATGTTTTTATGATGATCAAACATTCAAAGACGTTACTCTCAGAGTTGATGACAAAGAATTCAATGCTCACAAAACAATCCTAATTCTTCGCAGTCCAGTATTCGCAGCAATGTTCAAATCCAAAATGACTGAAGAGCAAACTTCAAGTGTCGAAATCAAAGATATAAACCCAACGATTTTCCAAAAAATGCTTCGCTTCATTTACACTGAAAAAGTAGAGGATTTAGAAGACTCAGCAGCTGAACTTTATTACGCAGCAGAAAAGTATCAACTTGGAAAACTAAAAACGATGTGCATAAACAGTTTATACAAAAATTTATCTACAGATTCAGTTATAGAAACCCTAAAACTAGCGGAAATTTTTTCAATCTTCGATTTAAAGCGAAAAGCTTTTGAATGTTTAGCTTCGAATTTAGAAGAATTAAAAGAAACTCACGAATTTTTACAATTGGCAGAAAATTTTCCACATTTCTATAAAGAAATCAGCAAAGTGCAAAAAGTGAACAATGATTGTAAAATGAACTGTGCTGTTCAGCATTCCGCAGCGACCAAATATGAATTAAAATTTAAATTAATTTAAAGAAGTTGAAAAAGTAATTTTCATCGTTATAATTAAACATTATTTTATTTTATGAAAAACATTAAAAATGTTAAACATTATTGTAGTGCTTATCACCAAAAAATTATGATTTTATACATCGTTGTAAAGTTTGCGCATAGATTCAATAATTTTCTTTTATTACTTTTATATTGATTTTTCTTTATTTTAAACAAACAATAAAAAAGAAAATGTTTCATGTGTTTTGTTAATCGTCAATTCTAAATTGAATCTTTCTTTAAAAATGTATAAAATATGTGCATTTATTTTGTGTTTATAAATAAACTGAATATTGCATAAAGAGAAATTGTATATTTAAATTAAATAAGTATTATTTATATTGAGAAAAATTGTCAGAATATATTTTTAAAGAATCACTGAAAAAACATTATGCTTAATTCAAATACAAAAATAATTTTATATTATTTTGTTTGATTAAAATTAGTTTATAAGCTTAATCAAAATATATGGAAAACATTTACTGTCTTTATTAAAAAGTATTATTTGTTTGAATAATAATTAATAATTAATAATTATTATGTTTAATTCATACCTATATTCTGTTTTGGTTTCAACAAAAAAAAGACGGTTTAAAAATTTTATGTTTAATTCAAACTTAAAAGTTAATTATAAATAATTTAAAATCAACCTTAAATTATATTTGAATTAAATATATTATTTCTTTAAATAAACCAAAAAATATGTTTGACTGCGCATGGCAAAGATATTTTAAGTTTGATTTAAACAAAATTTATTTGAATAAAATAAATCATTTTCTCATATTGTGGTTTCTCGATAATATTTTTGGAAAGAGAGTTGTTATTAAAAGTTGTATATCTGGTAGAAAATTTTTAATATTATGTATTATAATTTTGATAAAATACTTTTCTTACCATTTTATTCAATTTAAAATAGTGTTATGGCAAAGAAGAATTAAAATTATTTAAGTACAAGCTTTGTTTTTCAATTTGAAGTGTGGATTCATATTAATATTTGAATTCTCTGGCTATAGCGTAAAGTGCCTTTCAGCTTTCTGCTCACTTAGAATCGTCAGTGTTAAGAATCTTTTCATGTTTTGAAATTCGTGTTTCTTCGACATTTTTACGATAGTAAACATTTAGAAAACAACTTTGGATTAAGTGGATTAAGTGTAAGAAAATTATTTTTTATGTTTTTAGTTTTATTTTATGAGTATAGTGATTTAACATAACGCAAAAACTAAAATTCTATTCTATATTATATATATGAGTTATTTCTACAAAGTAGCTTAAAATAAAAAATTTTTTCTCTTTAATGCAAGGAATATTGCTTAAGAATATTCTTTTAAATTGTTAAAAAAAGTAATTTTAGAATTTCACATAGGTTATTTATATGTTAAAATTAAGTAATATTTATATTAATTTTGTTTTCATTATTCTAAACAAGATAAGTATCATGTTTGACATATTATTGTGTTAAAATGTTTTTATTGATTTCAAAGAAAGTATATGGACTTTATTTTACATATTTAATATTTTCGTTAGGGTATAATTATAATAATAACTTTCTCATTATATTTTTATTCGAGTTAAAAGTGAGCAGAAAATAATTATTAACAATACTAATTGATTTTGAACATTTTTTCTTAAATTATTAGACTTTTTAATAAATAATAGTTTTAAAATTAAAAACAATTAAACATTCTTGATAACAGTTATAGTAGAAAAAATAATATATTTTTAATCTCAAGTATCAAGAAATAATCTAAATTATTGAAGAATATAAATAAATCAGTTTTCAAGATAATTTTAACAGAATACCTATGCGAAAACTTTGAAAACAGACTCTCTGAAATAAATTATAAAACAAGACAAATTAAGGAAGAATCTATCAAAACAATCGGAACAGAAGTTCATAATATACCATTTAGTTTATAAATTTAAAAAGAAACAAAAATTTCGTTGATGAAAGGGTGAAGGATTTAATTTTTTAATATTAAAAATTAAATTCTTTAACCTTCCGCATTATGCAAAACAAATTTAAATATTTAATTTTTATAATAAACAAATTAAAATTTATTCCGTATTGTTATTCTAAATTAATTTATATTATACTAATTTCAAATTATAGGTTAATAAACAATGTCAGATGAAGGGGATGAAACATCAGTGCATACTGATACAGAGGAAGAAAATTATATTTCACAAATAAAGTATCGTCACTATTCATTAAAGTGGACCATCGAGGATTTCGACTTTGTTTGCAACAACATGAATGCGATTGAATCTCCAAGATTCCCTGAAGCACCAACAAAAGAAGGACAATGGTTTTTTCGATTGGAACCTGTAAAACTAATGGAAGAAAGCAATGAATTATTTAAAATGAAATTAAGCAACACATCTGGAATGAAAGCAATTATAAAAAATAGTTTTGATCTGTCTAACTCTTCAGGCACTGGTATTATTGGCTTTTTTTATAATGGGAGTATTGAAATTAACATAAATTGGACTAAAACTGGATCAGACATGTTTAAAAAATTAAAATGGGGTAAAATAAAAGATAAAAGTGTTAAATTAATCTGTAAACTTAGCGTTCTTGATTCTGTTAACGATATTATTCCAAAGCCATTCACTCGTTTTGCAAAAGCAGACAATCTTTTGAATCAAGTTGAATGTTTCTTTGACGATCAAACATTCAAAGACGTTACTCTCAAAGTAGATGACAAAGAATTCATGGCTCATAAAATGATTCTAATTCTTCGCAGTCCAGTATTCGCAGCAATGTTCAAATCCAAAATGACTGAAGAGCAAACTTCAAGTGTCGAAATCAAAGATATAAACCCAACGATTTTCCAAAAAATGCTTCGCTTCATCTACACTGAAAAAGTGGAGGATTTGGACGAGTCAGCAGCTGAACTTTATTACGCAGCAGAAAAGTACCAACTCGGAAAACTAAAAACGATGTGCATCAACAGTTTGTATGCAAATTTATCTTCAGATTCAGTTATAGAAACCCTAAAACTAGCAGAAATTTTTTCAATCTTCGATTTAAAGCGAAAAGCTTTTGAATGTTTAGCTTCGAATTTAGAAGAATTAAAAGAAACTCACGAATTTTTACAATTGGCAGAAAATTTCCCACATTTTTATACACAAATCAACAAAGTGCAAAAAATGAACAATGATTTTAAAACGGATTATGCTGCTAGGTATTACGCTAAAACAATATATGAATTTAAAGAATGAAAAAATGTTGAAAAAATAATCTTTTTTATCGTTATAATTATAATAATTTTGTTTTGTAGAAAAGATTAAAAATGTCAAGCATTATTTGTAGTATTTTTCAACAAAAAATTATTTATGATTGTATGCATCATTGTAAATTTTGCATAGAATCAATGTATTGGTTCGTATTACTTTTGTATTGAATTTTTAAAAAATTGGGGAACTAACAATAAGAAAACAATTTTCAAGTATTTTGTTAATCATCAAATTTAATTTGAATGTTTCTTCAAAAACTTGTCAAATATTTGTACCTATTTGTAATTTTTTTAATTTGTATTGTTTTTATTTTTTAATAAACTGAATATTACGTAAAGATAATTTATTTATTTAATAATTATATAAATATTATTTTATATGAATCAGTTTACAGTTTATAGGTTAACTATAAATTTTTTTTTAGAAATAAAGGAAAAATATTTTTATGAATCACATTTTTGATTTTTTACCAAAGAGTGGAGTCTATTAAATAAGTAAAGTGTTTTTGAAGAGCCCAAAAATAATGAAGCTGAATCCCATAAAATATCTTATGTTTTATGAGGAGGAAGGTAAAAATTTGTTGAAACGATTTTTTATTGTATAGTCAAATTTATTCAAATGATATTTTTTTGGTTGGGATTAACATCTTTATCAGTAAACTTATTGTTAGCTATTTTATTAGTTGATTTAACAATGCTGATTACTGATTTAGCGCCTTCTGCGTTGTTGTTTTAGCGATGTTAATTGTTGTTGCTTTTGTGCCATTTGCTGGGTTAACAATGCTAATTGTTGATTTAGCAATGCTAATTGTTCATTCATCGCTGTTGGTTGTTGATTTTGCGATGCTGTTTGTTGATTTAAAGGTGCTGATTGTTGTTGCATCTGTGCTGATTGTTGACTAACTTGTCCTGCTTGTTGACTAAGCGGCATTGCTTGTTGGTAGGGATACTGATTGTAAGATGGAGTATAATATTGTTGATATCCTGGATAATAGGCGTAAGCGTAAGGGACAGACATTTTCTGAACAGGGTAATATTCATAATCATAATCATAATCATTATAATAATAATAATCATTATCATGATGATGGTGTTTATGATGATGATGATGACTCGGTTCACAGTCATCGCATATTATATATTCTTTATCTTCTTTTTTTGTTTCTTTCTCAGCTACAACTAGCACAACTGCCAGCAGTAGAAAAACTAAACCTGAAACAATTAAAGTAAAGTTCATGAAAATTTTAAATTCACTGCAAAAAGAAGTATTATGTCTAAATTGAGACAAAATACGAATTGAAACGTTGCTTCGCTTTTTGTCTCAATATGATATATCCTTGGAAAAACTGTGATGAAACATTTGTTGAATTGTTCTGAATTGGAAGCGTATTAAAACTTTTTATTATAATTAATAGCTTTTCTTTATAAACATTGAGATCGCACAGTAAATTGCGAGGTGTTAAAAAGTGTTGCAGATTAAATTAACAACAAAAAAGATTAAAATAATCAATTTTGGTGTTATTTTTTACAATGAATGAAATTTAAGTTCATTAAATTTTTTTATAACTATAAAACATGAAGATATCGATAACACCGAGTCTTCGACTCGGAGTCATCAATTTCTTCATATCTTATAATAATTAAAGATGAACAAGTAATAAAATCATTATTTTATATTCTAAGAATATTATACTTCTTCAAAATTATTTTCATTATTTCAATTCAATTATTATTTTCAAAAATTTTAACTACAATTTTACTTTATATCAATTATTTTTAATAACTTTCGAAAAAGTTCTTTTCCAATTTTCAAATCCATTTACTTACAATATTCAATTTCACGAAATTTCAATTATTCCTAAATTCTTTATTATTATTAGAAAATAAAAACTTCAAATAATATAAAAGAAAATTCAATTCAACTTTTTCAAAAACATTAATTTCAAAATTCAATTATTTCTAAAAATTCACGCTATATTGCTTTTAATATTCAATTATAATCTAAAATTTTAACTGAAATTCATTTTTATGAAATGAAAATCAATTTTTATTAGAAAATTCTACAAGAATTTAATTATTTAAATGCAAATGTAAATAATTTATTGAAACATTCAATTATGTTTCTCAAAATTCAATTCTCATAAAGAATTTTATTAACAAATTTTTTAATAATTGAATTCTTTTGTCGAATTTTATTAAAACTTGCATGAACATAAATACTTTTTTCAAGGAATTCAATTATAATTGTATGAAAAATAATTGAAACGCTGCGATTAGTTTTATTATTAGTAAAAATAATTGAATCCTTAAGAAGAATTTTATTACTTGTGAAAATAATTGAATTTCTGCAATAATTTGTAACTTTTCTAAAATTAAATTTTTTTCTAGTGTTTTTAACTAAAATTCTTCAATAAATCCATTATTTTTAATAATTTTTAAAAAAGTTCTTTGAAAATTTTCAAATTCATTCGTTTACAATTCAATTTTACAAAATTTTAATTATTCGGAAATTCTGCAATTAAATATATATTGAAAAATAATAACTTGAAAAAATTTCAATGAACATCTTATTGAACTTTTAAAAAGAATTAATTCTACAGAATTGTTTGTCAAAAATATGAAAAATTAAGAATTTCAATGATTTTAGTTTGAAACTTTTTCAAAATTTAATTATTTCTAAAAATCCACATTAAAATGCTTTTAATATTTAATTATAATCTAAAATTTTAACTGAAATTCATTTTTAAAACCATTTTTATTAGTAAGTTCTACGAGAATTCAATTATTTAAATACAACAGTAAATTTTTTTTAAATTTCATGTTTCTTGAAATTAAATTCTCATAAAAAATCGTATCAACAAATTTTTTAAATCATTAAATTCTTTGGACGAATTTTAATAAAATTTTTAAGAATAATTACATTTTTCGATGAATTTGATTAAAATTGCATTAAAAATAATTGAAATTCTGCAATGAGTTTTATTATTTATAAAAATAATTGAATTCCTAAAAGAATTTTATTGTTTATAAAAATAATTAAATCCCTGCAAAAATGTTATTATGTATTTATGAAAAAAATTGAATTATTACGAAAAATGAGAAAAATTGATGAATATTGATGAAAATTGATGAAAATTGATAAAAATTGATGAAAATTGATGAAAATTGATGAAAACTGATAAATATTGATCAAAATTGATGAAAATGGATGAAAATTGATGAAAACTGATAAATATTGATCAAAATTGATGAAAATGGATGAAAATTGATGAAAAATGAGAAAAATTCATTAATATTGATAAAAATTCATTAATATTGATGAATATATATAAAATTTATAAAAAAAATTGTAAATAATTGAATTCCTTTAAAAATTTTTGTTATTTATGAAAATAATTGAATGTTTGCGTAGAATTTTATTCAAATTTTTTTTAATAATGGAATTCTTTTGGAAAATTTTATTGAAATAGTAGATTAATAATAGATTATTTTAATCCTTTCTGGCGTTAATTTAATCCTAGAGATATTAAACTGTTGCATATTATTTTAATTCATTCTGGTGTTATTTTAACACCTCACGTTTTACTGTGTAGGCATTCGGATAATAGAATTTAGGAAATTTAATAATTAACCACTTGTAATTAACAAACTTTTTTATTTAAAACGTTGAAAATTTATTTATTTTATTTGAAAATTTTATCGCTTTAAATTAAAAGAAATAAGCGGTTTATTCAATAATAATTTTCTTATAACATTCTTTAAAAATTTGATAAAAATTCTTTAAGAATCATGAAATTAAAACTCAACATTCCTATAACTATAATATGATAAAACAGTTGATTTCTTGTAATTTTTGTAACGTGCATATAAATAATAAAGTATTTGGAAAATAATAAAAAAAGTATTTATTATATACTCACTTGAACGCATTGTTGGTAGAAGAGATGTTAGGAGCACAAACAGCACACTTTGAAACTCAAAAGCGAATTGCAATTCAGAAGTGACTAGAAGCTGCTATTTAAACCCCAAAGTTAATTACACCGAAAAATAGAAATTATTGTGAAAATGAAATTTTCATCGTTTCTTTAATTGTTTCCTTGGAAACAATTAAACATTTACGTTTATTAACAGAATACTATTAAATAACAATTTGAAAATTAGTTATAAGTGCATTTTCAAAATTACTCATCAATTTGTAATTCTATATTTCTTTATTTATTCTGCAAACAAATTTTACTAATTTGTTTACAAAAAAAGTGTTATCTCAAGTTTAAAGATTAAGCACTATCTCGATAACTTGTCAAAATTATCATTTCTAACAAGAATATTGATGATAAAAATTAAAAACTATTTATATTTTAGTTATTTTACATTTTTTTACCTTGAATTATTATTACCACATTATTATCTACAAAGTGTATGAAGAATTTGTAAATAAAATGATTCATGTAAAGTGAAGGAATAAATTGGAAGAGGTTTTAGGATAGGCTCTCTTTATCGCTTGTGTAAAATTTTTCTTGCCAACTGTAAGTTTGATCCAGTTGTAAAGACGTTTAACACCTGTGAAGATAGTTAAATTTTGAGAATTTGCATCACAACTATTTGGATAAATAGCGAATCCAATTAATTTATTTTTCACGATTAATGGATCTCCTTGATCGCCAGGACACATTTGAAGATTCGTTGATATTGAAAAGTAGGCATTTGATAATTCAATGTCCCTTGTGTTGAGACGCATTGTTTTACGTGAGAGAATTCCTAAACTGTTTTCTCTATTTCTCTGTATTACGACATAATAAAGAAAAAATATATTTGCGATTGGTGAAATAATTTATCATTTATATAATTTATAATTTTAAAATTTTAAAATCTGGTTTTAAACTCACTTGACTATATCCATAACCCATTAGAGTAAACTCTGTTATTTGATCCATTATTACCTCATTCATGGCAAATAGAGCTATCGGTCTATGACGATAATTGAATGCAATTTCTTTCTTCAGCTGAAATAAAAAATAAATATAAAATTTCTTGCAGTAAGTAACATTTAAAATGTTGGTATTAGAACTCTTAAAAAATTAAACATTTGTAAAAATTTTGAAGAGATTTATTAGGTTTAAAAACGAAACTTGATTCCAGCCTTTGCACTCGATAATTAATTTTTAAAAAAGTAGCAAAAATTAGCAAAAAGTAGCTTTCAAACTAAAGTTTGAAAGAAACTTTTTTAAAGAAAGTAACTATCGAAAAATTAAACTTGACGACCAAAAAAAAATAGTTCTAGATACTTCACAAAATTATGACAAAAATTACATTCCATATTTCTTATTTTTCTCACTTTTTCCTAATTTTCATCAAAAATATTTACTTCTTTCTTATTCTACTGCTAATAACTTCAATTCCTGCAACGAATTTTATTATTCATCAAAGAATTTAAATATTTATAAAAATAATTTAATAAATTCTTGCTAAGAATTTAATAGAAATTTTTAAATATTTTAGTTCTTTCGACTAATTTTATGGAAATTCTAATTTAAAAAATTGAATTCTTACGAACATTTTAACAAAGTTTTTTTTAAATGATTAAATTCTGTTTGGCAATTTTATAAAATAGTAAATATTAAAAATCATTAAATTGCAAAAAGTTTTAAAAAATAATTAAATTAAATAATTAAATTTTAATTATTTTTGAGAATAATTGAATTTCTATGTGGCATTTTATTAAAATTTTTTTGAAAATAATTGAATTCTTTAGAACGATTTTATTAGAATTTTTTTTAATAATTGAATTTCCAAGAAGAAATTTATTACTTTAAAAAATAATTGAATTCTTGTGATGAATATTGTAATTTATATAATTTATAAAAATAATTGAATTTTGCAAAGAATTTTATTAAAATACCTCGAAATAATTGAATTTTCGGAAATAATTTTGTTATTTGTCTTTAATAATTGAATTCTTTCGAAGAATTATTTATGTAAATAATTGAATTTGAATTCTTGGGAAGAATTTTATTATTTATGAGAATAATTTAATTCTTGCGAACGATTTTATTAGAATTTTTTAAAATAATTGAATTTCCAAGAAGAAATTTATTTATGAAAATAATTAAATTTTGTAAAGAATTTTATTAAAATGCCTCAAAATAAATAAAATTTTCGGAAATAATTTTGTTATTTATCTTTAATAATTGAATTTTTTCGAAGAATTATTTTTGTAAATAATTGAATTCTTGGGAAGAATTTCATTAAAATCTAAAAGAACAATGAAATTATTTCACAAAAAATTTAATTAAAATTGTATTTAAAATAATTGATTTGTTTCGAACAATTTTATTAAAATATTTGAAAATAATTGAATTTATGTGAAAAATTGTAATATTTATGAAAATAATTGAATTATTGAGAAAAATTTTATTAAAATGTTTAAAAAGAATTGAATTTCTATAAAAAAATTTGTTATTTTTGAAAATAATTGAATTTTCAAGAAGAAATTTATTATTTTTAAAAATAATTGAATTCTTGTGATGAATAATATATTGTTTTTTATGAAAATAATTGAATTATTGAGAAAAATTTTATTAAAATGTTTAAAAAGAATTAAAGTTCTGTGAAAAATTTGGTTATTTTTGAAAATAATTGAATTCTTCATAAGAATTTTATAAACATTGTTGTAAATATTTAATTTTTTTCAAAATATAGTAATAATTAAAAATATTTTATTTTAAATAATTTAATTCTTGCGTGGAAAACTTTATATTCGTGAAAATAATTGAATTTTTTTCTATTTATTAATTTAAAATAGTATTAAAAACGAATTGAAATTCTTCGATGAGTTTTATTATTTATGAAAATAATTGAATTCTTGCTTAGAATTTTATCAAAAATTGTTTTAAAAAATTGAATTTTTATTAAAAATGTTATTATTAGTGAAAGTAATAATTGGATTATTGTGAAGAATTGTATGAAAATTTTGTTAAATTATTGATAATTTTCGAAATTTTTTTCTATTCTGAATTAATTGAATTCCTGTGGAAATTTTATTATTTATTTATTTATTTTATTATTTATGAAAATAATTGAATTTTGGATGAATTTTATAAATTGTTTTTCAAATAATTGAATTCTTTTGCGAAATTTGATGAAAATACTAGATATTGAAAATGAATTTGGAATATTTGTTGAAAATAATTGAATAATTTTAAAGAATTTGATTATAAATTTTGAGAATAGTTTTTTGATTTCTAGTATTAATGAATTTAAAGTAAATTCTTAAAAGAACAGAAATAGTAGCTTTTAGTGGCTGAAATCTAAAAAAAGTACCCAAATAGTAGCATAACGTAAAAATAGTAGTAAATAGTATGGTTTTAGTAGAGGAGTGCGAAGCCTATTCACAAATCTGAAAAAAAGAAATGTTTGACTTACTCTTATTAAAGCAATACCACTCGAATATGAATCATTTCTAGGAAGTTTAATAGTGACATTCTCAACTTCGTATATATCGTCAGGTTTAGCCAGATTTATGTTACTCAGTCCTATGTAGGCTCTCATTTCTTTTCCTTGTCTGCGAATTTGAATAAAACTTTGAAGAATTTACACTTTTTCTATTCTGCAGACACACTTATTTAATAAAATTCTACTGTATGTGGTTATTAACAGGTTATTAAAATGTCAACATGTAAGAAAACTTTATGAAATATTATCAATTACTAAAAAAAAAAAAAAAAATAAAAAAAATTTTTTTTTTTTCACTTTAGTAATTGATAAAATTTGATAAAGTTTTGGTAGTAAACTACCAAACATTAGGATCAATTTTTTATTTGATCCACCTTTTTAGCTATCAATTCGTTGCAATTTGATAATTTTAACATATAGTGTATAATTATAAAAATTTTACTGAGCTTTGCAATTGAATATTCTGAGGCCCCACAAGTAAATTTTTTTTTTCAATTCTGTGTGAGAATGTGGATTCCCCGTTCTGGCATATGTTTCTGAATAATTATAAGCAGATTGCAATCTTTACGGGGAATCCACGGAGAAACAGGATATTTTTGTTTTTTTTTTATGAAAAATAAATAATATATAATTGTGCTTTCCATTATTACTCACTGTAACGAAAAGAATTCTGATGTAGAGAGTAAAAAGAGATTTGAAATAATCACTGCGGTTGAAAATGGATGGGAATTCGGAAAAGATTTATCAGCTTCCACTACTGCCTACAAATTTTGGAAAAAAAAAATAAAATACCGCAAACATTACATTATGCTGGCTTCAAGATTGCCTCAAGCTTGCTGTTCTAAATTTTATTTAAAAAAAAAAAAAAAAAAAAAAAAAAAAAAAAATTGTTTTTATTCTTTTTTGTGAAAAAAATATTTTTCGACTCCACACTTATCTATATACTTATACTAATGAACGTGATATGCTTTAAAGACATGTTATTAAAGTAACTATAAAGTTTCATTGTTTATTTCAATGATAATGAAAATATGTCAGTAAAAATAAGATTAAAAAGCAAGGAAAAGTTTTTCTCCATTTATTAAAATTATAATATTATTTGAAAGTATAAAAATAAAATAAATTACCAAATTGACCAAAAAATCATATACATACCATAAATGGTGCTTTTTCAATAGCAATTTGAGTTGAATTAAGAAGTCTCTTGGTAATTTGTTTCTTATTGTGATGGACTGGAAAATATAGTTCATTTTCAAGTAATTAAAAATTTTTAATATTTTTTTAATAAAAATATAAATTATGTAAATAATTTAATAATTAAAATAATTAATTTATTTTACTCACCATTATAATGTTTAATGTGATGAAATTTACAGAAACAATTATTTATAAATAAAAAACATACTGCAATAATAACAAGTTTCATTTTTGATTTTGCAAGTTTATATTCTACTTTAACATTTAAAAATTATATCAATTTTCACATATTTATATATAGAGACAATTTTATACGGAAATGCTGAAATAGTATTCAATGATAACAATTGTTTGATAGCATCTTTAGTATAGGAAGTGAAATTTAGTATATTTATTAATTGAAGACACTATCTTCAAAAGGAACTACACTTGATAAAAAAGTATGATAAATAAATTAATTTTTCTATATTAAGTTTATAAATCTCTTCTACAATCCATACATTCATTTTATTAAATTATCGCAAGCGCTCGGATTGTGTGACTTTTTCGACTTTTTTCCACTTTTCTAAGGAAATGTGACTTTTTTCAACTTTTTTTGTGAAAAAATGCGAATTTCTTTGAAAGTTTTCGAAAACATCAATAACTGGTTTTTTAAATAAATATTTAATTATTATTTTCCCATAGGAATTGAAATTCTTCAAAAGATTCAAATTTAAATCTTTTTGAAATTAAACAACTTATAAAAAATTGTTATAAAACATGAAGACATTGATCACTCCGAGTCTTCGACTCGGAGCAATCGATGTCTTTATGTTTTATAACAATTAAAGATAACTGAGTAATAAAATAATTATTTTATATTATAAGACTTTATAAAAAAAAAAATTTTTTTTTAAATTATTTTTTATGAAAATAATCAAATTATTGCGAAGAATTTAAAAAAAAATTAATAAGTAATTAAATTTTTGTGAAATTTTCATTATTTATGAAAATAATTAAATGCTTGCGTATTGCGTATACAATTTTATTTAAATTTTTGCAAATAATTGAATTTCAGAGAAGAATTTTATTATTTAAAAAGATAATTGAAATTTTCACAAGAATTTTATTAAAATTTTTGCAAATAATTGAATATCAAAGAAGCATTTTATTATTTATAAAGATAATTGAAATTTTGAACAATTTAAAAAAAAAAAATTTTTAAAGTAAATTGAATCTTGCAGAAGAATATTGATATTTATAAAGATAATTGAAATTTTGAGGAGAATTAAAAAAAAAGTTTTGAAAATAATTGAATTTCTGCGAAGAATTTTATTGCTTTGGAAAATAATTGAATTTTTAGGATAAATTTTCTTAATTTTGTAGATAATTGAATTTTGCAGAGAATTTTATTGCTTTTGAAAATAATTGAATTTTTAGGATGAATTTTCTTAATTTTGCAAAGAATTTTATCAGAACTTTTGAAAATAATTAATTTTCCAGGATGAATTTTATTATTTATAAAGATAATTGAAATTTTGAGGAGAATTAAAAAAAAAAAATTTGAAAATAATTGAATTTCTGCGCGAAGGATTTTCGTACTATTGAAGATAATTGAATTTTGCAGAGAATTTTATCAGAACTTTTGATAATAATTAAATTTTCAGGATGAATTTTATTATTTATAAAAATAATTGAAATTTTGCAGAGAATTTTATTAAAATTTTTGCTAATAATTGAATTTCTAGAATGGATTTTATTATTTATAAAGATAATTGAAATTTTGACAAGAATTTTATTAAAATTTTTGCAAATAATTAAATTTTAAAGAAGAATCCTATTATTTATAAAGATAATTGAAATTTTGAGGAGAATTAGAAAAAACAAATTTTGAAAATAATTGAATTTCTGCGAAGGATTTTCTTACTATTATGAAGATAATTGAATTTTGCAGAGAATTTTATCAGAACTTTTGAAAATAATTAAATTTCCAGAATGAATTTTATTTTTTATGAAGATAATTGAATTTTTGTCAAGAATTTTATTAAAATTTTTGCAAATAATTGAATTTCAGAGAAGAATTTTATTATTTATAAAAAAAGTTGAAATTTTCAACAGTTTTTTTAAAAAAATTTATAAAATTAAATTGAATTTTGCAGAAGAATATTGATATTTATAAAGATAATTCAAATTTTGACGAGAATTTAAAAAAAAAATTTTTGAAAATTATTGAATTTCTTGGATGAATTTTATTATTTATCAAGATAATTGAAATTTTGACAAGAATTTTATTAAAATTTTTTAGAATAATTGAATTTTGGTGAAGAATTTTATTATTTATAAAAATAATTGATATTTTTAAAGAGAATTTAAAAAAAAAATATTAAAAATACCTAATTAAAATTTTGCTAAGAATTTTATTAAAATTTGCCTATCCTACGGCATATAAAGACATTACAAAAAGAATTTTATTTTAATTTCTATTAAAGATAAAAAATTGGTTAATGATAATGTTTTCTACTTTCATAATATCCAAATAATAAAAAATAACAATTTCTTCATTGTCATGCAATTGTCAATAAAAAAAATTTTTTATTTGCAGGTAAATTTTAAACAATTTTTTTTACCACACTTTGACAATATATTAAAAGTTAAAATAAAAGAACCAATATTGTCAAAAAATTTTTTTATTTATATAAAAACTTTATTACAATAAATTTTACAATAAATATGGGAAAATCGAAATTTTTGCAGTGAAGCCTTTTTACAATATAATCAGTACTCGCATTTACCTATAGAAACAATTATTTTATAGAGAAAGGGGAAAAATGCAAAAAAAAACCCTTTCTAAGTACAATCGTCTCCTAAAAGAAACTGAGATAAAACTAAAATTTGAAAATAAATCGAAAATCGCTCGATGGTAAACACTATTGATAAAAATTATTCTATGTTTTAAACTCTGCATATATATGAACATATCTTTGTTCACCCAGAGACGAAATATTTTTTTTTTAATTAAGTAAACTTTTATTATTTGTCTCGGAGCCAACTAGACTTTTTATTTGTTTTAAATAAAAATTTGATTCGACATAAATAAAACATAAAATTTTTTTTAAACCTAATATGAAATTTATTTGAAACAAATAAAAAGTCTATCGTTGATTCTGAGTCAAATGTTCTCTGAGTGTTGGAAGTCACATTTACTTTTTAGACATTGTTTTCAATTTTTCGGTAATAATGAAACTCGGAATATTTACGTCGAGAATGAGGCTGCCAACAATATCTTGAAATTGAAGATCTATATCTTTACTTTCATTTGTGCCCAATACTTTATCAAGAAAATTCATTACTTTAACTGCTCTTAACAAATCATGCCTGTCATTTTCATTTTCGAAGATATCAAAGAAAGATTCGAAAAATTCTATTCTTTTGTATAATACAATCTCATTAGCTTTAGAGTTTAAATTTGTAAACGCATTTTGAATTTGATTTGATTTCATTAAAAGAGCGTTTAATTCATCTTTGTTGTCTGTATTTCTGGCCGAAATTGTTAAAAGATTTATATTTCGCCGATTCTTCACTTTAATAATATTTAATAACTGATTAATTTTTTGCGTTGAAAACAACTTATCATTGACGTTAGATAAGCAAAGTTTTGAGGAATTTAAAATATTTAGTGGTAATTCAAGAAGTTGGTTTTCCTGTATGCTAACGTTAGATCTAATAAATCTATAAAAATAATTTTCGACAGGACCAGGAATATATTTATCCGTAGAGAAGCAAGTTTGTGAATAAAAATTATTTATTAAATATTTTAAATAATCTTTTATATTAGATGATGTTAGGTCCCTTCTATTTGTAAATGATTCAAGTTCCTTCTTTATTTCGTCCGAATATTGTGTAATCGAAAACTCTTGATCTACAATCTTTCTTGGTAAATCCTTAAAAAGATATCCTATGCTTGGAAAAAGGTCCTTGAACTTGTTTCCAAAAATTCTTTCAATAACATTAAAATTTTGTGAAAATTGAGCAATGCTGCCCTGAACGATATGCAAACCATAGCTAAATACAAGAATTTTTAGAGATTTAGCATTTTGCAGCAATTGATAGAGATAAAATGCAATAGTGATGTCTTGTACTGGATCTTGAATATTCACCAATTTGGGGAAATCCCAAATTGGTAAATTCAAGTGTCGTCTCAAAGTCCATTTTGTGGGAATTTTAATTCCAATTAAATTACTGGAACGACTGAGATCCTCAAATCTCTCTTCTGTGGATTGATTGCCTTCCAGAAATTGAATTATATTACTTTGTGTATCTCCATATCCTTCTTCTGTGAAAATTACCACATCTTTATCTTTATCATTTTTTTCCATATATTCCATTGATTCAGAAAAGGCTTGTTTCAATTTTTCTAAATTGAAACTATTTTCACTGCAACTACCCAGATAACAAAATGCGCGTTGTGTGCTACTAATATCATCTGCACGCGTGCCGATTTATCCGCACTATGCGCGTTCACTGGACCACTCAGATGCGTCATCATATGCGATCCATAACTGTCGCATATTGTGATGGGCACATGCGTGACGGTATAATGCGAATAAATTATATTTATACTTCAGCCTTATTTGAATTAAATAAAAAGAAAAGATTATTGACATTAGTAATTTTTTTTAAATTAAAATGTTATTTATAAAAACGATTTTAATTTAATATTTCAGTACAATTTTGGAATTGAAATTGTTAAAAACTTCCAAATTCTTTTTTTGAGGTTATATCTAATACAACAAAAATATATATGTACTTTAAACAAATTAAATTTAACTTTCTTATTTTGCTGCAGTACTAAAAATTAAATCCACAATAATTCCTCACAATAATATCGCAATAAAAAACAATAAAAAATGAAATCACAATAAAAACTTATTTTGATAACACACCACAAACAATGCTGTCGCCATTATAAAATGTGTGATTGCCGATACGGGTGGTTGCGCATCATTAATTGCGTGCGTATTAAGTGCAGTTCACTGCACACGCATTCACAGCATTCGCACTGTGGATGGTAAAATGCGTATGGATTGACTCTTCTAGCAAGTCGCACTTGTGAACGGAACATGCTTATCATTTTGTATCACAGGCGCTTACGAAATGCAGTTCACAACACTCGCATTATTACCAGCGTCACAGACGATAGTAAGATGCGTATATGAACCGACTCATCTGGTAAGTCGCAGTTAGTGCAAGAAACATGCGTTTAAATGCGACGCACGATTGTTATCTGGGTATTTTCTTCGCTGTTCACCAGTGAAATCAATACACAAATGATTGCTATTCTGATCATGATTTTTCCGGAAAAAGAGGATTATGGTTCGAACTTTTGCCGTATATGACGTATTAAGCCCTTTAAAAATAAAAATTATTATTTGAGATTGAAATTAAACAATATAAGTACCTACAAATAAATATTTAATAAATTTTCAGGAAATTATCGCCGCTATGGGAGTTAAATCTTAAATAATTATTGTTTTACTCTTTGGTAGTAAATATACTTACTTGATAAAGTTTATTCGACTCCTTTGATGAAGAGGAACAATAAGTAGGCAGGTATTTCTTTTGCACAAAAATTTTTATTTTTCTCAGTGGTATTTATAGTCTGTAAAGTAGAATACGTGGCATTTGAAAATATTTCACAACGTCAAATATTTCTACGATAATACATTTTATGTTCTGTTATCCAATTGAAATGATACAGGTGCATATATGTACATTTAGTAGAGGTTGTTGAAGGACACATTTTATTTATAGTTCGTGCTACAGAAAATGAAATTTTTTAAAAAAATATTTATAAAATATTTGCATTAGAAACATTTTTTATTTAATAGTTTTTATAATTATTTAGTACAAAAAAGTTTTGTATAATTTTATAAACACCTTTCATATGTGTACTCTTCAACAATCCACACATTCATATTCTATTAAAATTATCGGTTATTTTCATGAAAAAAGTATAAAAATATTTAAATAAATACAAGGCAGGGAAAATAAATTTTTCAGTTCATTGAGATTAAACAATATATTAAAATTTTAATTAAAAAATGTCAAAAATTTTTTTTATTTATATATATAAAATATTTTTTTACAATTTTACAACTAATGTCAAAATAGAAATTTTTGCAGTGAAGCCTTATTTTACAATATAAGGTGATAACTGAGTAAAAATTTCTGAACTTGGTCACCTAAAACAAACTTTTTAAATTTGCATTATGTCTATACATAATTTCTTACAAACTTATTTTAATTAATTAAAAAATAATTTAATAATTGAAATATTTCGACGAATTTAAAAAAAAAATTTTACGAAAAATTACAGTTTTCGAGGAATTTGATTAAAATTTGATTAAAAATAATTAAAATTTTGCAATGAGATTTATTATTTACGAAAATAATTGAATTCCTGTTAAACTTTTATTATTTATAAAAATAATTAAATGTTTTGCGTAGAATTTTATAATTTTCTTTTACATAATTGAATTCTTTTCGAAAATTTTATTAAGTAGATATTGAAAATCACTGAATTAAGAAAATAACTTTTTTGATAAATAATTGAAATTTTGACAAGAGTTTTATTGAAATTTTCGAAAATATTGGATTTTTGAAGAAGAATTTTATTATTTATAAAGATAATAGAAATTTTGACGATAATTTTTAAAATTATCGTTCTTTTTACACAAAAAAAATGACTTTTACGGCATTTTAAAATATTTTGCAATGTCAAATATTCTTCTCTATAAAATTTGTTTATATTTCTAACCTAAGTAAACCCTGCAAACTCTAAAATAAAAAAAAAAATAAAAAAAACAGTATTTCTTATTTTTTTTAACGAATTTTCCAAAAATCGATAAATTTCAAGTAAATTATTCTTTCCTCGCCTCGGAAGCAATTTTTTCTTTTGATAATTATTTATTTTATAATGTCACTCAAAAGGCATTTAAAAAAAAAAAAAATTACTGCTTTCCCCGGCTTGCATCCTCTTGAAATTTTTTTTAAATTGGCTTCTGACATTAAAATAAATAATTGTCCAAATAATAATCCAAAGAAAAAAATTACTTCCAAGACAAAGATTATTATCAATTTACTCGAAATTCGGGTTTTTTGAAAAATCCGTGAAAAAAATATGTACTACTGTTTCCCCTTCTTTTTAGGGTTCCGTACCCGGTTGGAACCCTATTGGAACGGTTACAAAAATGACCATGTACCCCCCCCCCCCTAGAACTCACAGTTTTACACCTAGAGAGCTAAAAATTGGTACACGTATGTATTTTCACGCGTAGATTACAGGAAAAATATAGCGGAAGTGATTAGAATTGATCTTCATGATGTTTTCATCGAAAAACTAAAATCTCTTTTTGCAAGCTCGAAAATTCTTTAACCCTTGCTGGTTCTCTCAATTCTTAATCTAGTGGACTGTCGCTATACATTTTTATTTATTTTTTCGTGTAGATTTCAAAAAACATACAGAAAAAATTATTGGAATTCATCTTCATATTTTTTTTTGCGAAAAACTAAAATTTTTTTTCGTTTTAGAAAAAAAAGTGTGTACCCTCCCCTTGGTTTTCACAATTCTTGGCCTATTGGACTGCAGTTTTGCTTATTTTATGTATTTTCGTCAGTAGATTTCAGGAAAAATATAGCGAACCTGATTGGATTTGATCTTCATATTTTTTTCATCGAAAAACTTAAAGTTTTTAAAAATTTCGTCAAAAAAGCGTTTATTTCACCCTAGCACTCACAGTTTTTTACCTAAAGAGCTGAAAATTGGTACACTTTTGTATTTTCACGTGTAGATTACAGGTAAAATATAGTGGAAATGATTAGAATTGATCTTCATTGCGTTTTGAGCGAAAACCTAAATTTTTTTTTTCAATTTTTGATAATAATTATACCTATGCTAGTTCTCTCAATTCTTAGTCTAGTGGACTGGCGTTATACATTTTTATTTATTTTTTCGTGTAGATTTCAACAAACATACAGAGAAAATTGTTGGAGTTCATCTTCATATTTTTTTTTCGAAAAACTAAAATTTTTTTTCGTTTTAGAAAAAAAAGTGTGTACTCCCCCTTTGGTTTTCACAATTCTTTGCCTATTGGACTGCATTTTTTTTTATTTTATATATTTTCATTTGCATATTTTAGGAAAAATATAGCAAACATGATCGGATTTGATTTTCAAATTTTTTTTAGCGAAAAACTCAAATTTTTAAAAATAATTTTCAAATAAGCGTGTATTTTACCCTAGCGCTCACCTTTTTTTACATAGAGAGATGAAAATTGGTACACTTATGTGTTTTCACATGTAGATTTTAGAAAAAATAAGAAATATTAGAATTAATCTTTATTGTGATTTTTGCGAAAACATATATTCTTTTTTTTATAATTTGTTCCTAATAATTATACCTATGCTAATTCTCATAAATTTTTAATTGAGTGGATATTGGCATTGGGCATTTATATTTATTTTTACGTGTAAATTTCATAAAAAATATTGTTATGAAAAAATTGTATTTTCGAGATTTCAATTTTTTTACGCCAACTTCAAGTTGAACTAAGAAAAATATTTGAAAAAGTGTCATATAACCATTGATTTCATATAATCAATAATTGATACATTCTTGATAATCAACAATCGCAAATTAATAAACATCTCTTCAAGAAAATAAAATAATATAGAATAAAACTATATTAAAAAAGTTTGTGATAAAACTTTGGAAAGAAGATACGCTTAATAGTATGTAATATTACATTTTAATCAATTGCTTGAAACATGTTTTACTAAATTATATTATTTTACTGTTGAAATGTATTAATGTTTTTTAAAACAATTTTTTATTAAAAATTATCTTTACTATAAACTTTTTATTATTATTTCTGGCAATATAAATTTTTTTTTATTAAAAATTATAAAAACATTTATTTAATCAAAATTTAACCAAAAATATTATTACCCCAGTAGCACGTAATATTACAGCGATATTGGGAACATTGCCTTAACATTACCAATATTGCCTCAATGTTGTGGCATATTGCTGGAATGTTCCCAATATTACGTGCTACTTGGGTATGTGTTGGAATTTATTTTTTCTTTAAAAAATTTTTTATTCTAAATTATCTTTACATAAACTTTTAATTATTATTTCTGTCAATATAAATTTCTTTTTATTGAAAATTGAAAAAATATTTATTTAATTAAAATTTTTACAAAAAGTAATATTTTCTGTTGAAATCTATTAATGTTTTTTAAAATCAAATTTTCATTCAAAAATATCTTTACTATAAACTTTTTATTATTATTTCTGGCAATATAAATTTTTTTTATTGAAAATTAAAAAAAAAATTATTTAATCAAAATTTAACCAAAAATATTATTTTGTGTTGGAATTTATTGTTTCATTAAAAAAAAATTTTATTCTAAATTATTATAAATTATCTTTACATAAACTTTTTATTATTATTTCTGTCAATACAAATTTCTTTTTATTGAAAATTAATAAAATATTTATTCAATTAAAATTTTTACAAAAAGTAATATTTCCTGTTGAAATTTATTTTTTTTTTTTAATTAAATTTTTATTAAAAAATATCTTTAATAAAAAATTTTTATTATTATTTCTGTAAATATAAATTTTTTTATTGAAAATTAAAAAAACATTTATTTAATCAAAATTTAACCAAAAATATTATTTTGTGTTGGAATTTATTGTTTCTTTAAAATAAATCTTTATTCTAAATTATTCAAAATTATCTTTACATAAACTTTTTATTATTATTATTTCTGTCAATATGTACAAATTTCTTTTTATTGAAAATTAAATTAATATTTATTCAATTAAAATTTTCATAAAAAGTAATATTTCCTGTTGAAATGTATTAATGCTTTTTAAAATCAAATTTATAAAATTAAATTATAATTTATTTTATTATTTATATTATATTTATTTATATTATTTATTTATTTAATTTCAATAACAGAAAATTTATTTGATTTAGTTTTATATTTAGTAATCATTATTAATTCACTATTTTTTAAAAATAATCTTTTAAAAAAATATTTAAAAATTAAATTTGTTCTTTTATTAATACAATCATTAAATATGATTTTGTTTATATTTTTAAAACAGAGTAACTTCAAATTGAATTGGAATTGATATATATTTATTTTTATAAGAAAGAAAATTAGAAGTTTTTATGGAGGGTACGGAACCCTAGGTTTTAGTACGAGTTCTACTCGCACTTGTCCGGTTTTTTTATTTTAAGGTTTGGAGGGTTTACTATTGTGTTAAAAATAAAAAAACTTTATTAAAAAAAATTTGTATCCTAAATTTTTCCAGAAAAAAATTTTTTTTAAAAATTTTTTCGTTCAATCATCAACGTTGGTAACTTTAGTGTCATAAAATTTTTTAGTACGGAAAACTTTTGCTGTCTATCTCACTTTTTTAATACTCCCGCTATCATTCTTGAATTTTCTTCAAGTTCAATAAGTTTCAATATATATATATATACAAAAGAGATAGATACTAAAAATCTAAAAAAATAATTGAATTATTTCAAAAAAAAATTTAATTAAATTTGTATTTAAAAAAAATTGATTTCTTACGAACAATTTTATTAAAATATTTGAAAATAATTGAATTCCCGCGATGATTTTTATTATTTATGAAAATAATTGTATAGTTGCTAAGAATTTTATAAACATTGTTTTAAATTGTTAATTTTTTCGAAAGATAATAAATATTATGAAAATTTTATTTTAAAATAATTGAATTCTTCTGGAAAACTTTATTTGTGAAAATAATTGAATTTTTCGATTAATTAATTTAAAATAGTATTAAAAATAATTGATATTCTTTCATGAGGTTTATTATTTATGAAAATAATTGAATTCTTCCTGAGAATTTGATTAAAAAAAATTTTTTTTTAAAATTGAATTTCTATGAAAAATGTTATTATTATAGTGAAAGTAATTGAATTATTGTGAAGAATTGTATAAAAATTTTGTTAAATAATAATTGATTTTTTCGAATTTTTTTAAAATGCTTATTCTGAATTAATTCAACTCATGTGGAAATTTTATTATTTATGAAAATAATTGAATTTTGAATTATTTTATCAATTTTTTTTCTAGTTGAATTCTTTTGCAAAATTTTATGAAAATACTAGATATTAAAAGTAATTGAATTTCGAATATTTTTTGAAAATAATTAAATTTCGAATATTTTTTGAAAATAATTGAATTTGGAATATTTTCGGAAAATAATTGAATCGTTTTAAAGAATTTGATTATAATTTTTGAGAATTGTTTTTTGATTTCTATTAGTGAATTTAAAATAGTGGAAATTCTAAAAATAACAGAAATATTAGCTTTTAGTGGCTGAAATCTAAAAAAGGTACCCAAATAGATGAGTGCGATGGCTATTAAGTTAGAATTTCACAATTTATTTAATCATGACCAACATCATTTTCGCATTATTAAGAGGACAAAAATACATGTTTTAATTTTCATGAAAATATCGTTAACGAGGAGGAAGAAAAAACCTTATTAAGAACTACATCCAAATTATATTTTAATTAATCACGATGACGTGACATAAGTAAAAAATTTATGATTATTAAATGACTGGGAAAACTGCATGAATTATTTGCTATCTTGATAAGATAATGATTGCATATTATATAGAGATTGAATTAAATAAGATGAGTAAGTTCGTTATAAGTTCAGTTCAAAAGTATAGTTGCATAGTTAGTTTATTGCATAAAGCGTATCAATATTGAAAATGGTTTCACTCAATAATTTATATCTCTACACATTCTTTATGTGCTTAATTTATTTCAATTGTGAAGCATATCGAATATTAGTAATTTCTCCTTTTAATTCAAAAAGTCATAATAACATGTTAGAAAGTGTTGCCAAAGCCCTAGCATTAAAGGGTCACAAAGTTGATGTTATTTCACATTTCGAATTAAAGAATCCACCGAAAAATTATTCAACAATTCTCAATTTGGATGGTACAATGCCAAAATTCGTAAATTCCTGGACAATGGAAATGGTGGATATTTTTCAGAATATTGATCTCATTCCTACAATGATACGTGATTTTGGAAATAATTATTGTGATCTAATGGCTAATGAGAAGATGCAAAAGATTATCAAAAATCCACCAAAGGATCCTCCTTATGATTTGGTTATAACAGAGGTTTGGAAATACTAATTTTTCAGTCGTTTAGAAAACTATGTGGTTTTATAATTTTATAATTTAATTTTTATATTTTTAATTTAATATTTTTTATAGGCATTGGCGACTAATTGTTATTTTGGTTTCGGACACTTGTTGAAAGTTCCAGTTGTCGCTGTATCTGGTCTAATACAAATGTTGTGGTTTGATGAAATACTTGGCAACCCAATGTCAAGTGCTTATGCAGTGAATATGGAGATGAAAGCTGAACGAATTACAAATTTCTGGGATCGTGTGAAAAATCATTTTTGGGCTCACTACAATAATTATCAGTTCTTTAAGTACACGGAAAAAAATCAAACCGAAGTGATGAGGAAATATTTAAGTCCCGACATGCCAAATATTAGGGAAATTGAAAAAAAGACATCTTTGATTTTAGTTAATGCCTATCAGAGTTTTTTTGGCATAAGACCATTGGCACCAGCTGTGGTTCAAATTGCAGGACTTCAGATTGAACTCAGTGATGCAAAATTAACACCTGTGAGTTTCTTGGAATTTTTTTACAACCTAACTAAATTAAAGTTTAACTAAAGTTTAAGTAAAGTTTAATGAAAATTGAACTAAAGTTGACCTACAGTTGAACAAAAGTTTAACTAAAGTCTAACTAAAGTTTAACTAAAGTCTAACTAAAGTCTAACTAAAGTTTACCTAAAGTTTACCTAAAGTTTAAATAAATTTTTTCGTGAATAGGAATTGAAGATATGGTTGGACGAAAGTATGGACGGTGTAGTTTTCTTCACTCTGGGCTCAATGGTTATTATCGAAGACTTTTCAAAAGAGGTTCTATTAGGGATCTACGCTTCTTTTGCGAAATTAGCGCCAATTCGTGTCCTGATGAAAGTTGTAAATAAGGATAAACTTCCTCCGGGTCTGCCGAAGAATGTCCTGACAATGTCCTGGATTCCTCAGATTCCAGTTTTACGTAAGACAATATCGCAGGTGCTTTTTTAAATTACAAAAATGAGAAATTAAATTTTATCTATTTGAATTTTGATCCTTTAGGGCACAAAAATACCAAATTATTCATGACTCATGGCGGCTTAAACAGTGTTCAAGAAGCCTTGTACTTTGGTGTACCAATGATTGGTTTTCCATTATTCGGTGATCAGCCATTGAACATTCGACTTTTAGCTGACAAAAATGTTGTCTACACAATGAGTTACAAAGAAATTTCCCAAAAATCGTTGGATAAAGCATTGCACGCAGTTATTTATGATCCAAAGTATCGGTACGTATTATTTGAATTCGGAAAATTTATAACAAAATAAGATTTACATATTTAAGAATAAAATATTAATATAGTTATTATGATCATAAATAAAATCTTAATGACATTTAATTTCTAGTCCATAGAAAAAAATATATTTTATAAAATAAAATAAAATTTGATTGTAAAATAATTAATTACAGGGAAGCTGCGAGGCGTGAAGCTCAATTGTTCCGAGATCGTCCAATGAGCGCGAAAGACACGACTGTATTTTGGGTAGAGTACATTATAAGAAATGGGGCAAATTCATTACGATCGCCAGCAATGGATATGCCTTGGTGGCAAGCGGAACTCGTCGATGTCTATGCATTTTTCTTTATTTCCCTTCTTTTAATAAGCTACACAACTTTTTTCATTTTTACAAAGTTTACTTGCCTAATTTGTAGTATTTTCAATTCCAATCCTCAAAATCACAAGAAAAGGGATTGATATCCATGTAAATAGATTTTTTTTAAACATTTAACAAGTTAAAATTTAATTTGTATATATAGAATAATTTTAGATTTAGAAATTTAATTATAAATTTTATTCACAACGAAACCATTATGATTACGATACTAGTTAAAAATAATAAATTATTCAACATTCCATAAAATAATGTCGTACATCTAAAAAATGGACTTTTTTTATCGAAATCTCAAAATTTTTTATTTAATGCAAAAAATTATACTTATTAGTATAGAATATCAACAGTAATAAAAAAAAAATTTTCTAATAAAAATATATAAAGATGTTTTTAATCAGTTATTACTGGGATTAGATCCTTATTAGCATTAGAAATAATTTTTATAAAATTTGAAAAATGATTTATTTCGTATGTACAAGATGATTATAAAACTATTTGCTATGATTAAAATTTGAAAAAAAATGAAATCTTGCTATTTGCGTGCGGCTTTCATTATCAGTGCAACTTTGTGTTTGAAATAAACTTTGTAAATATATGCATATATAGATATGTAAATTGTTTGAATAATGAAAAATGCAACTTAGCATGAATAATCGATTATTTATCATAAAAGTTTTTTATGATTACTAAATTGCTGAAATTTTTGTAAAAAATATTTTATCAATAGAGATAGAAAAAATTTATGAGATGAGTTTCATAAAATAAATTATTTATAATTTCATCACTTTTTGAAATAAACAAATAATTTTCAATATATTGAAATTATATTAAAAGTTTTTGATATATCAATATATAAAAAGGTCACTAAAAAATAAAAATCCAATCGACTTGGTTCATATATTGTTAAATTTCGGCCTGTTTAGTATGGGAATCCCCAGTGGGAATTTATAACTGTTAAGGCCGACTTTACAACTTAGGTAATAGAACAATTAAGCAGGGTTGTGAAATTTGCACTGACTGTTCCATGGCGAGAATACTGAGGTCACATCTACGCAACCCTGTTCTTTTTAACTGGGGTATAAACGCACCTTTAACCTGTTTTAGATGACCTAGCTTTTACGGAAGCGCCTATACGCCACTGTAACCGAATCCCGTATGTGTGCATAAAGTAAGGTACAAATACAAGAATTGCGTGCGAGGGACCCCCTTAGGCTAGCTGAAATTCCCTAGAATAGAATTAATTGCGAGCGAGCCTACCCCTTAGGCTAGCTGAAATTCGTTAAAATTAAACGACTGTGTGAAAAGGAGGTTATGTTTTCTTTCCTGAAACATTAATTAAAATTAATTTTTTTAAACATTTCTTTTTCACAAATTGAAAAAAAGAAATCTTGTGAGGTAATAAGTTAAATTTATTTGGAAAAAAAGTAAAATAATTTTGAAGTTAAATTGATAATGTGTCTACAATTATTCTGATCCATTTTACAAAAAGAAAATTAGTTGTGTTATTTATGGGAAATTTTAAACATGAAATATTTATATTTTTTTAATATATACATACAAATATGTAAGTTAAAACAAAATCGAATTTTAAAAAACAGACCATTGTAGAAACTATTTAATAAGAGTTGAAAAATTATTAATAAATTAATTAAACATAACTTTTTTACAGAGCTAACAATTATCAATTTAACCTCAAAATTATTTTACTTTTTTCCAAATAAATTTAACTTATTACCTCACAAGATTTCTTTTTTTCAATTTGTGAAAAAGAAATGTTTAAAAAAATTAATTTTAATTAATGTTTCAGGAAAGAAAACATAACCTCCTTTTCACACAGTCGTTTAATTTTAACGAATTTTAGCTAGCCTAAGGGGTAGGCTCGCTCGCAATTAATTCTATTCTAGGGAATTTCAGCTAGCCTAAGGGGGTCCCTCGCACGCAATTCTTGTATTTGTACCTTACTTTATGCACACATACGCGATTCGGTTACAGTGGCGTATAGGCGCTTCCGTAAGCTTTACTTATTGTTACCGTTCTTTTACCTAGAGTTCTCGTTAGGTCAACAGCGTCAACAGGAAATAGTAAAATTATTATTTAATAAAAAAGAAAAGGGTTTTTAATCACACAGTAAGTATATATTCAGATACTAATATAAATTTACATAAAGTAAAAAAAAAATTTTTATCTTAAATATACCAATATTAAGGGTAACGCCATCGACATGCACCCAGTCAGCGAACAAATATCCGCTATTAAAAACAATAAATATAATAGAACGAAACGTTATTAAAATATATTTTAAGAAATTAATATTGAAAAATGCAATGAAGCTTCTAAAATAGAAGCCATATTTAATTTGTTTATATTTTCGATAATATTTCACTTTGTGTGTAGATAACCTCAAAATATGAATAAATAGTATACTTAAAAGTAAAAAGAATAGAATTTTAAAAAAGTTTTTTTTGAAAAATTAAAAAAAAATTGTAAAACAGTTAAGAGATACTTTTTAAAATTTTTCGTAGTGTAATATAATACTGAGCTTAAATTTGACTGGTACCAAATAGCACAACAATTTTCACCAATAACGACATTTTGCTATTTGCCATATACAAGTTTGCTGCAGAGTTGCAGTGCAAACTTGCTGAAAAATGTGCTTTTACTTTTAAAATTGAACTTCGACATTTTTTTTTCATTGACTGATGCTTTTATCTACAATTACTGCACAAATTGTTTTTTAATTTATAGATGGCATTTTCAAAAAATGCGGACACGGTGTTTCGTTATGAAATCAACGGGTTTAATGGAGCAACTGTCGATTCTTTACAAGAGAAAACATATTCATCGCCTAAATTTACCACATCAGTGGAACCTAGGAGAGAATTTCATCTAAATTTTTCTATACAAAAATTTTCGGATGGCAGCTCTTCCCAAAACTGTCGTTATTGTAGTCGTCCTTCTAAAAAAATGATTAACATAAAGCTAATTTGCTCAAAAAATATTCCAAATCGAGAGGATTTAAAAGTTCAAGTTTCCATTAAAAATGATATTGAGAAAGTCACAAGAAGTTTCTTAATTTGTGGGACCGAAAATGAATTCAATTTTCAAAATATTATGGACGGTGAAACAATGTTAAAAATTGTTCAAGAAGGACGACTGGAAGTAATTGTTGAAATTTTTTTGAAAATTGATCAACAAGAAAGTTTTGAAACATCAAATTTAGAATTTCTAACTGACTGTAAAATTTACATTCAAGAGGAAATATTTGAAGCTCATAAAGTAAGTCAATTTTATATTTACAGAGATCACATTTCGTTTCTATTTTAATCTAATCACCTTTACCTAAAATCATGTCCTTAACTAACAAAATTTGTCACTTTTTTTGTAAATAAAAAAATGTTTACTTCGGTTGAAAAAGAATTTTTCCTTTTTTAAACGAAATTTTTACTTTTTTGAATCCTATAAAAATCTTTTACATTAGTTCTTTGAAATTTAAAAACTTTTTTTAATTTTTATGTGTATTTTATTCATTTAATTTTTTTGACAATATTTTCTGCAAAATTTATTAAATATAATTTTTTGCTTTTTTTCTTATTTTTTAACCGAAATAAATACAGAATTTGTTTGAAAATTGGACGAAGGAATCTTTTAAAATTTATTCTATTTAATTTCAATTCAAGAATTATATTATTTACTTATCTATTTCAAAGATTATAATTTTCAATTATGTTTCTAGGCTATTCTGGCAAAAAGATGTCCATATTTTTATAAAATTTTCAAGGACGACAACAAAATTGAGGAGTTAAGAATTCCTAAAAACATCAAACCGAATACGTTCAAAAAAATCCTTAAATACATTTATGAAGAAGAACCATTTAATTGTTCTGACCCTGCTGCAGAAGATATTTTCTTAGCGGCAAATTACCTAGAAATTGAACAACTTAAGGATGAATGCGAAAATTATTTCCGAAAAACGATATCAGTTGCCAATGTTTGCTCAGTTTTGCTACTATCCATCAAAGCATCGGCAAAGTTTTTGCAAAAACATTGTCAATATTTTATTATAAGAAATATTCAAAAAATAAATTTCGAAGGTCTTAAGGCAGAACCAGAAGTGGTAGTCCACATTTTAAAAGATATTTTCGAACAATTGGACATTGGACTCTTAACTATTGTTGACAATATAGATCTTTCCCTCAAAATGACTGCAAGAAAGGAGACACAAAATTATGAACCCTTTTTAAACAACAAACAGTTAAGCGATATTGAAATCCACGTCGGCGAGGAAACAATATACAATTGTCACAAAGTGGTGTTGGCGGTAAATAGTCCTGTATTCTATCACATGCTCATCAGTAAAATGGAAGAAGAACTCACAAATGTCATTAAAATAAAAGACATCAAGCCAGAAGTTTTTTATGAAATTCTAAGGTAATTTTTCGAACTATAATTCTTTAAAAGTACGATTATATTTCAAAACAATTTTAAAAAGTAATAAAATTAAATTCTTTCAAATATAAAATTTATTTCAATTGTCAAAACTTTTAATTGATTCAATTAATTAAATTATTTTCGAGAATTGAATAATTTTTGTTAAACAAATATTGGAAAACTTATTGTTATTTATTTTAGTTGAAATTTCAAATAATTATAAGGTAAAAATCCTTTTGAAATTTAATTATTTCTAACAATATTACAACTACAATTTTTCCAAAAGTCAATTATTTTTTAGAATTTTTGACTAAAAGTATTTAAAACTTTAATAATTTTTAAAGGAAAATAATATAATCTTCTAATAAACATTTGAATATTATTATACTTTTACGGCGATTAAAATTTAATGTTAACAAGAAGTTAAAAACCGTTCAAGATTGAATTATTTCTTAAAATTCCTGTTATAACGCTTCTAATGTACAATTATTCTTTTTTAAATTTTAACTGAAATTCTTTTTTGAAATCCTTATTAGAATTCAACAATTAAATTATTTAAATATAACATTTTTTGTAAAATTTAATTACTTTCCAAATTTTTAATTGCAATTCTTCCGAAAATACAATATTTTAAAATAATTTTTTAAAGTGAAAAAATAAAATTCTTTGAAAAATAAAATTTATTTTAATGAAATTTGAAAAAATTTCCAATTTTTCCAATTTGTTTAAAAAATTATTTTGTGGACTATTATTATTAATTAATAAATTATAATTTAATTATAATTAATTTATTAATATATATTATAATAAACAATAATTTTGTTTGTTTAGATACATTTATACCGGAAGTATAAATAATCTTGAGCAATTTGGAGTGGAAATTTTAGAAGCCGTCGATCGCTACAATTTAGAAACACTTCAAAAATTGGTGGAAGAATTTTTGGCAAAAAATTTGACAAATGAAAATGTCGTAGATCTCTCGATAAATGCCGATTTTTTCAACGCTTTCTTTCTTTTAAAACATTGCGCTAAATATATTGTGAAACAAATAATTACTTACCCGAAATTGAGAAAAGTCAAAAACGTTATAACTTTGAAAATGTTTGACTGTTTCAGTCAAAATATTTTCTACGAGTTTCTGGAGGTATTAAAAACAGAATGTAAAATCAATTTGCAAAATGTTTCGTAAATTTAAAGAAAGGACAATATTATTAATTAATGTTAATAATTAAATTATTAATTAATATTTAAAATATTTAATTAATATTATTATGTAATTAATATTAAGACAATATTAATTTAAAGAAAAGACAAAACTTGACTTCAATTTTGTGAATTAAACATGTAACTTTTTATATTTTTTGATAATAAAATAAACTATTCTTACTCGTATTTTATTATTTAATTTCTTTATTCATTTATTTAATTGTTCATCTACTGTTGTATATTTATACTATTTTTTTTACTTATTCGTAATTTTATTTATTTTTCTAATGTTCATAAATCAAATTCCTAAAAATTTTTGGCATCTTCGAAACAATTCTTTCCTTTAACTAAAATAAAATTTTCAAAACTTTTTGTTCTATTCTGCATTGTATCAGTTTTATTTCATCACAATATTTATAAACCTAATTACAAATACTATTTATCTTCTCACAGAATAAGATATTTATCACATTAACTACATTTTAAAAATTTTTAAATAAAAAAAAATAACTTAAATTTAATTTTAAATTATTGTTTTACAATTATCACTATCGATTATTGTAAAGAAATTATGAAAATAGAATTTCAACTTGAATAAATATTTAATATCAAAATTAAATTACGCTAAAGATGTCAATATTTGATCATCACATATAACCGAAGTACAAAAATTGTATTTATAACAAAAAATACAATGCTTCTAAAAAAATAAATAGATTTTTCAATTCGGTTCTAAATAGAATTCGATAAGTAAAATTTTACTCTAAAATTAATTAAATTATTTTAAAAAATTCATTTTTACATATTAAAATTATGAATTTAAAATCTACTTTGTAGATTAAGTGTTAATTGAAATTAAAAATATCGAGATTTTTACAATTTTTGAATCAAATTAAACTGTTTTTTTTTACAGTTTTATGGCAATTGATCGACAACGCTATCAAAAAATGAATCCACAGATTCTTGCAATTGAGTCATTGATAAAATGTTATAAATCGCTTGATTTATTGACAATGTCGGACCCAAAATTTGCATTCGAACTGCAAATTTAAGCGAGAGAAATTGCCATTTTAATTCCGTTCGCTGCTCTTGGTTCATTGCCTAAAATTAATTATTATTTTTATTATTACCTATTATCCTTTTATTATTATTTGTATTATTATTATTATATCCTTATTATTATTCTTATTATTTTTATTAGCATTATTATTAAAATTAGAATTTTTTAAATTTAAATTATAATTAATATTTTAATTGAACATAAATTATAAAAATTGTGATTTACTTGAAATTCTGCAGCTGTACATCCGAGAAATTGTTCTACGGCACTTCCCAAAAATCTACAACCAATTAGATATCCGGTATCGTCCTTTAGATTGAATTTCACATTCAAACTGATAAGATTGTAAGGTTTTCGACTTCCATTCCCAGAAGGACATTCTAAATTCATACATGATTCTTGATCTTTTTGAACGAATTTCTTACACAGAGCGCTGAAATTATAAAACAAAATATTTTTATCAATATTATTTATCAAATGAAATTAGTTTTTTTAAATTCATGATAAAAATTTAAAATATATTCGTTTTAATTTCTCGTAAATTAAAAAGTTTAGAAACATTGTTTAGGTATTTTTCCAAAAAATTTTAGAAAAAAAGTGAAAATTTGCAAATTTGTTTCATTTTCCTTTCTTGTGTAGGAAATAATTTGAACTTTGGAAATTTTTTACTTATTTTCATTTTCTATTTTAATTAAAATGTTTAACAAAAAAATTATCGTAATTAATAGACGATAAAATATTATTAAAAAGGAAGTAATTATTATTATAATTCAATTATAATTGTTATTATTACAAACAATTAAACTCACCACTTTGTAGACAGTAAGTTTTCATCCTTGCTGTCCAAATTCATTTCAGTAACTTGCGCATTGAGAACAACAAAAAACTGAATTCTCTCGTTACTTTCTGTTGCAGGCGAATTTAACTTTTGTGTAATTTGTTGAACAGTCATGACTGAGTTTATGCACTTCACTAGAATGAAAATTTCACAGATTAGAAAGTAAATTTACAAAAGAATTTTTAAATCCATTTGTAAATTCGTAAATAGTAAAATAGCTAAAATAGTAAATAGTAAAAGTACAAAAATTCAACTTACAATTTGGTATCGAATACGGATCAGTGTGCGTGAACTCTGGCTTATTCGTGACAGCGAGTCTCAAATCATTCGTTTGCGGAATATTTGGATTTTCAGTTATCAAAGTCTTTTTAGCTGTAATGAAAAAAATATCGATTTTCAATTTTCGAAAAGCTAATAATTAAAATCAATTAATAGAAATACAGTCAATTCTCGATAAAAAAAACTCGAAGAGAGACCGAGAAAACTTTCAGTTATCGAAAATTCGTCTTTATCTAGAGTTGACTGTAATCACGAATTTTACGATCTTAGGAATTATAAATGATTTTTTTTGTTAGCTAAGAAGACACATTACGATTCTAATTTCTATTGCTGATTGGATTTTTGATTTAGTTTAATTAAAATTAACCCTAATAAATATATTTGAAAAATTTAAAATAATTTTAAAAAAATCAATTAAACTTTTTCAAAACAATTAATTCTATAAAATTGTTCTACTTGAAAGTACGAAAAATTCAGATTTTCAAAGATTTTAATTCGAAACCTTTTGAAAATCCAATTATTTCTATAAAATAAAAATGCATTCTATAATACTATTAATATTGAATTATTATTTAAAATTTTTAACTAAAATTTATATCGAAATCAATTTTTATTAGAGAATTCTGCGAGAATTCAATTATTTAAATACGAATAAAATGCAAATAAATAATTTATTAACTAATTGAATGTTTTTTAAAATTGAATTTTCATAAAGAATTTTATCAACAAATTTTTAAATAATTGAATTCTTTCGACAAATTTCAATAAAATTTTTAAGAATAATTACATTTTTCGAGGAATTCGATTAAAATTAAAAGAAAAGTCCTTACCTATAGACATACTTATCCGTTTCTTAAATTTATCAAATCCAACACGAATGTCAGCTAAAATTAAAACTGTTCTACGGGGTTCCCAAAGTTCAGACAATCGAATCCACTCGGAATCCCAAAGTTGCAATGCAACCGATTTATTTGTTGAATGATCTGTTACTTCAAAGGAACGACATTTGAATTTTCGTCCGTCTCGACTTATTATGTCCCGAACTTCGCCGATCTGAAAGAAAAAGGTTCTTTTTTACATACAATAAACGTTAATTATTTTTTCAACCATTTTAATTATTTATAAATGTTAAATAAATCGTTTTTGTTAATATTTTTTAATTATTTTTTTAAACAAATTTGGGACATTAAAGATTATTTAACGAAATATTTTAAATTTTAATAGTAAAATATCGATTCTCACGAAAGTGACAACGACGAGAAGATCAATAAATTGATCTTTCAATTCTTCGATGTGTTCCAAAGCGAATTTCAAAGATCTCAATGAATCGATTGATTTTGTTGGCAATTTTAATAACGGCTCGAAACGATCTCTATCATCGGAATCGTGATTTTGTATCAATGCTGTTCCCTCATTGACAGTAATATTTAACGAACTCGTTACGGTAGGAACAAACGCATCGTTTGGGTCATCAACTCTTCGATTTGACACTTTTCCGCTTATAACTTCGACTGAAAAAATGTTTATTAATTAATACGAAAAATTTACTTATTCACAAATAATCTCAATTATTCTTAGTATTTAGTATAGTTATCATTAATTATTCAATAGATTAAAAAATTGTTTAATTTCCTGTATAAAAAATTATTATTATTATTATCAAAATAATGAAAAAAATTGTTTTTAAGGAATTGAAATAAATATTGTCATAATTAGCAACTGTTTTTTAAAAAGAATAAAAATTAATTTTTATTTTTCAAATAATGTTATGGAGTTTTGAAAATTGAAATATACTTACCAATAGAACCGATGGGAAATTTATTAAATTGTGAATCGACATAATCTGATCTTCCCCAAACAGTCACGTTAATAAAGTCATCGGGCGAATCACGAAGAGTAAATGTCCAAACCGCACGTCTTACTTCATTGACTGAAAAAAATAAATTAAAAAATTAATGGTAGATTAATAGTAGTTATTGAAAATCATTGAATTGCAAAAATTTTTTTAAAATAATTTAATTTTACAAAGAAATTCTAGAAAGAATTTTATTAATTTTGAAAACAATTGGATTTTTGGCATGAATATTGTTGTTTACAAAAATAATTCAATTTTGCAAAGATTTTATTAAAATTCCTCAAAATAATTGGATTTTCAGTAATAATTTTGTTATTTATCTTTATTCTTTAATAATTGAATTCTTTCGAAGAATTATTTATGCGTAAATAATTGAATTCTTCCAAAGAATTTAAACAAAAACATTTTTTTAAATAATTGACTTTTTCAAGTAATTGAAATTAAATTTATAAGATTAATTATATTACTTATAAAAATAATTGAATAGTTTCTAAGAAAAATATTATTAGTGAATGTAATTTGTTGTTAAATATCATTAAAAAAGTGCTTAAAGTTATTCCAGTTATTCGATTAAAAAACGAAACATTTTTTAGGTTATGCAACAAAAATTGTTTTTTATATCTAATTTTTAAAGGTAATATTTTATACAATGAAAACTTTTAATGAGTCTAAGTATGAAAAATAAAGTAATTCACACTTTTACTTAAGCATTTTTCAATTTAAAAAAATAATTTTTTGTGAAATTTACTTACATTTGGAGCTGCTCGGTTCAAATACTCTCGGATTGGCACTGTTAATTATTATTCCAATAACGATAGAATTTTGCGTTCCTGGTTGTAGAGCACTCAACTTTTGTGTCCAAACCGAGGACATAATTAAATAATTATATAATATTCTTTTTTTCTTGATGACACAAAACGTTCAATAATCAGAGATTGTTGCGAAGTAAAAGGCGCGAAAAATATTTCACTTTCACGCAGGGTGCAGTCACTAATATTGAAACCTACAAAGTATAAGGGTGCGATCACACCGGACGGATATTAACGAATGCATTTGCATGCTATTGTAGAAACACCTTTACAACCAACTGAGTGTCAAGGTCGCGATTTTGACATTTTTCGCCTTTCGGTAAATTATTTTTCAAAGGTGTAAAATTTCTTTCATTATTATCAACAATTATCAAAGAGTTGAAAGAAGGACATCTTGTTGTTTAATTGCATTTTATAGCGCTGCAGTAGACGCGCCAAGGTATTATATATATATTTCATTACTTATGTTATTTAGGTTATAAATAGGAAATATTTTTTTCAAGTCTAACCTCTAAAGTTTGCCTTTATTCTAAATAGGGTTGTGAGTGATGAAACGTTTCATTGAAACAATGAAACTTTCATTTGAAAGTTTCAATGTTTCATAAGCGAAAGTTTCATTAATTTCATAAAACATTGAAGAACCAATAATTAAGCTTTATTTGCACATGCGCAGTTGTCAGTTCAGGTTAGATAATCTCTAGAAATTTTAGGTTAGCTCGAAACAATTTAATGAAAATTTTTTGTTTACATCCGAAAACACGAGAGTAGTTATGTTAATATTAACTAAAAATTACCTAAAATATTACCTCTAACGAGTGACTTAAAATTAAATTATTAATATATTTTTTAATTATTTATTTTATTTATAAAAATTAAAGAAAGATATTAAAGTAAATAATAATACTTCATGTTTTTGTCGATAATAATATGCGTTAATTATTATACTTTCTTGCATTGAATTTGAAATTTCCCGCTTAAAACTTGAAACTTTGAAATGTTTCATGAAGCATTGAAACTTTCATGAAACATTTCATTTTCCAAAGTTTCATGAAACTTTACAACCCTAATTCTAAATTTCTAACAGTATTTATTTATTAAAATCTGTAAAATGTAAACTATTCACATCACAGAGCGTAAAGGATTTTAAAATCTAATATTTTCATTTAAAAGAAAACAATCAGTAAATAATTAGTCACAGAAGTGAAAAAGTAAAAAAAGTAGTTTTAAAAATATTTATTGAAAACTTTTATTAAATTTATAGATGTCAGAACCAGATGTGGAGTGTTTGTCACCGAAAATTCAAAATGATAATGATTATCGGAAAATTTATTCGAATTTGAAATATTTAAGCGACTTTAAAATTACTAATCGAGGAAAAACATTTTCTGTTCATAAGGTTAGTCGTGAATATAATTCTAATCAATTTTTAGGTGTTTTGGCTGCCTGCTATGCAACAAGCCATGTAACCAACAAAAAAAATCAATTTTTATTGATTTTGTCAAAGTTAATGTGAGTTATTTTTATAGGTTATTTTAGCGAAAGAATGGCCTTATTTTCATGAGTTATTTCAAAAGGAAAGAGAAATTAAGAAACTCAATAACCATGATTTGGATATAGATCCGGAAGCATTTAATATCATCCTTCATTACATGTACTCCAATGAATATCCAAATCGAGGTCGATACGATGTTATTCTTGCTGCAGCGGATATTTTACAAATGGAAAATTTAAAAAATCACTGTGAAAGAAAATTGGAAAAAGATCTATCTCAAAAAACTGTTTGTCAGCTTTTGACACTTGCTGTAGAAAGTTCTGCAAAGCTTCTATTCAATGCTTGCATGACTTTTATTTTAAAAAACATTCATTCAATTGATTTTCAAAGTCTAAAATCTAAGCCACTCGTTGTATTAAGTATGTTAGAAGAATTTTTCAAAGGAGAATGGATGACGGATTCTTTTCAAATTACTGAATCTATTAATCTTTCATTTGAAAAAAAGATTGAAACGAATTCGAATTATTTTCAAAGAATTGATTCATTTTTAAATAATGAAAAATATAGTGACGTAACTTTTTATGTCGGAGAAAAAACTTTTCGAGGCCATAAAATGATTTTATCAGCAAAAAGTCCTGTTTTTGATAGAATGCTTTCGAGTGAAATGAAAGAAGCTCCCACGAATGTTGTAGTGATTGAGGACATGGAACCAGAGGTTTTTTACGAAATTCTAAGGTATTACTCTTTTTTTTATATACTAAAGTAAAAACAGGGTGGTCATAAGTTTCAGTTTATCAATTTCCCTGACAATTTACTGACATTAAAATCACTTTTCCTGACAAAATTCTTTTTTAAGAAAAATATAAAAGTTTACAGAAAATGAGTAAACGTTATGAATTTTAACAATTTCTAAAAATTACAATCATAACACATTCTAAATACGATTATAATAGTTTCAAAAAAAATTTCTTTTAAATAAGTCGAAAAATGTCTCAATTTTTTTAATTTTCCTGACTTTACTTCAGGGTTGCCACAAAATTCCAGATCCAAAAATAAAATTGTTTTGATAAATTTTTTTCTAATTACGACAAAAAATATTAATATTCCCCAAATAAATTATAAATAACACAAGTTATTAATATTTTTAATTTTTATAAATAATAAAAATTTAAGTTAAAGTCATTTTCTATTTCATATAGGTACCTTTATACAGGAGAAGCGAATGTTGAACAATATGCTTTTGAGATTCTAAAAGCTGCCGATTTTTACAATATAGAGGATTTGAAAACGTTTACTGAAAATTATTTGGCGAAAAATTTAACTGACGTGAATGTGGTCAATGTTGTTAAAATTGCCCAAACATACAATGCATCATCTCTTTTCAAAGATTGCACTAACTATGTTGTTAAGTTAATGATTTCTAATCTGAAAATAAAGAAAAAAAATTCAATTTCTTTGAAACTCTTCGCTGATTTTCAAAATAATATTTTCTACGAATTTTTGAAAGTTTTGACCAATTCTTGTAAAATTGAGTATTTATCTGAATTTTGTTATCCTATTCCACGTTCGGTTCGTGGAATACAAGTTGAACACGTACATTTTAAACCAATTACAAAAAGAAGGTGTCTTAGAGGAAGGAGATGCAATTAATTCGTTAATGCATATTAACCTTATTAAAAATAAATAAAATATATATAATATATATTAGTTGTAATAAAAATATTAAATAAAACTATTGATAAATAAAATGCGTTTTCTAGTCGTAAATGCCCCTTGCAGATTGTGAAAACCGAGTAGCAACCGAATTCGGTTGAAGGTGAAAAATGTCAAGAAAAACACTATGTGATGTGCTTTGAAGAAATGGATCTAAGAAGCAAACTTTGTAGGTTATAAGGTATTATAAATAAAAACAAAGTCATTCGGACCAAATGTTATTGTACATTTTTTCTCCAACGTTTCGAAATTTTACCGTTTCCTCTTCAGGGAGTCGAAATAAATCAGTGAAATAGTTTACATAATCTTTTTCAAATCGTCATAAAAATAAAATTTGTTAATTTTTACGTAAAACCCATAAACGTTAGAAAACAATAGAAGTTGGAGTCAATATAACAACGTAAATATAATCCATTCACAAAAATCACACAAAGGAAATTTCATGAATAAACAAAACATTGTCATTACACAAAATATTAAAAAATAAATAATTTAAACACACAAGCAAATAAATAAATAAATTAAACGGAGGCAAACGAAGAAAATTTGAACTTGTGTCGTCAACTATCAAGTCGCACCTGTCACAACATCGACAAATGCATTTGCATGCTATTGTAGAAACACCTTTACAACTTAGTGTGAACTGATACCTTTCATTCTTTCTTTCATTATTTATTTAATAAAAGAGTTTCATTGCAGTAAACGCACCAAGGTATTATGTACACTTAATTGTTATTTATTTCATTCTCTTATTAATAAATTAATTTATGAAATTTAATTTCTAAACGGTAGAAACTAACATAAGAGATGTATTTTGTTGTTGACCAGAATAATTTGTAATGCAAAATGATGTAAAAAAACAAGTGTTTATTTTTGCTTGTCTTTGTTTAGAGTATTTTCTATTTTTGAGCTTTTGTCTTTCTATTATTATTAACCTTTTATAAATCAACAGTTTTATAATTTCAATCTCTTCATATTTGTAAAGTTTGTAAAACAAGGAAACAATTATGATCACCTAACCTATAAGTAAGAAATAAAGTTTCGTTTCAGTTTTGCACGGCACTAAATGAGAATTGACTTTCAGGGAAATTTTCATAAATATAATTAATTGTAAATTAGGTAATTAGGTAACTATAATAATTTGAATGTTCTTTCATTCATTCATTTACTTTTTCTGTCCCTCACACTCTGAAGTTGTCTTTTGTTTATACTTTTGTTTTTTATTATCTTTAAATAGATTGTACATTTTATTATTATTAGCAATTTATTTATTCAATTTATTATTGTTATGCAAATTACAAAATTTTTTATTTTCAAATATAAATTTTTTAATTAATTTCATAATCAAAATTTAAAAAATTCAGTTATTAAGTACAAAATTAGTTTTGATTTTACAAAATTAAAAAAGTACAAAGAAAAATTTCTTTGAACGAACGAAGAAAGTATAAAGAAAATTTAAAATTTTTATTAAATTTATAGATGTCAGAAGCCGAGGAGAGTTTGTCATCGAAGATTAATGAAGAATATGAGAAGTCGAAAATTTATACGAACTTGGAATTTTTGAGCGACTTTAAAATTATTACTCGAGGAGAACCATTTTGTGTTCATAAGGTTAGTCGCAACTTGAATAAATAATTCTGCGGGCATTTTATTGATTTATTGAATGCAAATAAAAAAAATTCTTATAATTATAATTAAGCACTCATTCGAATCCATTTTTATATTTATAGGTTATTTTAGCGAAAGAAAGTCCTTATTTTTATCAATTATTTCAAAAAGATGGAGAAATTAAGGAACTTAATATCCTTGATATTGATATAGAACCGACAGCATTTAATAACATTCTTCATTACATGTACTCTAATGAATATCCAAAGCACGGCTCATATGATGTTATTCTTGCCGCAGCGGATATTTTGAAAATGAAAAATTTAAAAAATTACTGCGAAACTCAAATAGAAAAATTGATAACTACGGAAAATGTTTGTCAATTTTTAATATTGTCGGTAGAATTTTCCGCCAAGATGCTATTCGAAGATTGTATGTCTCTTATTTTGAGAGGTATTGATGTTCTTGATTTTTGTATTCTACAATGTAAACCACTCGTTGTTTTAAGTATGTTGGAGGAAATTTTCGAACGAAGATGGATGATGGATTCTTATGTAATTACTGAATCCATTAATCTTTCATTTGAGAAAAAGATTGAAACGAATCCGAATTGTTTTCAAGGAATTGATTCATTTTTAAATAATGAAAAATATAGTGACGTAACTTTTATTGTCGGAGAAGAAACTTTTCGAGGCCATAAAATGATTTTATCAGCAAAAAGTCCTGTTTTTGATAGAATGCTTTCGAGTGAAATGAAAGAAGCTCTCACGAATGTTGTAGTGATTGAGGACATGGAACCAGAGGTTTTTTACGAAGTTCTAAGGTACAATATTTTATTCTTTAAAATTTATTAATCTTTTTTATTATTATTTTATAAGTAAAAAGTTGTTTTTCTAAAATTTTGTTTTTCATACAGGTACATTTATACAGGAAAAGTGAAATTTCCTCAAAATGTTTTTCAAATTCTAAAAGCTGCAGATTATTACAATATAGAGGATTTAAAAAATTTTACTGAAAAATATTTGGCGGAAAAGTTAACTGACTTGAATGTAGTCGATATCGTCAAATTTGCAGACACGTACAATGCTTTTTTTCTTTTAAGACATTGTTCTCAATATATTGTTAAGAGAATGATTTTTAAACTAGAAATGGGAGAGAAAATTCCATTTTCTTTAGAAATGTTTGTTGATTGTCAAAATAATTTTTTCTACGAAATTCTAAACGTTTTGATTGAGTTTTGTGAAATTAAGTTTATTGAATTGAATGAATCAATTAGTGATTATAAAGAGCCTGAAGAAGATTGATGATTGAAGATGATTTTAATTTTTAATTAAATACATTTTTTTTTTTTTGAAAATTGTACGAAAATTCAGTTATTTAAATAAAAATATAAATAATTTATTGAATAATTAAATATATTTTTTTAAATTTAATTATTATAAAGAATTTTATCGAAATTTTTTTTAATAATTGAATTTCTTTGACGAATTTTAATAAATTTTATAAGATTAACAATTGCATTTTTTTTCTATAATAAAAAAAAAAAATTCTCGAAAAAGTTTGAATTGAATTTTTGTAAAGAATTTTATCAAAATTGTTGAAAATAATTGTATTTCTTGAAATCATTGTTTTAAAAATTGTGAATTTGTTTCTCAACAAAAATTAATTCCCCACAGAATTGTTAGTTAAAAATATGAAAAATTCAAATTTTCAAAGATTTTCATCCGAAACCTTTTCAAAATACAATTATTTCTAAAAATTTACCCTCTAATGCTTTTAAAATTCAATTATCTAAATTTTTAACTGAAATCTATTTTGAACATAATTGAATTTTGTCAGAATTGTTTTATTACTTTTAATGTAAATAATTGCATTTCTGCAATCATTTGTAATTTCTTCAAAATTCAATTTTTTCTTTTTAGTATTTTTAACTAAAATTCTTCTATAAATCCATTATTTTTAATAATCAATTAAATATATATATGTAATTTTAGAAGATTTTGAATTATTAAAATTTTTTTGCAAAAATCTAGGTTCTTTATAATTAAATTTATTCAAAATTGAAATTTTCGAAAATTTCAAATTGAAACCGTTTGAATTTCATTTAAGTTATGAAAATTGTAAGACGCAACTCTTTTAAAATTGAATTAATTTTGAAATATTTAAGTAAAATTATTCATTAAAATAATTTATTTATTTTATGATATAGTTGTTTAAGATTTAAATTATTTAAAAAGAAATTTTTGGTCAGAAATTGAAAAAAATGTAAAAACTTCAAAAATTAAAGAAATGAAAAAAATTTTTATTTTCGAATTATACTCAATTGAATAATTAGTTTTGTTTTATTTTTTCGCATATATATTTCACAATAAAGTTAAAATTATTTTTTCTATTACATAATTATAGTATATTCAAGTCGATTATTAAAGAAGTTACATTCATTTTTTCTCGATTGCAAAATAAATAGTACATCATATTTCACTCAAAACAAAACTTAAAACTACACATTTAACTAATTAAATTTAATTCCTATTTTATTATACGAGTGTAATAGAAATAATTGATTATTATTTTTCCTAATTTCTTTTTGCACTTGTCTTAATATAATTTTTTAACGTAATATTAGGCAGTTTTTATATTTTTCAGACATTATCAATTATTACATTATTTAAATTTAAATTATCAATTATTATTTTTTATTATTAGAATTATTAATTATTATAAATATGTAATACTTGAATATTTTCGTAGATCATTTCAAATACTTATATCTAATTCTGTAGCTCATTTGTGATTGTCGTAGATCGTTTTAATACTTTTCAAACATGTTACTTTATACTTTATTATTTTGTTATTTTTTTAATAATGTTTGCTATTATTATTATTACAATTTTATTGGATACTAATTGCATTTTATTTCGTGTATTTAATATTAAGTACAATTTACTACCTCGAATTGATTTAATAATTTTGCTATAGGAAGCGACATGTGCGCTACTCTTGAAAGTCATAATTTAAAATATGTGGGTCCATCTGACCCTGACAACTTTTTAAGCAGACAGTCGTTTATTAACGAGAAAATATTATGTTTAAAAGTTTTAAAATTCAATTTTTGAAAAACCTAATATTTAATGTGCGTTACAATAATAATTTAATATTTAATGTATCAAAATGATTTTTTTTTCGTCAAAAAATGAAATAAAAATGATTGAAAACCTACAAAATGGAGACACGTGAGTCTTGTAGGTATTTGTATTAATAATATTATCGGCATTATTTGCATTAACTAGTTAACTAGTTAATGAAATAAAGTGTTGATAAAAAATGAATTAATTGCTAGATATTAACTAATTTTAATGAGATTTATAGTATGCATAATTTGCTTGATATATAGTATAAGTGTAGAAGAGTGCATGCCATTGTGCACAAATTGCCAACGGCAATTGTACTGTGAACCAGACGGAAGGTTTTGTAAATTTTCAAATAATGTGGACAGTGCTTTAAAACACCAAAATTGTGATGTCCAATTTCACTGCCAACTTTTGCGGTCGCTTCTATTGATGTCTTTTGAACAATGAGACGCAGGAGAATTGGTGTCATGTACAAACGAATCATTAGTTCCAAGAAAAATGCTGAAACCATTCCAAAAACCTGAAAAAGAACATTAAAATTATTATTTAGAAATTATTTAATGAATAATTTTACTAAATACCAATTTACAAAAAAACTTAGATTTTTGAAAAAATTTATTATAAAGCGAAATGTAGATAGAAATTATATTAAAATTCCCCGCACTTTTAAATTTGTAAATGTTCTTTTATCTCTTATCGCGAATAAAAAAAAAATGAATGAAATTACAATCTGAATTAATTGAAAGAATAAATCAATATAAAAATTATATGAATTGAAGTAATATCACGATTTAATTCAACGATAAATAAAAGTCGAGAATAAATTTTAATCTAATAATTATGAATTAGAAAAATGAAATTTAAATTGTTAAAAATTTCATAAGAATCAAATGTATTCGAGTGGATTTAAATTTTAATTTATTTAGTAGATTTGAAATTAGTGAAAGAATATAAAATTAATTGAAGACATCGTTAAATATTTAGAAGAATTTATTACAAAAATTGAATAAGTGAATTAAAGAGTCCCTTGAATTCAAATTTGCTAAAATAAAATTTACTGAATTAAAATTTACTCAATTAATATTTACTAAATTAATATGTATATTTAATTAAAATTTACTAAATTAAAATTTACTAAAATATAATTTACTAGATTAAAATTTACTAAATTAAAAAATTTACTAAAATAAAATTTACTAAATTAAAAAATTTACTAAAATAAAATTTACTAAATTAAAATTCTTATCGTTCAGGAGAATTTTTGACAAATCGATGACGCCTTCCAATTTTTTTTCCAAAGTCAAGGCAATGATTCTTTATCTTAAAAATCAGTACAAGTTATCATCTCGTAATATATAATTTCAGTTAATTTCCTTTCGTGCGCAAGATAATGTTATTTAAAAATAATTTTCATGTAAATCGCATTTGATTATAAACTCTAAATTAGTTTTGTATTATATTTATATTTAGATGAAAAATATATTTATACTTTTCATGCAAAGTGAAAAAGAATTGCAAAGTTACTTTTTAAAAATCTTAAACTTTAGTTTAAAAATTTCTAACAATTTTTACTAAATCCGAAATAAATTTTACTATTCGGCCTTAGTAAATTTAAATTTAGTTTCTGAAGTTTACATCGGAAATGTAAAATTTAATTTGAAAATAGAAGAAATTTACTTCGAAAATAGAAATTCATTTATTAAAACAGCATTATCATTCACTGAAAGGCAATTGAAATACGATTGCACAAATTTGTGAGACAATTTCATTTTGCACTGCGATTCTTAAGATATGGAATGATCAGCAGAAATCTCTAGACAAACATTTCGCAAGAGTTCGTTAAATGATCGTCGTTTCCAAAATGGGAATTTATTAAAATATACTTTCTTGCCTCCTTTTTTTGTTATTTTCTCAACTTTATCAAAAAATTAAAAAAAAAACACAATTTCTATTATATAAAAAATTAACTGACCTGTACTTTCAACTCGAAATCCCAAGAATGTGCAGGATGACGACTAACGAAAATGAGAAGGGTTATGAAACTCATGCACGCATTTATTGTAAAATATCTTGGAAAAAGAACACGTTGAATTTCGCTGAAGGTGTGACGTGGTAATGCGAAATACAGCGATAATCCTGCAAAAAGAAAACAAAACTTTAGCAATTAATTTAATCCTATTTCGAATCTTTCGAAATTCAAAATGGCCGAACCAAAATGACCGATTGAAAGAAAAGTGGTCAGAGTTACTCTAAAAACTTATTAGTAACATTTTAATTACTTACGAATCTAAAATCAGATTTTTGTAGTTTCAAATAATTATTTAAATATTTTTCAGTAAAAGGCTTAACGGTCGTGTTTTTTTTAAAATGTAAGAATTCACTTTTTTAAAAATTTTGTTAATAAAAATTAAATTTTTTTAAATTTTGTTAACAAAATTATAATTATATTTTTATTAACAAAATTTTTAAAAAGTGAATTCTTACATTTAAAAAAAACAAGACCGCTAAGCCTTTTATACTCAAAAACATTTAAATAATAATCGGTCACTAATTTCAAGAATAGAAATAATTTTTTGTTTTTAATAAGTTTGTAAAGATTTTTACAGGCTTATATTTGTAAAGATATAGATTTGATATAAAATAAAAGTCAAGAATTAATAAACATAAAAAAATTCTTACCGGAGACGAAAGTCATCCAAATTTGTGATCCTAAGTGTACTATAAATGACGATAGATAAAGAAATGATAATAATGTCGATTGTTGTTGACCAGCCGTTGTTCGTCCATTTTTTGGAAAAACTGCTGATGCTACACTAAGAACCGAAAGTATCGTAATCAAGTGTGCTAATTGAGCGCTAGATACTATAATTCTGAAACAGAAAAAAAAATTTTTTTTTCTATTTATTCTGTAAAAATAAAAATTTCTGAAATAATAATCATATACATATTATTACTTTATTCACTTTAAATATTTATTTCTTGAACCGTTTTATATATAATAAATAATACCAGGGCCTATAACGGTTAATTTTGTTTTATCGATATTTAAATGTTAAATTTTCCCATTACTCCGACTTTTTTCGAATATAATTTGCGTTCACGTTCTTGATGTTATAGATGATTTCTTATAAAAGTTAAGATATAAAATAAGGAATCTTATTTTTAAATTTTTACAAACGTATAAGATGTAATAAAATAATTTCGAAATTGAATCATTTGAGATTATTGAAGATGAAAGAATTATTCTTGTTATCTTGAAGGAAAAGTCTGGATAAAATTTTATAGTCAGACTATTAAATGGTTCGTAAATTTTATTAAAAAAAATTGTTTTTAATAATTTAATAAAAACAGGTTTTAATAGAAAGGTTTACAATATTGTATAAAACAGTTTTTTACCATCATTACTATTTTTTTTTAGTTTCAAGATTTTAATAGTTTAGAAATATGGGAATCCCTAATGGAAGAGTTGTAATTCGCGTCGAGGATTAAAGGTGAGTTTACAATTTTTAAATAAAAACAAGCCCCATTCTGGAATCAACCTTCCCAACCCTGTTCAATCGTCCTATTACCAAAATTGTAAAATCGGCCTTATAGTTCCGAACTCTTCCACTCGGGATTTGCCTTTTTATTCTTTAAATTACACAAAGCGAAAATCATTGATTAACTTTTAATCGGTGTTGGTGAAACTGGCCCTAAATATATAAAATATATTGAAATATATTAAAATATATAAAATATATTAAATATATTGAAATATATAAAATATATGTAATATTATTGAAATATATAAAATATATTAAATATATTAAAATATGACGAGGAAGGGCAGTGAGGTGCAAAAGTATAAATATCTTCAAGTTATTCGCCAAAAAGCAAAATTTATTGAATATTTTTCGTAATACGATGCTTGAGAAGGTATAACGATGGGTTTTAATATATCAATTGAAAAAAGAAATAAAAATGATAAATCTCGGGACATTTACATTGATTGATGACAGACCCCTTTACATATAGGTCAAATACCTGTTGATATATTCATACCCACGTACATTGGCATATGCATTCTATATATTAGGGATCAGAAGCAGCCATTTATCAAACCGTGCGAGATGGCACGCAACCTACAGTTTCAATTTGCAAAACAAAGAATGACTTTTCAAAATGATACAAAGACGATTATTTACTATGATCTTAAGTCTTAAACCCGATTTTAAAATTTAAATTCATTTAACACTGATGTGTATTGGTATATAATGTAAGTATTAAGTGTTTCATAAAATTTTCCAAAAATTTTATCATGTTGTGTATAATAAAAAGTAACATAATACATTTATACTTTTATTATACAATTGATAAATTTTATAATATTTATATCAATTTTATTGTATAATTTTCAGATTTATTTATTTTACAATTTCCGCAGTCGAGTCATTAGACCATAAATGGGTAACAAAATAATTACACAATTTTTTTAAAATTTAACGCATAGGTAAACAGTGATTAAATTGTTTTAATTATAATTTATATAGAACTCTATAAATTTCAACTAGCAAAAATGTTTATTAACTAAAATTTATTAATTTAAATTAAGTTTATTAGTTAAAATTTATTTACTAAAATTTATTTATCTAAATTAAGTTTATTAATTAAAATTTATTTACTAAAATTTATTAATTTAAATTAGTGACTCACTTTTTACCTTTGAAATAATACATTTTACTAATAACTAGTAGTTTTTACTGATTTAGTAGTAAAATTTGACTAAATTTTTGTTTTTGAAATAGTAAATCCACTTGAAAAGTTAAAGTAAAAATTTAAATTTTCTGGCTTAAAACTATAGTAAAATGTTGTTTTGTATAAAACTAATAAAAGAAAAAAAAACTAATTCAGATTTAGAGAGTAATTTTTATAGAATAATGTGAATTTAATCACATCTTAAATATTAATCTAATCATCTAATCAAATTTAGAGAATAATTTTTAGAATAATGTAAATTTAATTGTAATTCATAAATGAATAAATGAAGTGTCTGCCTGAGAAACAAAATTTACAAATTAATCATATTTCTATAAAATTTTAATTATATTGTATCCATTTGACAACTTTTATTATAAGTACAAAAAAGTTTTTATTAAATATAGCTTATTTCTATTGTACAATACCCTAGCTATTTTCTTTCCATAATTCATAATTATAAATTAAAATCAAATAATATAAGAATAATGTACACATTTGTCTGCAATATCGAAGAAGGTCAATTATCATTCTCCTTTTATTCAAAATAATGTGTTATAAGGTCAATTAAGCGTGACAAAGTAGCATCTTGCTAACGTGACCTAATTTATTGTTTGCAGATTTGTTGGCATTTTGAACTATGTATAATATTACAAATTGAGTCAAAAATGCTTCAGTTTAAATTTGCACATTATTTATACATTAACAAAAATTGTTAGCTTTCAGAAAAAAAAATTATTTTTAAAAAATCTGTTTTCTAATTTAGAAAGAATCTGGTTCAATTTCATACTCATAAAATACGCATAAAAGTTATTAGTCTACGAAAATCATCTAAAACATAAATCCCAACAATTTTTGGTTAGAATTATATGATCGTTAAATGCGGATAAACCTCGAATATTTATGAATTTTTATTATAAAAAAGAAGTTGGAGCAAAATAAATGACAAAATTCTTTATCACTTTTTTTTATCACTTCTTTGTCATATTTTTGCAAAAAAAAATTTTTTCTTTGCAAATTGAGATTCATCCGCATTTTACGATCATATTTTAACAAAAAATTCTTGGTATTTATGTTTTAGGTGATTTTTATTGTCCCCAGAGCTCCCGCCGATTTTAACGACCCCTAGGCTTGTCACTACTATATATATATACATTTGTATTTGAATAATTTTTTTTGTTTAAATTTTCTTCTCAATATGTTCCCTTTTATGTAAAAAAATTTTAGTTAATAAAAATATGTAATATGATTCGAAAAAATACATTGGAAAGAACCCTCGGTTTGACCAGAACCCCCTTTTTAAAATATAAGATAGTTAAAATAAATAAAAATCATAAATAGTTTTAATGAATAATAAAAAAAATAATAAATTATGATAATAATAGTAAATAATGATAATAATAATAATATTAATATTAATAATGACAATAATATTTTTTTTTCTTTTTTTTTATAGGTAACGACAAAAAAAAATACAAATAATAATAAATTATATTATATTAATAATAGGGAATTAAAATAAAATAAATAATCTTAATAACAACGTATTTGCAATATGAATAAATTGCTATTTCATTCAAAAACGTATTGTTATCATTATTCAAACACAACCATGAGCCATAAAAGAAGTTCGTATAATGAATTATGAATTGACGTATTTTTTAGAGCAATACCTAGTCAATGAAGAATTAGAGCTGCATTGAAAGAAAAAAAAAATTTAACGCCTTACATTGACGCACGGTTTACGAATATGTATTCATAATTAAAAACTGTTTCTAAAATTCCTCTCTCGTCATTTGTTTTAGAACACTTAACGTATTTAACACTCTACTTTTATACGGTTAGTAAATTTTTCTTTTAAATTTGCAACTTGTTAAAAAAAAAAAGAAAAAAAAATATTTGAAAAATTTAAAATTTAGCATTTTTTGTAATTTTTTGTAATTTTTGTTCATTGATATTAAAAAAAGAGGAAAAAGAATTAAGATACCATTTGACACTTAATTAAAAATAAACGAGATGATCGTTCTCGACAAATATCAGCAGATAGCGAATTAAATTGTTCGAAAAAGGAGATTCTCTTTACTAATTAGTAATTAGTTATATTATGTTCTATATTGAACATTACATGCTATCTGTATTTTTTATATTATATATACTTTTATATTTACTTATTTGTTATTTATTATTATAAAAAAAAAAAAAAAAAAAAAAATTACATTATTATTTATTGTTGTTATAGTTGAACCGTCATAATTTAATTGTTTAATTATTTAAAAGGCCTTATACGGTTAAAGATGTTTATTTGTCATAATTATTGTAATTTTTTATTTTATTTTTATTTTTTTTATTATTTTTATTTAAGTTTTATATATTTTATCGAATATTTTTAGTATCAAAATTTTTTTCTAACGGCACAAAATCAATTTATCGAAAGTTTGATTATCGGAAAATTACTGTATTATAAGTCATTTAAAATTAAAAATACATATAATAACGAATGCATTGTACTTACTAATTATGTTTTCATTATTAAATAAAAATTGTCAATAATTTGATTTTTTTCTAAAAATATTTATATTTTATTCGTGGCAGCGATATAAAAATAATAAAAATATTAAATTAAAGAATTAAACGAGTTCAATGACCTCTAGGCCGTTGGCTTATTACACTAATTTAAATAGAACAAAAAGAAGAAAAAAATACAATTAATTATTAGAAATGACTTATACAATCGTGATATGGTTTATATTTATTTAAAAAACACAACTGTCTTGAGTTTAAGTTTTTAATGAAACATGAGGCATTTATATTAAAGCCGAGTTTTTATACAGTATATATAGCAGATAAATACATTATATGCGGTATTGTAAAAACCTTATCAATGTTTAAATAATTTTTAATGTGTTCTATTTAATTATTTATTCAATACTTAAGTAATTTTTTCATTTTTTTGTTGTTGTGAAAAATCTGTTGTATATAATAGAAAATTATTCCAAGAATTTATTTACATAATTTTATCATATTTATATGGTGGCTTATCAGAAATTAATTTTTTGTTTAATTTGTATGAATTTTTTAATCCTTATATTGATATAAATGTCTCTAATCTTTTCCTAGTATAATTAATATAACGTTCAATAGAATTTAAAAAAAAAATTTTTAACAATTTTTCTTTTTCTTTTAATCTTATTTTATTATTATTTTTAAATTATTATTATTATTATTAAAAATAATATTATTCATAGTATATAATATTAACAGAAAAATGTAATAAAAAAAGAGTAATTTTCGAATTTTTGATGAGACAAAAAATATTTAAACGATGTTTGCATACGTGTGATACCTGAAAGCGACACTTTGTTTCAGAGGACGCTTACACGATATATATGTGCTTGATCAAGGTCAAGCTGAACAAGTATACAAATATATATGCATAAACGCCGCACTGCACTCTTGCATAAACTGTAAAATTTTAAAACTGTAAATCAATTAAAATGATGGAGAAATTTTTACAAAAAATTTTTTTTTCATAGTAGAAGTACTTGTTAGTCATAAAAAATTTTATTACATGATAAATAAATTGAGACTGCTTAAATATGTATTTAATGATTGATATCACGTAGACAAACATAAAATAGAATAAATTTTCCTTTTTTTCTTCAAAAATTCGAAATTTAAAATTTCTTTTTTTTAAAGGAGATTATATAAAATAATGAGCAAAATATAAATATAATATATATAATAATATAATATAATATAAAATAATGTGCAAAATTAAAAAAAAAACGGTAGATCGTATTTTTTTAACTTTGATGAATTAATTCCATACATATTATAATTATTAACATAAAAATAATAACAATACCAAAAATTATTATAAATTTTATATTTATTTTACAAATATAATTTATATAATATTATTAACAGTTAACATAGGGGTTTAATATAGTATAATAAATATAGATTAGATAATAAGAGGATGTCGGCTAAAATAATATGAATCATTATTTTTTTTCATTCTCGTATAATATTCTAATTCACTTTTTTAAAGAGGGGATTCACCAGAGTTGTTTCCCGCCTTATTTAAAGCCTGAGCATCTTTCGGTGGGGAGGGAACTGAGAAGCGTGGATTCCCCCACCCATTGGGCCAGTATTATAATCTTTATTACCCTCAAAGAAAGTACTTAAATATTAGAACTTGTATAGTGTTAATATAAAAATAATATTTTATATGTATATATTAAGAATATATATTTATTTTATTTGTCATTATAATAGAAAAATTATGAAATTTAAAATTTTTTACTGCGGAATTGCTGAAATAAAACTAAACATTGAAGGGAATCGAACCTATTACCTTTGCTCCTAAAGTATAACGCACTGACCACTAGGCTATGATACTTCTTATTTATCGATATAATTATTTTATCTTTTTCACTATTTTTATGACTTTAGAATTAAATTTAAAAACTTTATATTATGCCGAAATGTGGTCAACTATTAAAAATTTAAAAATTTATATTTCATTTAATTAGTTGTAGAAATTATTAAAAATTATAAAAATATTTGCTTGAAATAAACAATTACTTATTATTATTATTATTATTATTATTATTTATACAGGGAAAGTTATAATAATTATTAAGTTTTGATATTTTATAAATAATAATAGCAAAAATTGATGAAACAGAAATTAATTGACTTTTAAGAGCATTTCTTTTTATTTTGTAAAATAATTTTTTTAAATTGTTATAAACAATATTAGTTAACAAATAATTAACTTTGGTTCCTCTGCTCCAAAAAATTTTTTTTTAATTATGAAAATTAAAATAAATTAATGAATATAATTGAATATTGTGTCCAGTGGAAAAATATTCATTTGATACAAGCAAACCGACTACATGTCTAATATGAAATAAATTTTCTTAAAATAAATATTTAATTAATATAATGAATTATAAATAAATAAATTATTCATTAATATCGTACCTATGTGTTTTTGTGTGTTTCCAAGCTTCAGAGCAACTGCAAAATTTATCGTACAATGTTCTAAATTTAACAGTGAATTTAAACGAAACACCTTCAGTTGACAAAAAATTATTAGCGCTATTATATTCTTGTTGAATGTCACTTCTCTGTTTTCTCTCGCGAACAATCATATCATCATGCAATTTGATAAATTTCTCTTTTGCTTTTAATAATTTATCCGGTTTCTTAGCCTCCTCATGTTTCACTTCTTTATAAACTGTCAAATTTGACGGCAATGCGTCCGTTTCATTTCCGGTTACTGTACGAACGCACATGGTGCAAAAATTTTTTTTTTTTTTTTCTTCAACTCGATATAATATCAAACTCGCCAAAAAGACACTCACGATCCGTTGGCAATCGAATTACTTCGCGAACTGAACTGAAGAAATTGAGACAGTGAGAAGAGGAGTGAGAATGTCAGAATGATAATGTAAAAACCACCACTAACTCGTGTCGAATGTGTGTGCCGATTCGGGCCGGTGCACTTGTTTAAAGGTGAGTTCAGACGCAAGCGTACATCAGTTCGGTACAGTTCGGCACGTAGGCAGAATATGTGCAAAATTACTCCCACCACTGGCACTTTCGTTCGACGACCGAGCGAGAGAGAGAGAGAGAGGGGGGGGGACCAGCAATAATAGTTAAGAAATTTTCATATTATATTGTAGTGGGAGTATAAATTGCTTACGTGCCGAACAAAAAAGTTTTTTAAGAAAAACAATTTTCTCTATTTAGAAATCGTCAAAGAGGAGTTCAGAAGAAAATAATTGATAACATTTTAATATTGACAAAATCATTTCTAAGAATATTTCATTTAAATCAATTTCATATATTTTTCGAAGAATATTTATTTCCATTGCTAGAAAATATACTTATTTTTTCTCAAAAATTAGTAAATTTTCCTCTTTGAAATAAGTATACATATAGGTACATTTTATCATTTCTTTTTTAGCGTTTGAATTATAGGCGCTATAAATTCTGCTGTCCGAAGTTCGGACAGTCTACTCGGTCTCTCAGACCGTTATTTTTTTTTTTAATTTTAAAGTTTTAAAAAATAATATTTAATTCAATATTTTTGAAAAACATAAATTATATAAATAAAAGATGTTTAAATTCATTTTTTAGGCCTAATGGCTTACGCCATTAGGCCTAACAAATAAATTTAAACATCTTTTATTTAAGAATCAATTATATTTCCAAAAAATATTCGAAATTCAATTATTTTCAATACTCTAGTACTTTTGTAAAAAGCAAAAGGAATTCAATTATAGCAAAAAAAAATTGATAAAATTCATCCAAAATTCAATTATTTTCATAAATAAAGTTTTCCAAAAGACTTCAATTATATTAAAATAAAATTTTCATAATATTTATTATATTTCGAAAAAATTAATTAAATTTAAAACGATGTTTATAAAATTCTTTTGAAGAATTCAATTATTTTCAAAAATAACAAAACTTTTCATCGAAATTCAATTCTTTTTGAAAATTTTAATAAAATTCTTTACAACTGTTCAATTATTTTCATAAATAATAAAATTCATCGAAGGATTTCAATTATTTTTGATACAATTTTTACAGGAATTGATAAAAAAAAATGTAATATTCTTAAAAATTTAATTTCAAATCCTTGCAGAAAAAATCAATTATTTAAAAAAACGTTTTTTTGAAATTCTTTGGAAGAATTCAATTATTTTTCACAGGAATACAATTATTTTTAAATATTTTTAAAAAATTTTTCGAATGAAATTAATTATTTTAAATACAATTTTAATTAAATTTTTTAAAAATAATTCAATTATTATTTTAGATTTTAATAAAATTCTTCCCAAGAATTCAATTATTTTCATAAATAATAAAATTCATCGCAGGATATCAATTATTTTTAATACAATTTAACAGGAGTTGATCAAAAAAATGTAATTATTTTTAAAAATTTAATTTCAATTCCTTGAAAAAATCGATTATTTATAAAAAAAACGTTTTTTTGAAATTCTTTGATAGAATTCAATTATTTACGAAAATATTAGAATTTTTCACAGGAATTCAATTATTTTTAAATATAAAAAATTGTTCGAAAAAAATCAATTATTTTAAATACAATTTTAATTAAATTCTTTTAAAATCATTCAATTTTTCTTTTAGATTTTAATAAAATTCTTCCCAAGAATTCAATTATTTACATAAATAATTCGTTGAAAGAATTCAATTTGGTTGATAAATAATAAAATTATTCCCGAAAATTCAATTATTTTGAGGAATTTGAATGAAATTCTTTGCATAATTCAATTATTTTCATAAATAACAATATTCATCAGAAAAATTTAATTATTTCTAAAAGTAGAAAATTTTTTCTTGGAAATTAAATTATTTTGAAAAATTCTAATAAAAACGTTCACAAGAATTCAATTATTTTCATAAATAATCAAATGCTTTTCAAGAATTCAATTAATTTCAAAAAAATTTAATAAAATGCCACACAGACACATTCAATTATTCTCAAAAATTTTAATTGAATTCTTTATAAAATTTAATTACTTTAAAAAAAGTCCAATTATTTTGAAAATTTATTGTAAAAATCTCCGTAAGAATTCAATTATTTTCATGAATAATAAAAATTTCTCAGGAATTCAATTATTTGAATTAGAATTTGCATAAAATTAGTCGAAAGAAATGAATTATTTAAAAAACTTTTCTAAAATCGTTTGCAAGAATAATTAAATTATTTTTATAAATATTGAAATTCTTTTACGAATAATAAAATTCGTTGCAGGAATTGAATTTATTAGCTGGATAAGAAAATAGTTAATATTTTTCATGAAAATTAGGAAAAAGTCGGGAAAATAAAATATAGAATGGAAATTTTTGTCAGTTTTGTGAAGTTTCAAAAAGGTGTTTTTTTAGTCGTCAAGTTTAATTTTTCGATAGACACTTTTTTACTACGTTTTTAAGTTTAAAAGCTACTGTTTTAAAATTAATTATCGAGTGCGAAGTCTGTTATTAAAAAAAAAAATAACATTTAGAAAAATGAAATGTGACACGCTTCTTTTTTTTCTATTTGCGTATAGATGTTTTCGTTTCGAAATACCAGGCAAATATTCTTTAACATGAGTACCTGAAATGCCCTTTAAAAGTTCTTGAAAATTTAGGTACCTACTTTCTCCTTCTTTAGAAAGAGTAGATTTTTAAAGTTCCGAGATTAGGGCCCACGCTCATAAATAGGGTCTACGTGGTAACCTGCACGTAGTAGATTTTTACTATTCTTCATTTTTCTACGTAGATAATTCTTTCTAACTATTAGAAATTAATGAATTTTAAATATTGGTGTAAACTGTCCAATAATGCATGTCCCTCTTATATAAAAAAAACAAGCATGCATTGAAACCTCTATTAATCCATTTTGAAAACTTTCATTAAAAAAATCATTTAAAACTCATTAAATTGTAAGTGCTTTACAACCTTTGGGTCAAACCACTTATAACTCTAAACTTAAAAAGTTAATTACTATTAAACTATTAACATATAAATAAACTATTAACTATTAAACATAAATTTTATTTCAACCAAATACTTTATTATTTAAATTAAATAAAATTTATTTAAAACAAATAAAAAGTCTATAGTTGTCACTGCGAGTGAAACAATATCATTTTCCTTTATATAAAGCATTAGAAAATTTATTTTATTTTTTAAAATTTTACTTTAAGTTTTGATATGGAATATGTAATATGTCTGGTCACATTGCATAATCTTTGCATAATTTCGTCTCTAATTAGCCTATTATGTAAATAAATTGTTTTATTAAATCGTGCGCGCACATATCAAACAAATAAATTCGTCATATTTATTGAATAACATAAAAGTAATACATTGAAGGAATTTATTATAACTCCGGCCCTTGAAAACACGTGTATGAATTATCTTTATAAGGCCATTATATCAGAAGTCAAAGAAATAACAAAATTTTTAAGAGCATAATATTTACTATTTTATTGATAAGTTACAAGCTCTTCTATTTTACAATAGTTTAAGTGTCATGAACAAAAAAAAATAGAATAATAAAAGAAAAACAATATTTACTTTCAAAAAAAAAAAAAATCGAAAACAAATTCCCAGAAATTAAAATTGTTTTGTAAATAATTGAATTCCTGCGATGGATTTTACTGTTTATAAAAATAATTGAATTCTTCCAAAGAATATTAAAATTTTTGAAAATAACTTAATTTGTATCAAGAATTTTATTATAAAATTTTTTAAATAATTTACAATTACAAATAACCTTAAAATTTAGAACAATAATTACAGTTGAAGACAAATGAAGAAATAACAAATAAATTACATTAAATAAATAACATAAATAAACTGAAATAATTGTAGGTCAGGATTCACGTAGGTCAACCGAAAATATAACCTTCAAAAATGTTAAAGTTAGGTAGAAATGAATACTTCAAGAAATGCACGTATATATTTCAAAATTGGGTCAATAATCGACGACATCAATAGTTGATTTTTGTGAACGAAAATACCCACGTTGATCTATACCTATGAGCATACAAGCACGTCAATTATTACGTATGTACGTAAGTTTTTGATTTCTTTTGCTTAGTTTAAATTTTAAAATACGTCATTCAAAATATTTTCACAGATGCGTAAATTATTTATATAAGTTTTCCAAAACAATTACTGTTTGAATTAAATTAATAATTAATATTTGATAATTTAATAATTAATAATTTAAAAAAAGTCAACATTTCGTAACTTCAGTTTCATAACAAAAGTTAGTCCAATATCATAATTTCGTATTTTATATGAAAAAGATAAATTGAATAAATTAATAAATTTTAAATTCGATTATTATAAAATTATTTTTTTATTATCATTACTAAAAAACGAAGCTCTAGAAAAAATTTGATTTAAATAAAAGTAATCCGATTTAAACCATAAAAATCTTATATTTTTTATTTTTTCTTTAAATCATGATTTTTAACATCCTTGTTTTATTTATTTATTTTTTCTTTGTTTTCCTTGTAATATTCAGTTTGACATTTTTTATTTAAAGTAAACTATAGAACAGATTACTTTGTTTTCAAAAGATTCAAGAAGAAAAGCTCGTACTTGAAATTTGAAGGCAAATATATAAGAATAAAGTAATTAACAAATAAGAGTAGAGTCTCATTGAAAAGTGAATTTTAGGTATTTAGGTTTTGGGGATCGACTATAAACTACGTTTGTATATAATGTTATAGGTATTTTCCAAATTTAGATGAATCGTTCAATATACAAAAATAAATGCGTATGTATGCGTATACTAAATTTTAGGTCTAGGCCAAGAATTCTAAAAGTTACCGAAAAAAACAAACTTTTTTCGAAAAATTCCCCATTCCTTTTTTAAAGTTTCAATTATTATTTAAAATTTTTATAATTACATACTTTTTAATTTTTTAAAAATTGTTTCAAGTTATTAAATCAATTCTAATCGATATTTTTCTTTAAAACAATTCCATTATTTTCAATACAATTTTAATTAGATTCGTCGAAAAAATTAAGAAGAGAAAAAATTTCACTTCCTATAAAATTAGTAAAAAATAAATCAATTTATAAATTTTGTTTGCAATAATTTTTATCACAAAACTTAATCTCAAAATTTTAAATAGTAAAAATTTGAACTAATTTTAGAACAAAAGTGATTCAAAATTTCTAAAACTTAATTTTTAAATAATATAAATAATAAATAAAGTAAATAAAAAATAAATAAAATTCTGTTTTTTTTACAGAAAATAAATTTTTAAAAAACCGTATTTTGCATTAACATAAATTTGTTTTTCTACAATAATTTATAAGTAACTATTTTTTATATTTTCGAATGATAAATTAATATTACTTATATTATTAAGATAGATTGACATTCAAAAAGTTTTAAACTAAAGTTTTAGAAAAGTTGAATATTGTAAAAAATTTTAATAAAATTTATAATTTATTTATAATTTATTAAAAATTTTAATAAATTATTTTTTGAAACATTTTCATTCATATTTTTTTAAAAATTAGTTTTATTTTTAAATAGGTATGTATTTAATTGAAAAACTTTCAAATTATTCGTAAATTCGTGAAATTGTCAAAAATTGTTACTAGTTTCAGAGGGGAACTAATTTTGCAAATTTTGACTTATTTCTGTATAGGTACCTGTATATAGGTTCACTTTTTGTTAATTTGTAAAATGTAAACACACGTCAGTAATCGTCACTTATAAGATACACGTAAAGATAAATAGAAATTTATGTTAAACTTTGTCAAATATTGAAATAATCAAATTGTCATTCACTATAAAGATAAAGTAACAGGTAACAGAATTTTTTTACTGTAATTTATAGGTACATTTTATATAATGAGTTTTTTTTTTAAATTTCGATTTAATTTTTCAATTTTGCTTTTTTTATTTCTTTCTTATTTTTAAATTAAAATTGTCATTTTATTAGAAGAAAAAGATTATTAATTTAATTTCCTTAATGCAATGTGTCAATAAACTTGGATCTTATCATGATTTTTATTATTTCGTTCGTAAATATAATATATAGTTCCTATTTTACAGAATGTACACTGTAAAATAAAAATTTATTTGAATTAAATAACCGACTATATTAAATAAATATTTACTTAAATCAAATAATTTTTTATTTACGTCAATTTTAAATGCGCTTCAAATACTGAAATTATTTACTTAAATATACAATTCGTTTGACTGAAATATAAAATTTTGTTGATTCATGTAAATATTCAAATTTATAAGTTAATAATATTTTTTAAATTAAATATTTAATTTAATTATTAATATTTAGATTAATAATTAAATTAATATATATTAATAATAATAAAAATATAATGTTTAATAATAATAGGCAAATTATCGTTTATTTGAATCAAATAATTTGTTTTCAGTGTACAATTAGTTATACATAATTTTAGGACCATTTGTCAATTATTTAATTTTGAAAACAATTTATTCTTCAAATGTCAACAACATAGCGACACGTGCACCCTAAAGTATTATAGGGGGACACGTGTTTTATGAAAAACGACATTGTACTCATTATGCAATAAAATATAATATCAAAATGCTTAAAGAGTATACAATAGTGAATTTATTTAATAATCGAAACAAATTACTATTTCAAATGAAATTGTAGTTTTTTTTCATTTTTTTAAGACTTTCTAATACTTTGAAGCAATTATAATAAATTATAATTAATTAATAATAATTATAATATTATAATATTATAAATTTATAATTATAATTTTTTTAAATAAGGAAAAAAATTATTCATGTTTAGGGCCAAGAAAATAAAGTGGAATATATTTTTTCTACCTTTTTTTTCCAAAATGAAAAAAAATTGCAGTCATCATCTTATCTCAGTGTGATAAAAAATAAAATTAAAAACATATTAAAACTTATATAAAACACATTTTATTTTGTAAAGTTTTTTTTACAATTAAGCATTATTTTTTCTTTGAAGTACAAATTAAAATCACTTTATCTTTTTTTGTAAATTAATTCAAACTCTTAATTTTGCTGGTAGCAGTTTTAATTTTTTAAAGAATTTTTGTGAATTCTTCTTCTTGTTATACATATTGTATGTGATTTCGATAAAAAATATTAAAAAGCTCACGGCAATGCCCGTTACAATAATTTGAGAAATTAATACAATACCAGAAGTATCGAAATTCTCATCTTTTTCATAATGCTGATGATTGAGATGATGATTATCTACTTTTTGCAAAGTGTTCCTTAAGTACTGTAAATTACCAGTAGTTGATAGACGAATGATTCTAAAAGTAAATAGATTTTTCGATAATTAAACATAAGATCGAAAACAACAATTTTTTTCTAAATAAACTGAAAAAAAGAAACTAAAATTTAAAAAAAAAATTTTTTTTTTAAATTTAACAAAACTTTTTATGATTTTTTCTGAATAATAAAGATTTTCTAAAATTTTAAGAAATTAATTTTTTCCCTCTACATTGAGGACCTATTTTTAATTTTTAAAATTTTGTAAATGAAATAGAAAATAAAAAAATACAAATGTGTTAAATATTGGACAGTCCGTGAGATTATTTCTTTGAAATGTTCCTAAAATACAATACACTTTTTAAGAAGTGCAAAGTAATATTAGTGTCACATCATTAAATGTAGATTATTATTTTTATGACTGTTATTATTAAACATAATGTAAAATTAATTAAAAGTGAGTTGGTGATACACTTACTGATAATTGATAATGTCTAGATAAGGATTGCGCTTCGTTAAAGCGAATGAAATATATTTAGGTGCTTCTGTAAGTTCAAATAATTTACATTTACAGTACAAAGATACATTTGTGGTTAGTACTGCTTCTTTGGTGGTAAGAAATGCAGTTCTACTGTTACACATCTAAAGGGAAAAAAATATTTTAATCACCAAAAAAATCATTATTATAAAGTCTTATCTTATTTCTAATAAAGAATATTAATTTCTATGCCATTATTTTTTTTACATTACCTGCGTAAAAGCATCAAATTCATTCATTGGTAATTCATTGCTGTGTTTTAAAAATTTTCTTAATTGCAGTAGTACTTCATTCTTGGATGATTTATTCTGTAATTAGGCTTCATTTTAAAGATGAGGTACATTGAAAAATTTACTTTTCAGGGTTGGCAAAAAAATTTAATTTTTGTGGCTGTGTATATATTAAGTAATAATGAAAATATTTATAAACATTTAAATAATATAAACAAATCATTTTTTAAAAATAAATTATAATTTTTCTTCTTTACATTCTTATGATTAATTTATTGGATAATTGAATGTTTCTTAAAATTGAATTCTTATACATAATTTTATCAACAAGCTTTTAAATAATTTAATTCTTTCAACGAATTTTAATAAAATTTTTAAGAATAATTACATTTTTCGAGGAATTTGATTAAAATTGTTTTAAAAATAATTGAAATTCTACAATGAGTTTTATTATTTATGAAAATAATTGAATTCTTCATAAGAATTTTAAAAACATTGTTTTAAATAATTAATTTTTTCGAAATATAATAAATATTATGAAAATTCTATTTTTAATAATTGAATAAATTCATGTGAAATTTTTATTTTTTTTAAAAAATAATTAAATATTCGTGTAGAATTTTATTAAAATTTTTGTTTAATAATTGAATTCCTTTGGGAAATTTTATTAAAATAGTAGAATAGTCATTAAATTAAGAAAAATTCTTGAAAATAATTGAATTTCGTTGAAGAATTTTGCTATTCATTTTATAAATAGATAATTGAAAGGTTGACGCCAAATTTTTTTTAACTTCTTTGAAAATAATTGAATTCTTCTGATGAATACTATTATTTATGAAAATAATTGAATTTTACAATGAATTTTGTTAAAATTCCTAAAAATAATTGAATTTTGCAATGAATTTGACTAAAATTCTTCAAAAATAATTAAATTTCTGCGAAGAATATTTTATTAATTTTGAAAATAATTAAATTCTTCTAAATATTGTTACTTATGAAAGTAATTGAATTTTGTAATGAATTTTATTAAAATTCCTAAATATATTTGAATTTCGGCGAAGAATTTTGTTATTTATAAAGATAATTGAATTGTTGACGAGAATTTTTTTTTTAATTTTTGAAAATAATTAAATTTGTGAAAAGAATTTTGATATTTATTAAAATAGTTGAATTCTTTCAAAGAATTGCGTTAAAATTTAAAAAATTAAAATTAATTTCATCAGAATTGAAATTAAAATTTTTTAAAAAAATTCTTCATTCAATGATTTATATAAGTTATCTTGATGGTCAATTCTTCAATAGAATTAAGTTATTTAAAGTAAATTTATTTTAAATAAATAAATAATAGAAATATAATAGAAATAATATAAATTCTATACATTTAATTTTTTCCAGTACTTTTCATAAAAATCCCTGACTTTTCCCTGATTTTCCTGACCAGTGGAAACCCTGCTTTTCCTTACTCCACACGGAGAAACTTTTTCTTATAATATTAAATATATTTGGTTATGTTTATTCTAAAAGTACGTTAGAATGTGAGGATTTTTCGTGCGTTGTGCTAATAATTTCAACATTAATACGAAAATATGATAAGTTCGTTATATATTAAGCAACCTTCGGTGTACAAAAATTACTATCTGCATTAGAAATAGTCTTATTTTTCTTTAGAAAAGAATAAAATGCTAGTTTTTGTTTGTGAAATAATACGGTAATTCTAACCTTTTTTACACATATAGATAGAATATATAAGAGACATTCTAACGTAACATACCAATTTTGGAAGGACTGCGGGCGGACTTAACCGATTTCACCCGAGCATCACCGAGTCCATCACCTGACGTCGCGAACTAACCCTAATGTTTTCGAAGTTGAAATTCACACGTGTATGAAAGAAAAAAACCTTTTATTAATAAACGTGAATGTCTCCTCATGCCAAATTAAATTCAAGAACTGTTCCTCAATATAACATAATTTTTTTCACGACTTTTACTTATTTACATAATTTGATTAGTAAGTTATTTTAAAAAATGCTCTCTCTCGAAGGCACATACTTTTCCACTCGTTTAATATATAAGGACGATTCAGCTGTGTACTTCTAACGAATCGTGCGATCTTTCGGTTTCCGTGACCAATCGTCGTGTCTTTACTTGCGTGTGCGTGTGTGCGTTAATAATATAGGTTAGGTTCTTACGTCGTGTTAAATATATTTACCTACAGTTACAGTGACATACACTAATGCCATCTACCATCAGATCCAAGTATCACTATCGTCTCTATGAGTATCTATAGACAATTAATTTGTTGTGTTTCTTTTTAATTCATGGCTTTCCCAACTTTGCAAAAATTATTATTTTCTTTCTAAAACAACATACTAATTTTCGTTAGTTTCCTTATGAATAACTGTAAAATATATACTGAATGAGTGTTTTTGATAGTCTCAATAGCAATTTCTATAACCTATGTCGTTTTTCCCTTGAATCTAACCTAACATACTAAAATGTCTCACCAGTTTTAAGAATTAGTGGTATTAAAAGTTTCTCCGTGCATATATGATAATTTTCATAATCATTTTAGTTTTGAGATGTCAGGCTTTATTTTTTTTGTATGAGAAGAATTAGTGAAGGTCTAAACTTACCTGTATTTCATGATGTAAAAATTTGTTTTTTATAACCACCAATTTGTAAGTACCATCTTTTATGAAGTTGTCAAGAGACGTGAATACAGGAACAGATGAGTTTATTGTTAAATAATTAATTAGCGATCCAGAGTAGATTAAAGAAATTATCAATGCTGTTGCAAACATTGTAAACCAAGTCGTTCTCAAGGTGTCGTCTTTTGGAAAGTCTGAAATTATTAATTATTAATATTAATTAATAATTAATTAATATTAATTATTAATATTCTTCAGGGTTGCTACAAGTGTTTAATTTTCTTTCTCCCTGACTTTTCCCATACCCGTTGCTCCTTGAAGACAAAACATTCTCCAAACATTAAAGAAATTATCCTGAAGATGATTCCTCCAATTGTAAAATTCATCACGATTTTCATAGACATTAATTATTGTCAAAATTGTAGGCACCGTGAGAATAAACAATAAAATCACCATCCAAATATGATAATGAAAGGTCTGTAAAAAAATTAAATGGTTTTGTAATTCGAAAAAGAATTAATTGAAATGCATACATACCTTAAAGTATTCCAAACATTGTCTTTTAATGTTTGTTTCTTTAATGCAGAGAACAAGAGGCGTTGTGCTTATTGGCGAGGCAAAATCCACGTAGCTTAATCTACCCTTCGTCATTACCAAACTAGCAAGTGCAATGTCAGTTTTGTTCTTGTACAATTCATTTATAACACCACCTGTCTCATTCCATTTACTGCCACCAGATTTTATGATAGTTACATTGTACTTAAAGTTTATTGTCTTCGAGATACTGTCGAATACCTTACTATAAAAACCATCTATATTTTTATCATCTCCAACTGTTGCTGAATTCTGTAAAATTTCAGTACTCAAATATTTCATGCTTGTTAAAATTTTTAAATATTAACTATGCATTAAAAATTTGGGGTAATTACCTACATTTATTGAACTCACGCGTAAAGTTATTCCACCGACATTATTTCTTCGAGAATAGAGAAATTTATCCTTTGTTAAGAGTTTGAAACCGTGTGTTTGGTTCCAAGTGGCGATGTCAAAAATTTGGGTATCGTTCTTGTAGAGAGAGTGCCACTCGCGAAGAATTGGATCGTCGTAGCATTTCACTATCATCCTTGTGTCAAATCTCAAGTTCAGTGGATTGCCCCGAGGATTCGAGCAATATTCCTCCAGTGGTTTCTCTTCTCCCCATTTTTTAAAAATAATGAACCACGAAATTTCTGATACATGTATATCTTGGGTGTAGTTTTCCAAGTCACGGACTGATTCAACAGTTGCAAGAATAAGAACATACAATTGCTTTTTTAGATACTTTGCCTGATAATTGTTCAGTTTGGAAACATGCTGAAAATTTGTCGCCTGTGATGATATGCCAAGAATGGAAAGTTCCTTCATGACTTTTGATAGTAAGTTAATGTCTATACAAGGAAAGTACAATATTTGTATTTAATTATATTATTTATATATAAGTTTCGTTTTCTTGAAAAGATTAATTTTTTTTATTATTACGAAAATTAATAAAACTGAACGAAAACTAAAACTATAACTAAAACTATATTTTTTTATTTATTCAATAAACCCTATCGTACAATATTGAAAATTTTAGCTAAATAGTTGAAATCTAAACAGCTAAACAGATTTTCTAAGGATATCAAATTAAGACAAAAAACTAATCAAAAGTGTTCGGAAGCCACTAAAAGCTACTATTTCTGTTCTTTTGAGAATTTACTTTAAATTCGTTAATACTATAAATCAAAAAACTATTCTCAAAAATTATAATTTTTATAAAATTTTATTTATTTATTTATTTTTTTTAAATAAATTCTTGAAAACGATTCAATTATTTTCAAAAAATATTCGAAATTCAATTATTTTCAATATCTAGTATTTTCATAAAAAGCAAAACAATTCAATTATTTAAAAAATAATTTATAAAATTCATCCGAAATTCAATTATTTTCAGAAATAAAGTTTTCCAGAAGTATTCAATTATTTAAAATAAAATTTTCATAATATTTATTATATTTCGAAAAAACAATGTTTATAAAATTCTTATGAAGAATTCAATTATTTTTAAAAATAACAACATTTTTCATAGAAATTCAATTTTTTTAAAACATTTTAATAAAATTTTTCGCAATAATTCAATTATTTTCAGGAATTTTAATAAAATTAATCGCAAAAATCAATTATTTTCAAAAAATCTAAAAAAAAATTGCCAACATTTCAATTATCTTTATAAAAGAATATCAAAATTCTTCGACAAAATTCAATTATTTTCAGGAATTTTAATAAAATTCCTTGCAAAATTCAATTATTTTCATAAATAATAGTATTCGTCATAAATGAATAGCAAAATTCTTCCAAAAAATTCAATTATTTTCATGAAATTTAATAAAACTCCATTGCAAAATTCAATTATTTACAAAAAAACTAAAAAAAAATTGTCGTCAACATTTCAATTATCTTTATAAAATGAATAGCAAAATTCTTCAACGAAATTCAATTATTTTCAGGAATTTTAATAAATTTCATTGCAAAATTCAATTATTTTTAAAAAAACTAAAAAAAATTGTCAACATTTCAATTATTTTTCATTATTTTTTTTTCAATTTTTTTTTTTTTTTTTTTTTTTTTTTTATGAATGAAATAGTAAATTTTTTCGACAAAATTCAATTATTTTTTGGAATTTTAATAAAATTCCTTGCAAAATTCAATTATTTTTATAAACAATAGTATCCGTCAGAAGAATTAAATTGTTTTCAAAATAATTGAAAAATAAAATAATAAAATTCAATTATTTTCCAAAATTTGCATTAAATTCATGGCAAAATTTCGTTTATTTTCAATTCTTTATTTAATAATCTTCAATATTCTACTATTTTAATGAAATTTCCCACAAGAATTCAATTATTAAACAAAAATTTGTATAAAATTCTACACGAATATTCAATTATTTTTTTTTAAAAATACAAATTTCACAGAAATTTAATTATTAAATAAAGAATTTGCATAAATTTTTTCTAAAATTATTAATTGTTTGAAACTTTTTTATAAAATTCTTTGCAATAATTCAATTATTTTCATAAATAATAAAATTCATCGCAGGATTTTAATTATTTTTAATACAATTCTACAGGAATTGCTAAAAAAATCAAAGAAATCAATTATTCTAAATACAGTAGAACCTCGGTTATCCGAGCCTCGATTATCCGAGATTCCGGATTATCCGAGGCACAAAACATGCTCGGATAATGCGGAATAACTCGGATAAAACGGATCGAGCGACTAAATTTGGAAAATAAATTTTACAAAACCACTATTTGTGATCATTGCATTTAAAATTTCGTCCATTTTTGTCATTTAATATTATTCTAACACTTTAAACACATGAAAAATAATTTAAAATTTTGAAATTTTCATTGGTTCCGTGTTATCCGAGTTTTCGATTATCCGAGGTACCTCTTCCCCACATTACCTCGGATAATCGAGGTTCTACTGTACAATTTTAATTAAATTTTGTTGAAATAATTTAATTATTTTTTTAGATTTTAAGAAAATTCTTTTCAAGAACAAAAGTATTCCCGAAAATTCAATTATATTGAGGCATTTAATAAAATTCTTTGCATAATTCAATTATTTCTAAAGGTAATAAATTTCTTCTTGGAAATTCAATTATTTAAAAAAATTCTTATAAAATCGTTCGCAAGTATTCAACTATTTTCATAAATAATGAAATGCTTTTTAGAAATTCAATTATTTTTAAAAAAAATTTAATAAAATACCACACAGACATTCAATTATTGTCAAAAATTTTAATAGAATTCTTTGTAAAATATAATTATTTTAAAAAATTGTTCGCAATTCAATAATTTTCAATATCTACTATTTTCATAAAATTTCCAAACAGAATTCAATTATTAAAAAAAAATGTTTGTTAAAATCTTGGTAAGAATTCAATTCTTTTCATGAGTAATAAAAATTTCTCTGAAATTCAATTATTTTAATTAGAATTTGCATAAAATTAGTCGAAAGAAATGAATTATTCAAAAAATTTTCTAAAATTCTTCGCAAGAATTAAAATTATTTTTATAAATATTTAAATTCTTTGATGAATAATAAAATTCGTTGCAGGAATTTAATTTATTAGCAGTAGGATAAGAAAGAAGTAAATATTTTTGATGAAAATTAGGAAAAGGTCAGAGAAATAAAATATAAAATGGAAGTATTTTGTCAGTTTTGTAAAGTTTCTTAAACGAGTTTTTTTAGTCCTCAAGTTTAATTTTTCGATAGCTACTTTTTAACTACTTTTTTTTTAATTTGAAAGATACTTTTTTGCTACTTTTTTAAAATTAATTATCGAGTGCGAAGTCTGATAAAATAGTATAGAAAAAATAAAAATACCTTCCGTTGGATGATTTCGAATAATAATTACAGAAGATGCATCGTACAAAGAACATATCGATGAAATTAGAGATGCATAATTCTTTTCACGTGTAATTGCTTCCACCAGGGTGATATTTACAACGACAGGTATTACTAACAAATGTAGAAATTTTAACATTTTTATTTTTTTTAAGTTTCTTCCTTACACAATTTTTCACCTGTAAGTTTTGTATTTATGCACTTTTAATATAACCGCACTCAACATACTGATGACTAGAATAAAACTATTTTTTCAAAACAAACTTTTTCGTTTTATTTATCACTAAAACAGTATATATTTATGTACAAAAGTTAGATATCCGATTATTAGTCAATTTCATTTCAAGTTAATTTATTAATTGAATTATTCATTTCCGTTCTGATTATTACGCAGTTGTTCCATTTTGAAGAAATGATCGTTTTTGTTAAGTGGGTCATAATTGGATACTAGTCCAAGTCTGATAACAATCTCTAGATTATGAATGATTATGAATAGTTTCCAAATAATAGAATGCAATCATATCACTGCACTTATTTATTTTATTTGAACAAACAAAGAGCTTACTATTTACTCGCAATTATTACGAGATTTTTTCTTCTCTGTTTCAGAATTATTTTTCTACGATTTATTTTTAAATTCTTCTTTCTTCTAACACAATATGCGTGAAATATTATCTCAAGAAGTAGTATCGAGAAACTGAGGGCAATTATAGTTATAAAAAATTGTGCTGGTAATACACTACCAAAGAGATTGTCCTTTCTATCAATTTTTATCGCATCTTCTTTCAGTTTATAAATTTCACTCTTTAAATTACTCAAGAAGCCTTTGGTCTCAAATTGACTAATACTGAAATTATTGTAAAATTAAAAATTATTCACTTTGAAGAAATAAAATAAATAAAGAAAAGTTATTAAAATACAACTGATGATGTATGGAAGTGAAGATACTTACTGATATCTAATAATGTCTGAATACTGATTGTTCTTTGACAATCCAAATGCATTTGCTCCAAATTCTCTTTTTAGTCGAAAGCATTTGAAACTACAAAGTGAAGTCATGTTCGAAAACGATAATACGTCTCTAATGTCGAGAAAAGCGGTTCTGCTATTGCATACCTAATGAAAGTTCAGTAAAAATCTAATTATTGATATATCGATCAGAAGAGATAAATTATAAACTATCCTTAAGGGGCTGCCAAAGTCGATGAGTCAGGTGTTCAATGGAAAAGTTTAATTTTACAAGAAAGCAAAATAAAGTAAGAAAGTAATAAAGTTTACTCTATAAATAATAAAAGTTACTCTACATTTTTCTACGTTATACATTACCTGCCAAATTCCTTCATATTGATTTTTCGGCAATTCGTTATGTTTTCTTAAAAACGGCCTTAAATTATTAAATGCCTCATAAGTTGAATTCTGATAAATATTAATAAGAACTATTAAATTTTATTTTCTTTTTTGGATTTTATAAATATTTGCTATAGAAAATATGAATTATTTTAAATTTACCCGTATTAGAGAATGACAATAACCATTCATCAAAACCGCCAATTTGTAGGTCCCGTCTTTTACAAAATCTTCCAAAGATTCGAAAAAAGGAAGTGTTGGTGGTTGATTTAGACAACTTATAAGAGATCCGGAGAAAATGAAAGAGATGACTAATGATGTTATTAGAATAGAAACATAAGTCAGTCTCAATGGGTCCTCATTTGGAAATTCTGCAAAATTATTTATTCATAATTACAAAAAAATACTAATACCTATACAATATTAATATAGATATTGAATTAAATTTCTTCCATTATTATTTTTTATTTTTTATTATTTTATTTTTATTTTTTATTTATTTATTTATTTTTTTATTTTATTATTTATTTTTATTTATTACGAATAAAAAGTAAAACTAACATTCGCTTTAAGGTCGTTTTTCCCATGTTAAAGCAAGCTAAAATCAACCTTAAAACAAATAAAAGATTTTAAAAAAAATTAAAGAATTAAAATTTTTTAAATTTAGACGGTGAGTTATATTAACGTATTATTATTATTATTATTATTATTATTATTATTATTATTATTATTATTATTATTATTATTATTATTATTATTATTATTATTATTATTATTATTATTATTATTATTATTATTATTATTATTATTGTTATGATTAGGTATATAATTTATGTCTCACACCGTTTACGCCTTGAAGACAAACCATTTGCCAGACATGAAAAGAATTTTCATAAATAAGTCTCTTCCAATTGACGTCTTTATTTTCAGTACAAGTTAGATTTATTTTTATTACTGTTAAAAATATCGGCAACATGAGAATAAAGAAAATCATAACCATCCAACTATGAAAATGAAACGGCTGAAAATTGAAATATGCTTTTGTTAAACATAATCTTATATTTCAAAAAAGCAATACTTTTACTTGTTTAAATAATATTAAATTAATATTAATATTATAATTAATATTAAATTAATATTAAAACTTGATAGATTTCGAATTTTTTACAATGAATTTTAAAGTATTTTTTGTTTAAAAAAATTTAAAATTCAAAAAGTCTTTTCTAAAAAAAAATGTCTTAGTCTTGGTCTTAGTCTTGGTCTTAGTCTAAATCTTAGTCTTGGTCTTAGTCTTAGTCTTAGTCTTAGTCTTAGTCTTGGTCTTAGTCTTAGTCTTAGTCTTAGTCTTAGTCTTGGTCTTGGTCTTGGTCTTGGTCTTGTCTTGGTCTTGGTCTTGGTCTTGGTCTTGGTCTTGGTCTTGGTCTTGGTCTTGGTCTTGGTCTTGGTCTTGGTCTTGGTCTTGGTCTTGGTCTTGGTCTTGGTCTTGGTCTTGGTCTTGGTCTTGGTCTTGGTCTTGGTCTTGGTCTTGGTCTTGGTCTTGGTCTTGGTCTTGGTCTTGGTCTTGGTCTTGGTCTTGGTCTTGGTCTTGGTCTTGGTCTTGGTCTTGGTCTTGGTCTTGGTCTTGGTCTTGGTCTTGGTCTTGGTCTTGGTCTTGGTCTTGGTCTTGGTCTTGGTCTTGGTCTTGGTCTTGGTCTTGGTCTTGGTCTTGGTCTTGGTCTTGGTCTTGGTCTTGGTCTTAGTCTTAGTCTTAGTCTTAGTCTTAGTCTTAGTCAAAGTCTTAGTCTAAATTTAGTCTTAGTCTTAGTCTTAGTCTTAGTCTTAGTCTTAGTCTTAGTCTTAGTCTTAGTCTTAGTCTTAGTCTTAGTCTTAGTCAAAGTCTTAGTCTAAATTTAGTCTTAGTCTTAGTCTTAGTCTTAGTCTTAGTCTTAGTCTTAGTCTTAGTCTTAGTCTTAGTCTTAGTCTTAGTCTTAGTCTTAGTCTTAGTCTTAGTCTTAGTCTTAGTCTTAGTCTTAGTCTTAGTCTTAGTCTTAGTCTTAGTCTTAGTCCTAGTCTTAGTCAAAGTCTTAGTCTAAATTTAGTCTTAGTCTTGGTCTTAGTCTTAGTCTTAGTCTTAGTCTTAGTCTTAGTCTTAGTCTTAGTCTTAGTCTTAGTCTAAATTTAGTCTTAGTCTTAGTCTTAGTCTTAGTCTTAGTCTTAGTCTTAGTCTTAGTCTTAGTCTTAGTCTTAGTCTTAGTCTTAGTCTTAGTCTTAGTCTTAGTCTTAGTCTTAGTCTTAGTCTTAGTCTTAGTCCTAGTCTTAGTCAAAGTCTTAGTCTAAATTTAGTCTTAGTCTTGGTCTTAGTCTTAGTCTTAGTCTTAGTCTTAGTCTTAGTCTTAGTCTTAGTCTTAGTCTTAGTCTTAGTCTTAGTCTTAGTCTTAGTCTTAGTCCTAGTCTTAGTCAAAGTCTTAGTCTAAATTTAGTCTTAGTCTTGGTCTTGGTCTTAGTGAAATCTTATAATTAAAAGCATACCTCTAAGTATATCCAAAACTCTTTGTTCACATAATTTGATTTATTAATGCAAATAATTAAAAGAGTTGCCGTTAAAGGCGGCGTGAAATCTACATAGCTTAATCTTTCTTCATCTTTCCATATATTCGAAATAATAAGATTAGTGTTATTCTTCTTTAATTCATTTAATGGATCAACTTTCGTTGGAGTAGTAGTACTATTTTCTAACGTGTGGAAAGTTTCTTCTTCCTTATTGATTTTTAATGTGAAATTTATTCTCTTTGAGATTTCCTCAATTACTGTGCTGTAAACTTTGTACAAGTTTGTTGCATCTTTATTCATTCTATTTCTCTGTAAAATTTTTAAATATTAGTCTTAGTTGAAATGAATGAGAAAAGTGTCGCAAAAAGAATCCGACATTCTTTATGATTTGCTCTTCTGCCAAGACATTTATTTTGGGAAAAATAGTTGAGGAAAGAAATTTGTAAATTTAAAATTAAAATGATGAAATGAAGTCGAACTAATATGCTTATATGAGTAAACAATTGATGAGCTCCCAGATGAAAAAGTTCTATAGAATTTCTACATGAATTCTACGAAATAAAAAAAAAACGTGATTATGGAACGAGGTTTGGAGAGGAACTAGATATATAAAAAAGTCAAAAAAAACATACGAGAAAATGTTTCAACTCCAGAGAGACTCCACCGACATTTTTTCTTCTCAAATAGAGATATTTATCCTTTGTTAAGAATTTGAAACCGTGTGTTTGGTTCCAAGTGGCGATGTCAAAAATTTGGGTATCGTTCTTGTAGAGAGAGTGCCACTCGCGAAGAATTGGATCGTCGTAGCATTTCACTATCATCCTTGTGTCAAATCTCAAGTTCAGTGGATTGCCCCGAGGATTCGAGCAATATTCCTCCAGTGGTTTCTCTTCTCTCCATTTTTTAAAAATTATGAACCACGAATTTTCTGATACATGTCTATTTTGGGTGAAGTTTTCCAAGTTGTGGACTGATTCTTCAGTTGTGAGAAGAACAACATTCAATTGCTGTTTAAGGTACTTTTCATAAAAAGAATTTATTTCCGCAAGTTTCAAAAAATTTGTCGCTTGTGACGATATACCGAGAACGGAAAGTTCCTTGATGATTTTCGACAGAAAATAAACATCTGCAGGAAGATGAAAAATCCGTTACTTTGGCAAAATCCGTTACACCAAAGTCGTTTTGATGTAATTCCGCGTTTGTAATTGTTAATGAAAAAAAAAATTGTATTAAACTGTTTAAAAAAAAACTTTATTAAACTTACCTTCTACTTCATGATTTTGAATGACAGTCACAAAGGATGCATCGTACAATAAACAAATTCCAGATATTATAGAAGCATACGCTCTTTCTTCAGGAACAACTTCTTTCGAAGCATTAATAAGAACAAATATTTTTAACAAAAGAAAAAAATGGAACATTTTTACACTCTGCGTTAATCGCTCTCTAATCATTACTTGTATTTCGGATACAAAATCATTCAAAATTATAGTATTAAAAATTAAAAATTAAAAATTTTAAATTTCGGCTCTATTTTTTCAATGTATCTATAATGTACCTGCGACAAAATTAGTCTAAGGACGAGAGAACTAATTTTGCCAATTGAGTTGAATAATAATTAGATAGTTTCTTATCTAATTATTCTTCGTTCATAGACATTATCCATTAATTATTCGGTTCCATTTATTAAATCAACTAGTTTTATTGCTATTAGCTATTAGCTAGTTTTATTTCTATTATCAATAAAACTGGTTAATTAAATAAATGGATCCAAATTCCCTGAAATATTTTTTAACTATCAAAAACTTATAATATACATATTAGATAATTAAATTGAAAATGTGATAACAATCAAGATTAGGAAATAACTTCCTTATTGAATGTATATTCTATGTATAAACTAAATTGATAATTTTTCTGAAAGTGTTACTTTTGAACTTCGATTTTTTAATTTATTTTCTTTTTTGTTTGCCTCATAAACTATTAAATTACCACAAATTCTAATAAAAAAAACCTCAATTTTTTTTAATTCTCACAATAATTTCTTTTTAAATAACTTAATTCTTAAAAAACTGTCACAAAATTATTATACTTAGAAATTATTTAATTTGAATATTTTATTTAATTTTTCTTAAATATTTCAAAATTAATTCATTTAAAAAAAATTGCGTTTATCAATATTCTCATAAATAGATAAATTCAAAAGGTTTTAATTTAAAATTTTAGAAAATTTCAATTTTTAATGAATTTAATTAAAAAGAACTTAGATTTTTGAAAAATGGAAAAAATGCAAATTCTTCTGAAATTAGATGAATTTTTTAGTATTTGATAAAATTTTGTTTTAAAGAATTCAATTATTTTCAAAAATACTAAAAAATTTTCTTAAGGTCATGTTATTTAGTGGTCACGTGCTCCATATACTTTACTATCATATGGGAACACGTGACCACTGAATAACATGACCTTAACTCTTAGGAATTCAAATATTATGAATAAATTAATATAATTCTTTCCTAAAATTCAATTACTTTCATAAAATAATATAATTCGCAGAAATTCAATTATTTCTAATAAAATTTTAATTGTATTCGTCAAAAAATTCAATTATTTTTTTAAATTAGGTATATTAAAATTCGTCAAAAGAATTCAATTATTTCAATTATTTGTAAAATTTATAATAAAATTCTTTATGAAAATTCAATTTTAAGAAACATTCAATTATTCAATAAATTATCTATATTTGTATTTAAATAATTAAATTCTCGTAGAATCTTCTAAATAAAAATTGATTTAAAAATGATAAATGAATTTTAGTTGAAATTTTAAATAATGAATATTAAAAGTAGAAAACATAATTTTTTTTTATTGTACTTTCTGATAATAATTAAAAATTTTGTTTAATATTTTAGAAGAATTCATAAAAATTTATTTTTATTATAAAAGTCCTATTGCAGAGATGTTAAAAATTTTTTTGGAGATGAAATTATTTTAGCTATATTGTATAAATTCAAAAAATATACAAAATTAAATTTTATATTTTATATTTTTTTTAATATTTTTAATTTCTTTGGAGCGCATCACATAATTAATTCCAAAGATTATTAATATTTATCTTATTTATTTATTTACTCAATACACGGGTTTACAATTTACACCCTTTATAATAGAAAATTATAAATTAATTATTTAATGCTAAACGCATATTTATATATTATATATTATATATAATATATTAATATATTATATATTAATATTATATATTAATATTATATATTACCTATATATTAATAATATAATATTTATATTATTTACTCTCGTTTATTTTACTCTTAGTAGATTATTTATTCTTTCTACTAGATTTTTGACTCTCACGTTTTTCTTTGGCATTTTCTTTTTTTTATATAAGTCGAATATTCTCTCCAAAAGTAGTATTAAAATACTAAGGACAATTCCAGTTTTAAAAAATGTGGGGAAAAATACACTACCAGAAATATTGTCTTTTTTATCTTCATCAGATTTTCGCTTTTTATTAAAAATTTCGTTCTTTAAATTCTGCAAATATCCCATAGTCTCAAATCGTGTGATACTGAAAGTAAACAAAATTTGCTTATAATTTTTTTTTAAAAAATTAAAAAAATTTTTTTTTTAAATTAATTAATTCTTACTGGTAACTAATAATGTCTACATAAGGATTAAATCTAGATAATGCAAAGGTATTAACTCCAATTTCAATGTTTAACTTAAAGCATTGATATTCACAAACTGACTTCATATCTGCCCGTGCAGAAATCGCCACTTTTGTTCCCGATTACCGCCCTGGCCCCGGTCGGGATTTCATGATCTGGCCCCGACTTCGTGGCCCCGACCAGGACCAGACCGGGTTTGCCCAAGGATCTACAAACAGCGCACAATGGGATTTTTTTTACAATTTACTGTTCAAAACTGTCTACAGCCTACAATTCTTAACCGGTTTCAGTATTCTTTATTTTAAATTAAAGGCGAATAAATTCTTAAGACATCCCTTAAGGTCAATTTTTTAGTTCTTAATTGTTTATAATTTTTATTTTCAATCAAAGTTAACAAATTAATACAATTTTTCAAAAAAGGAGGCTTATTTTCTTATTCCGTTGCTGCATATGATCTGAATCAGTTCAAATTAATACAATATGACCACCATATAATTAATAAAACAGAAAGTAATTTATATCAATTGTTATAAACAATATTAATTAACAAATAGTTAACTTTGATTTCTCTCCACTAAAAAATGTTTTTTTTTACCTTTTCTTTTTAATTTAAGTTCATTTAAAGAATATTTGCCCTTTTTGATTATAAAATAACTTATTTAAATTGTTATAAACAATATTAATTAACAAATAGTTAACATTGATTCCTATTCCACTAAAAATTTTTTTTTCACATTTTCTTTTTAATTTAAGTCTATTTAAAGAATATTTGTCCTTTTTGATTAAAAAATAACTTATTTAAATTGTTATAAACAATATATTAAATAACAAATAGTTATGTAACTTATGCTCCTGTCCACCAAAAAAATTTTTTTTCACGTCTACTTTTTAATTTAAGTTCATTTTAAAAATATGTGTCCTTTTTGTTTAAAAAATAACTTATTTAAATGGTTACAAATAATATTAATTAACAAATAGTTAATTTTTGTTCCTTTCCACCAAAAATTTTTTTTTCACGTTTACTTTTTTATTTAGATAATGTTAAAAGACCACGGATATATAATATTAAATATTTAAATAAGTTATATTATAAGCAAAAAAGACATATATTCTTTAAAAGAACCTAAGTAAAAAAGAAAATTTGCAACAAAAATTTTCTGTTGGACAGGATCATAAGTTAACTATTTGTTAATTAATGTTGTTTATGACAATTGAAATATATTACTTTATGGGTTTTTAATTGTCTGCTGGTAATATTGGATTAATTTGAACTGATTTAGAGCATGTGCAGTAACGGAATAAGAAAATAAACGTCCGTTTTTAAAAAATTGTGTTAATTTGTTAACTTTGATTGAAATTTGAAAATAAAAATTATAAACAATTAAAAACTCAAAAATTGTCCTCGAGGGATGTCTTAAGAATTTATTCTCCTTTAATTTAAAACAATAGGACAAACGCACCAATTGTCGAAGGTGAACCATTTGTCGATGTTATCATGGTGATAACCAAAAATATTGCCTAAAATGTTAAATTTTTTTGTGGTTATAATATTAACATATTATTTTTGACATTTATAACTCTTAAAAACTCTTAATTGTTTTTCACACTTAAATTGAAATTCCATGTTTAAGGCAAAAAAATAAATTATTATTAATTAATAATTTTTAGTATTATTGTGAATTATTAATAATGAAAAAATTTTTATTATTTTAAAAAATAGTTAAATTATAAATAATATAGAATAAATAATTAAATTAATAATTTTTACCATATTATTATGATAAACATATTAATTTATATATATATATATATATATATATATATATATATATATATATAACATACATTTTTAATAATTTTTCTATAAATAAATATGATACAGTCAATTTATTATGATAACACTGTATATAACGGTCCCATGATTCAAAAGGAAGTTTAAGCGAGGTCGCTTCCAAGCTTGCGTGGCTATGCGGTATGTGTATTCGACTTGCGTCCTCGAGGTCTAGGGTTCGGTCCCCCGTGCGTGCGATATTTTTCCGTCTTAGTTTTAAGTGTTTTGTGTATAATTCTTAATAATGTTACATAAAGTATAGGTTTAAATAATTATTAACAATAATAATAATTATAAATAATTATTAATTTAAATAAGATAGTCTGTCTAAATTAATGAAAGAAAATAAGAAAAATATTTTTTTTAAAAACTTAGTCCAATAAAAGCAATTCTAATAACTATTTACATTTTTAATGACACTCATAAAAGTTTATTTACTACAAAAATATTAATAATAATCATTAATATTGAAGTAAATACTCCCCATTCTTTAATAATCAAATAACAAGCTTTAATATAATAAAATGCAGTCAGTATTGGAATTCTACCTGGGTAGCGAAAAGATCGGGGGAAATCCCATGGCCCCGACCGGGTCCCGACAGGGCGGCCAGATCGGGCAAAGTGCCATGGCCCCGGTCAAAATTTCTGCACGGGTGCAAATGCCAATGCTTCCTTAATGGTGAGAAATGCCGTTTTGCTATTACATACCTGTAGGAATAAGAAAGAAAAATTAATATTTCAAGCAATTTTCAAATTTTCAATTTATGTTTACTATTTAATACACTCCTATATATATATATTACCTGCTGAAAAGCATCATTTGTTCTGATTGGTTGTTCGTCATCAGCTTTTAAAAACGGCTTCAAATCATGAAATATCCCTTCTTTCGAATTCTGATAAATGTTTCGTATATTATTATTATTAATAGAAAATTTAAAATTAATAATGATAAATATTAATTTTTATAATAAAGAGCTGAAATAAAATTTTTTAATTTATTTATGGACAAGTGTAGAAAACTTTACCTTTATTAAAACATGGCAAAAATAATTTCTCAATGTGATTAGTTTATAGCTTCCGTCATTTATAAAATTTTCCAGTGTTTCCAAAGAAGGAATGGATGAATGCTTTTTTAAACATTGTATTAGAGATCCAGAGTAGATTATAGAGGTCATTAATGCCGTGAGCAGAATCGACACGTAAGTTAATCTCAAAGGATTCTCTACTGGAAATTCTAAAAGATTCGAAATTGTTTATATATTTAAATTTGTTTTTTATTTTATTTTTAAAAAATTTTTTTTTTAATTTTATTATTTTTATTTTCTTTTATATTATTTTTTTTATCGCAAATTTTATATTCTTATGAAAAACTGTAATGCTACATTATATTATATTTATTTCACACCCTCTAAGGCTTGAAGACAAATTATTCGCCAAATTTTAAAACAATTTTCATAGTAGATTTTCTTCCAACTGGCATTTTTATTTTTATTGTAAGTTTGTTTTATTTTTATAATTGTCGAAAATATCGGCAATATGAGGATAAATAAAATTATAATAATCCAACTGTGTAGATGAAACGGCTGAAAATTAAGATATTTTAATCACAAACTTATTTATACTTTCAACTTAATCCTTTGAGGACCAGTGATGCTTTTATTAAGCAACATGAACATTTTTTTGTTAATTTTAAAAACTAAATATTGAAACAATATTTACATCTAATTCTTGTAAATTTCCTATAATCCAAATACTTTAAAAACAGTTTCAGTGAAAAGCTTGTTCAGAGATGCAACAAAAATGTAATTCAATTCAATTCAATTCAATTCAATTCAATTCAATTCAATTCAATTCAATTCAATTCAATTCAATTCAATTCAATTCAATTCAATTCAATTCAATTCAATTCAATTCAATTCAATTCAATTCAATTCAATTCAATTCAATTCAATACAATTCAATTATTAGTAACTTCTCAAAAATTCAATTATTATCTAAAATTTTAACTGAAATAAATCATTTTTCTATGAATTTTTATTAGAAGATTCTACAAGAATTCAATTATTTAAATACAAATATAGATAATTTATTGAATAATTCAATGTTTTTTAAAATTAAATTCTCATAAAGAATTTTATTAAAATTCTTACAAATAACTGATTTCTGTCGAAGAATTTTAATATAATTTAAAAAAATAATTAAAATTTTTAAAAAATATAATTAAAATTATATTGGAAATAATTGAATTTCTGCGAATTATATATTTTTTATGAAAGTAATTCAATTTTAAGAAAAAATTATATTAATTTATTTATAATATTTGAATTCCTAAGACAATTTTTTAGTATTTTTGAAAATATTTGAATTCATTTAAACAAATTGTTGCAACAAAAATTTTATTTTGACAATTCAATTCAATTATTTATAAAAATTATGGAATCATTAGTAACTTCTTAAAAATTCAATTATTATCTAAAATTTTAACTGAAATAAATCATTTTTCAATAAATTTTGTATTAGAAGATTCTACGAGAATTCAATTATTTAAATACAAATATATATAGATAATTTATTAAAGAATTGAATGTTTCTTAAAATTGAATTCTCATATAAAGAATTTTATTAAAATTTTTACAAATAAGTAATTGAATTCTGTCGAAGAATTTTATTATAATTTTAAAAAATAATTGGAATTTTTGAAGAATACAATTAAAATTGTATTGCAAATAATTGAATTCTTTTAAACCAATTTTATCAAAATTTTTGAAAATAATTGATTTATTTTAAAGAGTTTCATTAAAATATTTTAATGAATTTCTTCCTTAAAATTTTATGAAAATTACATTTAAAATAATTGAATTCCTGGAAAACTTAATATTTATGAAAATAATTGAATTATCTCGAGGAAGAAATTAATTATTTATGAAAATAATTGAATTATTTCGAGGAATTCAATAAAAATTGCATTAAAAATAATTGAAATTCTGCAATGAGTTTTATTATTTATGAAAATAATTGAATTATTGCCATGAATTTTATTAAAATTTTTGAAAATAATTGAAATTTTGACATGAATTTTGTTAAAAACTTTTGAAAATGATTGAATTTTTGCCATGGATTTTATTAAAATTTTTGAAAATAATTGAAATTTTGACATGAATTTTGTTAAAAACTTTTGAAAATGATTGAATTTTTGCCATGGATTTTATTAAAATTTTTGAAAATAATAATTGAATTTTGCAATGAATTTTATTAAAATTTCTGAAAATATTTGAATTTTGTCAAATAATTTTGCTATTCATTTATGAAGATAAATTGAAAATAATTAAATTCTTGTGATGAATATTGTTATTTATTAAAACAATTGACTTCCTCTAAATGATTTTACTATTTATGAAAATAATTAAATTTTTGTAAAGAATTTTAAATTTTATGAAAATAATTCAATTACTGCGAAGAATTTAATGCCAAATTTTAAAATATTTACTTTTTTCGAAAAAATTTATGCAAATTTTATTTTAAATAATTGAATTCCTGTAAAATTTTTATTTTCTTTATTTTTTTTTTAATAATTAAATTCGTGTAGAATATTATCAGAATTTTTGTTTAATAATTAAATTCCTTTGGAAAATTTTATTCAAAGAGTACAATATTAAAAAGCATTCAATTAAGAAATTTTTGTGAAAATAATTGAAATTTTACCATGAATTTTATTTAAATTTTTGAAAATAATTGAATTTTATTACTTTTTAAAATAATTGCGAATTTTGCATTGAATTCCTGAAATTAATTGAATTTTGATATTTATTTATAAAGATAATTGAAATGTTGACAATTTCTTTTTTTTTAAATAATTGAAATTCTGCGAAGAATTTTATTAATTCTGAAAATAATTGAATTTTTGTGATGAATATTGTTTTATATGGAAATAATTGAATTTTATAATCAATTTTATAAAAATTCCTGAATATAATTGAATTTCGTCGAAGAATTTCGCTATTTATAAAGATAATTGAAATGTTCACGAGAATTTTTTTTTTAATTTTTGAAAATAATTGAATTTCTGGAAAGACTTTTAATATTTATAAAGATAGTTGAATTATTTCACAGAATTGCGTTAAAATTTAAAAAATTGAAACTAATTTCAACAGAATTAAATATTAAAATTTTTCCAAAATATACTTCATTAAATGATTTATATTTAAAAATAAGAAATAGCGATTTTTTTTATTGTAAAATTTCCTCAAAGACTTCCTCGCTAAATTTTAAGAATAAAAAAATAAATTCTAGTTTGCCTACACTTGAATATTGAAATTATTTTAAAATTCAGTGTTATTAAAATGATACCTTTGAGTATTGTAAGTATTCTTTTGTAACATTATTTCTCTTATGGATGCACATAATAAGTTTAGTTGAACTTATAGGTGGCGTTTGGGAGTAATCAAATTTCTCATTTCTTTTCCATACATTCCCAACAATAAGATCTGTATAATTTTTCATTTCTTTTAGTAATTCACGTCTATTTTGAACAGACATGTTTGCTATTTCATAGGAATTTTCTTCCTCTTCGATTTCTAATGTTAAATTTATAACATCAGCAATTTCTTGCATTACTCGATTGGCAAAACTTATTATTCTTTTTGAATCCTCGTGCAATGCTGTTTTCTGTGGAGAATAACGATTTTTATTTTATAAAATCGAGATTTTGCTATATATTCTAAAATTAAAAAATGTTTACAAATGCGCCGTACCCTGAAGTGTTTCAACTGCAAAGAGACTCCACCGACATCTTTTCTTCTCGAATAGAGAAATTTATCCTTTGTTAAGAGTTTGAAATCATGTGTTTGGTTCCAAGTGGCGATGTCAAAAATTTGGGTATCGTTCTTGTAGAGAGAGTACCACTCACGAAGAATTTGATCGTCATAGCATTTCACTATCATCCTTGTGTCAAATCTCAAGTTCAGTGGATTGCCCCGAGGATTCGAGCAATATTCCTCCAGTGGTTTCTCTTCTCTCCATTTTTTAAAAATTATGAACCACGAATTTTCTGATACATGTCTATTTTGGGTGAAGTTTTCCAAGTTGTGGACTGATTCTTCAGTTGTGAGAAGAACAACATTCAACTGCTGTTTGAGGTACTTTTCATAAAAAGAATTTATTTCCGCAAGTTTCAAAAAATTTGTCGCTTGTGACGATATACCGAGAACGGAAAGTTCCTTGATGATTTTCGACAGAAAATAAACATCTGCAGGAAGATGAAAAATCCGTTACTTTGGAAAAATCCGTTACACCAAAGTCGTTTTGATGTAATTCCGCGTTTGTAATTGTTAATGAAAAAAAAAATTGTATTAAACTGTTTAAAAAAAAACTTTATTAAACTTACCTTCTACTTCATGATTTTGAATATTATAATTGTTGATAACCGAAATTTTTAATTTGAACTTACCTTCTGATTCATGACTTTCAACAATTGTCACGGTGGTTGCGTCATACAACAGACGAATTTCAGAAATTAAAGCAGCGTACACTTCCTCCTTTGAAACATTTTGCAGTATTTTTGAATAAGCATTAGTAAAAGCAACTAACCCCAAAAGGGGAATAAAATATAACATTCTGTTAACCGATTATTTTTTAATTTAATAATGCAAAAATCAAACGAACATCTGTTTGAATTGTTCTCGTGTAAACATGTTCTATCTAAGAATATTTATTCAATTTTGAATTATAGGATATGAACTAACGTGTTCAAATGATTATTAAAACTGTTTTTCATTGTAATACACTATATTCCTTATAATACCTAATAATACACTGCGGTATTATTGAATAAATTATTCAGTTCCATTTAATTGATTAAAAAGAATGCTTTTTTGATAAATAGCAATTATTTCTTTAAAAAAAATAGTTCATTTATACGTGAATGTCAAAAAAATGGGTGTTATACATGAATTCGAAAGATAACAATCTATAATGATAAAATAAGGATTTTATGAATATAATTTCTGTGAAATATTTAATAAATTACGCTCTCTGAAGAAAGGGACCCTATAAGAAAAAAAAATATGGTTATTAATTTTTATAATTTCTAGATTATTTTTCTGTTATATTCATTCATCAAGGGCCTTCAATTGTTCCCAATTGTCTTCAATCTTTCAGTCTAATACAAATGAATATTTATTGGATATAAATTCAACTAATTTAGAATAGCATTTTCAAAAAAAAATTTCGAAACAATCAATTATTTAACAAAATTTTTATACAATTCTTCACAATATAATTCAATTATTTTCATAAATAATAAAATTCAACGATAAATTCAATTATTTTCACAAATAAAGTTTTCCACGCAAAAATTCAATTATTTAAAATTAAATTTTCATTTTCTTTATTATATTTCGAAAAAAATTAATTATTTAAAACAATGTTTATAAAATTTTTATGAAGAATTCAAGTATTTTCAAAAATAACAAAATTTTTCACAGAAATTCAATTCTTTTTGAATATTTTTTAAATAAAATTTTTCGCAATAGATAATTCAATTATTTTCAAAAATAATAAAATTCTTCTCAGGAATTCAACTTTTTTTTGAAAATTTTAATAATTTCAATAAAATAAATTCTTAGCAACTATTCAATTATTTTCATAAATAATAAAATTCATAGCAGGATTTCAATTATTTTTAATACAATTTTACAGGAATTGCTCAAAAAATGTAATTATTTTTCACAGGAATTTAATTACTTCCAAATATATTAATAAAATCGTTCTCGACAGAAATCAATTATTTCAAATACAATTTTAATTAAATTTTTTTGAAATAATTCAATTATTCTATAAGTTTTTAATAAAATTCTTCCCAAGAATTCAATTATTTACATAAATAATTCTTCGAAAGAATTCAATTATTAAAGAGAAATAACAAAATTATTCCCAAAAATTCAATTATTTTGAGGCATTTTAATAACATTTTTTGTAAAATTCAATAATTTTCATAAATAACAATATTCATCACAAGAATTCAATTATTTTCATAAATAATAAAACTCATCAAAGACTTTCAATTATTTTTAATACTATTTTCAATGAATTAATCGAAAAATTCAATTATTTTCACAAATATAAAGTTTTCCATAAGAATTCAATTATTTAAAATAAAATTTTCATAATAATATTTATTATATTTCGAAAAAATTATTCAAAACAATGTTTATAACAGTCTTATGAAAAATTTCATTTATTTTCAAAAACAACAAAATTTTTCAAAAAAATTCAATTCTTTTTAAACATTTTAATAAAATTTTTCGCAATATGCGACAATTCAATTATTTTCAAAAATAATAAAACTCTTCTCAGGAATTCAATTATTTTATTTTGAAAATTTTAATAAAATTCTTTGCAACTTTTCAATTATTTTCATAAATAATAAAATTGATCGCAGGATTTCAATTATTTTTAATACAATTTTACAGGAATTGCTGAAAAAAGTTATTATTCTTAAAAATTTAATTTCAATTCCTCGAAAAAAGCAATTATTTAAAATTTTTTTTTAATCTTTGAAAGAATTCAATTATTTACAAAAATATTAAAAATTTCCAGAGGAATTCAAATTATTTTCAAATATTTTAATAAAATCGTTTGAAAGAAACCAATTATTTTAAATACAATTTTAATTACATTTTTTTGAAATAATTCAATTTTTTCTTTTAGATTTTAATAAAATTCTTCTGAAGAATTCAATTATTTACATAAATATAATTCTTTGAAAGAATTCAATTCTGTCGATAAATATGATAAAATTATTCCCGAAAATTCAATTATTTTGAGGCATTTTAATAATGTTTTTCGTAATAATTTAATTTTTTTTTATAAATAACAATATTCATCACAAGAATTCAATTATTTTTAAAGTTAATAAAAATTTCTTCTTCGAAATTCAATTATTTTAAAAATTCTAATAAATTCCTTCGCAAAAATTCATTTATTTTTATAAATAATAAAAATTTCTCAGGAATTCAATTATTTAAATTAGAATTTGCATCAAATTAGTCGAAAGAAATTAATTATTTAAAAATTGTTATAATTTTTGTCAGTTTTGTGAAAATGTGAAAAAGAAAAAAAAAATGTTTGTGAAAATGTGTCTAAAACGAGTTTTTTTGGTCGTCAAGGTATTTTTTCGATACTTTTTTATTACTTTTTTCTATTTTGAAAAGCTACTTTTTTCAAATTAATTAAAGTGCGAAATCTGTAATCTATTAAAACAATTAAGAAAATATTAATTTGTAATGAAAAAGCAAAATTAATTTATATCTGTTTATTTTGATATTCTAGTATCCAGAGTGTGATATAAAACAATATACAAAATGTAAAACAACAAAAATGTTTATTTTTACAATAATAATGTTTTTTAATGTATACTTTTTTTAAAATGTGTCACAAATTATAAGTACATACATTAATATATTATTATAATAAAACTTATAATTTTTACTAACAATCAGTTTTAACTAATTTAGATTTAGAGAAAATGAAAAATATTTTTTATATATTTTAAAAAAACTCGTGGCATGTATCAATATATATTGAAGTTGGCTTGCTCCATAAAATCCTCAAGGGAATGTTCAAAGTCGATTGGACTTTTCCATTTTGAAGCTTTGAAAGGAACAGCTGACTCGACTTTGACACCCCCTTAAAGATTCCTTTTAAATTTGTTTTTTTTTTAAATTTACTTTCTTTTAATAATTTTATTTTTTATTAGGTACATTCAAAATGTTTAATAAAAAATGTTTTTGAGTATCGAACATAACCTAAATTCATAAACTTTTGGTACAAAAATTTTGTTCGTCGTCTTATATAAATGACAAAAATCATAATTTCAAACATTTTATTCTTGATACACTTCAGTATAAATAATATTACCAAAAATTAACATTTTATAGTATAATATAATATAAATGCGGACTTGAAATGAAATGTTTCTGAACATTCTTTATAAATCTTATATAATATTAAAATAAAAGTGATTTCACTTTTATTTTAATATTATAAGTAAAATGTTTACATGTTATTATAAAATTAACATTTTATAATATAATATAAATGGACTTGAAATGAAATTTTTCTTAACATTCTTTATAAATTTTATAATTTATTCTTTAAAAAATAAAAGTGAAATAATTGTAGAATGTAAAAAAACAAAAATGTTTTCTCGGTTTAGTTGTTTTTACAAGTTCCGCCAATAAAAAACAAAAGCTATTTTAATTTTAATAATTTCTAATTTGCAATCTAATGACAAATTTTTATTTATCGTATAGAAAATTAAAATTTATTTTGCTGTGTAGAAAATTTCTGCCATAAAAATAAGCCTTTGGTGAAATTAGTGCTTTTTTCTCCTCTTGCTTAATAAAGTGTCTTTCGTGTCTTTTAAAGAATTTGTTAAAAATGTAATTTTCTTCCCATGTAAATAGCGAATGGAAATAGTGAAAGATTTTAGGAAAAGATAAATATTCGCAGGTAAAAGATATATCTGAGAAAAGTTTGAACACATAGTGCGTCTTTTTCGCTTGTGCGGATATTTCCCTTTTTGACTTTGAATGGTCAACCCCCCGAACAATGGTGAATTTTCGCTTAAGCAGTACAGCACCTTAATTCTCCCCCACCCTTCTCCCTTACTTTTACCTATTTCTTTGATTGACAGTGTTGAAACGACTTTTCAAGTCGAAGCATCATCTGTGTCCTTGAGTTTAAGTTTTGTGTTGTCCTGAATATTATTTTTCCTGTTGATTGAAGATGAGTGTGTCACAACATAGCAAAAAATATGTCTGCTATTACTATGATGGTATGTTTTTTTTCTTCAATCATCAAATTTGTTTTAAATTCAATTTCCATTCAATTTCAAAAAACAAAATTTTGAACATTTTAAAGGGAAAATTGTAAATAATTTTCATTTTTATTAAAAATAATGGATAAATATTTTCATTCAAATATATTTAAAATTTTAGAAAAGTAATTTTCTACTTTAATATTAAACTTGGTAATTTTCTTTTTATTTGACATTTATTTTTCATGATTTGCTTTTGTTAAATATTAAAATCGCCATTTTGTCCATAAATAGATTTTTTTAAGATTTATATTTTCTATTAAAAAAAAATCTATTATATCAAAAATTCATAATTGTGTGAGAAATAAATTTCTCTAATTATCTGAATTTTGTTTGTTTACATAAACACTTTATCGTTTTCTTTAATCAATTTTTGGTTAGCTTTCAAAACAAAAAAAAAATGTTTTTCGAATTTGGATTCCAGAAAAATTGGCTGACTAAGTTCAAGATTTGGAAGCAAAAATGTTTTTTTTTCATCAAACTTTCGAAAAATTGTGTTAAAACATTTTTTAATTTTTTTAATTAATTAATTTCAATTTTTTGAAAGTTCATTTTTGTTTAACAAAAATGTTTGTTTTCCTTGTAAAAGTATTTTTTTGATCTCAAAACGAGAACTTCACTGACTTTTCTATAAGTCAATTTTTTTATTAGAAGAAATTAGAATTTTTAATGCGAAAAATTGATAAAAATGTCTCTAAAGTTAGCGTCGATGCTGTGCGCCAAAAATTTATTTTCTCGAAATCGTAAAGAATCAAAAATTTGTTTCAAAATTTGTAGGTTAATATAGAATTCTCAAAAAATGTTTTAAATCTCTAGATCTGAATGAAAGAATGGAAATTAGTATTTTAATCTCTAAAAAAAACCCAAATAACAGCGTCGACGCTAACTTCAGGAACATAAAAATAATGATATGCTAATATAATATTAATAAGAAATGAAAATAAATTATATTTAAAAAAAAACAAAAATTTATTGTCTTTAATCTAAAACACTTAATGCGCACTTTAGATTTTAGTCTATAATTAAAATTTTTTCGAATAAAAATCATAATTATAGAAAAATTATGTGCAGGTGACGTTGGTAATTTTTACTATGGAGAGAGACATCCCATGAAGCCTCAACGAATAAAAATGGCACATAATTTGGTTTTAAATTACGGACTTTATAGAAAAATGGAAATTTACGTGAGTACTTGTTTCTCTATTTAATTGTAACAAATTTTTCTTTAGATTTTTTTTTTCTAAAAATGAGGTTATACCTGCGATACTATACCAAAAGTTACGTCACTTGGAACAGATGTTCTAACATAAAGCAAAACACGATGCATGCGGTACATCAGATTTTAAGTTTCTAGCCCCTGGATCTTGACAACCAACCGTTAATCTAAATAGTTGCGTTTAAAAATTTAGATATCTTTCAGGCGCTAAAATCCAAAAATCCGATTTTAAAAATTCTTTGGTTATTCAACTTTTACAATTCCTTCCTCTCAAGGATATCAGATGTCGTCCATAAACTACATAACCCTACTTTTTTTAAATTTACCCCCCCCCCTCCACCCCCTATTTGCTACATTTTTTCTACGTAGTTTATAACTCTTTGAAATCCAAAAAAGTTGTTATTTCCTCTTGTAAAACAGCACTTTTCACTAAGGCAGTATAACACAGTCCAAATAATTTTTCATCTCATCGAAACTTAATTGTTCATTAAAATTAATTATATGTTAGTTTTGTTTAACGTATTGAAACCTATGTTTACCTGTTTAAACAAAAAAAAAAAATAAGTCTTGACATTAGAGCATTAGTAAAAATATAATTTATTTTTGGTTAAAAAAATTTTTTTTTTTAATTTAGAGACCCTTCAAGGCGAATTTTGAAGATATAGAAAAATTCCACAGCGATGAATACATAAAATTCTTGAAGTCAGTATCACCGCACAACGAATCGACATTCAATAAATCGGTTCTTGAAAAGTGTAAGAAAATATTTAATTATATACATTTTTTTTTTACTTTAGACATAAATAAAGTGTGACAAGAATGACAAACTTTATATTACGCAAGCATGCGCAGTATATGAGCATATTTTTTTTTATATCGTCAAATATGAGCAAGTGAGAAAACAAATCAAAAAGAGGTTATGGTTGACGTTTATCAGTTATAAAATTTTTTAAATCAATTAAAACGAATTATTTTCTATCAATATTGCTTCCTCATAGAGGAAGGATTGTATTAGCAAAATTTTCGATTGTGATTTTTTGACATATTCATAAAGTTTAACTATATTTTTTTTGCATTTTTCATTTTGTAAAAAAACGTTTTTTGGCCATAACTTAAAAAAAATGTTAGGACACCTATAAATGTTTTTCTTTAGATTTGTAGAGTTTTTTCAGACGCATCTTTTGAGCCTTCATTGAACATTTTTCGTCTATATTAGCCAGAGATATTAAAGTTTTAAAAATCTGTTTTTCGAAAATAACACTTTTTTGAAAATTTTGTTAAAAAATATAAAAGTAACTTTAAAAGTATCATTACCAACTTGTGGGGCATTAAAAAAGGCTTCGATTGACCTATTTTTGAACCTGATTCGGTCAAAAATTATCAAATTATTGGTATTTGAAAAATCAAAAATTGTAGAAAATATCATTTTAACATTCTTGTTTATTAACTTATGTGTAATTATTAAACTACCCAGGTGCGAATTTTGGTCGGCCGCCAGAGTTGGCAGGTCGGGCCCAGGTCGGCCCATCTATGGCTGCCAATAGGTCGGCAGCCAAAGTCGGGCCGACTTTGGTTACTGTTTCCACCCAAGGTTGGGCCGACTATGGGTGCCAGAGTTTAGAGAACCTAATTTTAGTTGGTCGGGCCGACTCTGGCCTGAGTCGGGCCGATGGTCGGCAAAACTATGGCAGCCAGAGTGTAAAAAACCTAATTTCTGTTGGTCGGGCCGACTCTGGCCTGAGTCGGGCCGATGGTCGGCAAAACTATGGCAGCCAGAGTGAAAGAAACCTAATTTCTGTTGGTCGGGCCGACTCTGGCCTGAGTCGGGCCGATGGTCGGTAAAACTATGGCAGCCAGAGTTTAAAAAACCTAATTTCTGTTGGTCGGGCCGACTCTGGCCTGAGTCGGGCCGATGGTCGGCAAAACTATGGCAGCCAGAGTTTAAAAAACCTAATTTCTGTTGGTCGGGCCGACTCTGGCCTCAGTCGGGCCGATGGTCGGTAAAACTATGGCAGCCAGAGTGTAAAAAACCTAATTTCTGTTGGTCTGGCCACGGTTGGCCCGACCATCTTAAAAAACATTTCTATACTGCCATGGTAGAAATTAAAAGTTTTTGTGTTAATTATTTTAGCTAAAATGGATTAAACAAAAACTAATAAACGTTATCTGATTTATTAATCGTTATGAATTACAAATTTCTTTTTTTAAATTGCAGCTTATAAATTCATTTTTGTTCTTAGGCTTTCATGTAAGCGTAGCGTAATGGTTAGCGTGTTAGACTTCGGTGCGTTAGGTTGCGAGTTCGATCCCTGCGAGCGTTAGAAATTTTAATTTGTATTTATGTATAAGATTGCGTCTAGTGTTAAGATGAATGCGATAAATAAATAAATAAATAATGAATATTAAGATATCACTTAATATCTGTTAATTGTAAAGTTAATAATTTTTTGCAAACGGTCGGCCGACTATTGGCTGCCAAGGTCGGCACGACCATGGTTGCCAAAATGAAGCCGACCTTCTTTCTCATGGTCGGGAAAACTTTGGCACCCCTGGTCTGCCCGACTTTGGCAACCATAGTCGGCCCGACCATGTTAGCCACTGGACGGCGGGTGTTACAATTCACTAGTTCGGCCGACCTTTGGCTGCCAAGGTCGGCACGACTATCCACTTGGTCGGCGCGACCATGGCCCGACCAACTTTTCGCACCTGGGTATTATAACCATCTTACAGAATATGTAAAAACATATTTTTTGGACCAAGATTTAATGATTTTTAACTCTTTTATAAAAATTAATTCTTATGTTTCAATTATTATTATTTCTATGAGGAAGCAAAGTGTTCATGAAATGAACACCAAAATTATAAAAATGTACAACTTGTTTTACTTTTTTTACGGTTTTTACTTGTATAAAGTTCAGTTTGTTAATTTGTTTGATTATGTGTGTCCATAGGCTGCAAAACAGTAATCGGACATCAAATAAAATTTAAAGTGTAAGTGTTTTATGTATAAAGTACAATAATTAAAGTAAATTTCTGTTGAGAATAAAACAGAAACTATGGAATTTTCAATATGATATACGTTTTATTTATTGAACAAGTAGAAAAACGAGAGTTTGTAAAAAGTAATTAAATGTACACAATGAGCGTGCAATGAACGAGAGAGAACTAACTAACCTAGACTGACTCTACTTATAAGCATGACTACCAACCCAACATACCTAGTGATAAACGTTTTAAATACAAAAGTAACTAAAAATTCAAAAATTGTTTACTTCAACAATTTCAAATTCGTAAATTAATTATAATTTTTCCATTTTTTCACATTAGAAACATAACCTTCTTAACTTCTCACTTGATACGATTTTCTCACTCGCATATGAGTTTACGGGACAGACAGATGAGACTTTAGAAAAAATTATAACAAAAATCTGAAGAAAAATTTTTTGACTAGTTTAAAGATTTCTGAAGATAAATAAGAAAATATGTTTAATGCGCTTTGAACTCGAAGTTTGCTGGTTAGAAGGGCAGCGGGGAAAAAAATGTTCGCGCAGGCGCAAAGCGGCTGCGCGAACATTTTTTTCCCCGCTGCCTTTTTAACAATCCTAACCTAAAAAAAAATAGAGTAAAATTAGAAATATTTTTCAACTTAAATATTTGTTTACCATACACTACAATTTTTCTTATTATACATCTTATTATAACAATTTTGCTCTTATACAGACAACATTGGAGCGGATTGTCCAGTTTTCGAGGGAATTTACGAATTCTCCCAAATATCCGCCGGTGGTTCAATTGCAGCGGCCATTAAATTAAACAAAAAAAAGTCTGACATTTGTATTAATTGGGCCGGCGGTTTGCATCACGCTAAAAAAGGTGAAGCTTCTGGTTTTTGTTACGTGAACGATATTGTTCTTGCAATTCTCGAATTGTTGAAATATCATCAACGAGTTCTGTACGTCGACATTGATGTGCATCATGGCGATGGTGTTGAGCAGGCGTTCTACTTAACTGACCGTGTCATGACAGTTTCATTCCACAAATATGGAAATTATTTCCCAGGCACTGGAGCTGTTGATGAAGTTGGCATCGGAGAGGTAAAGTTTATAATTTTAGTTTTAACCGAATTTTTTATTATTCTTTAAGGTCAACGCACAATACCTTTGCGAACCGAAAAAAAGAATTTTGAGTCCAAAAGAGATAGATAGGAATCTTCTTTTCAAATTTTGCATTCTGCTGACTTGTGACTGTGACTTATATTTTTAGGGAAAATATTATTCGGTTAATGTTCCTCTACAAGCGGGAATAACCGACAACAGTTATGAGAAAATTTTCGTACCAATTATTGAAGCTGTAATGGCATCATTTCAACCATCGGCAATTGTTTTGCAGTGTGGCGCTGACTCTCTTTCTGGTAACTCTCTTTCTTTGTTTTATAATTTTCAAAAATTAAAGTTTAGTATTTTTTATTTAAATAATTTTTTTTTTTAATTCTCGTAGGAGACAGATTGGGGAGTTTCAATTTGACAACCAAGGGTCATGGAAAATGTGTGGAATTTATGATGAAATTCAATATACCATTGTTACTTGTTGGCGGAGGTGGTTACACTATTCGCAATGTATCGAGATGCTGGGCATATGAAACTTCGGTCGCATTAAATTGCGAGATATCTGATGATTTGCCGTATAACGATTATTTCGAGTATTTTGCGCCTGATTATAAACTACACGTCAAGGCGGCGAAAGGCGTTGGCAATCAGAATAATGAAGAATATCTGTCGAGCATCAAGTGAGATATTACAATTATATTTTTTGTTCTAATCTGTTTAAATTATTATTTTTATTTATGAAGTTGTACTACCTGGGGTTGATATTTAAAAAAATTATTAAAACTCTTTTTAAAATAGGGTCAAAGTTTTGGAACACTTGAGAATTTTGGCTCACGGTCCAAGTGTTCAAATGCAGGACATCCCAGAAGATGCAATTCCGGAAATTGTTCTTGAACCGGAAGAGAAGGGCAATTCGGAGAAAAGATTGTTGCAATCGGAAGTGGATCGGAGAATTGAACGAGACAATGAGTACAGTGATAGCGAAGATGAAGGCGATGGTGGTCGAAGGGATAATCGTTCATTTGAGGTACGTCTCTATTTTTTCTAATTATCTTCTAATTATTTACAATTATTTAACAGAAATCTATTTTTGTACTTGATTACAAAAATTTAACTCAGTAATTGTAATTTTTTTCATAGCGTCCAAGCAAAACACGTAAAATGGAATCAGTTAGTGAAATAACTTCGAATCTGGAGGAAGCTGAAATTAGAGACGATAAGGAGAGTAAAAATGGCAGTGAAAGCAATAAAAGTTAAATTAATAAGGGCAAATTGGCAATGAAAGTATTTTAATTATGTTTAATTGACTTAAGTTGTAAAAAAAACTGTGATATAATCATAGAGCGTACATGTAATTGATTTGTTTATTTTTAATAAACTGTTAATTAAACTATTCTTTTTATTTTAAATTCCTTTTTCAAATTAACATAATTTAAAATTTTAATATTCAATTAAGATGTATTTTGGATTTTCTATTTAAAAAGATGACGAATATATTTAAAGAAGTAATGATTTGATTTCTATAGTTACGCTAAGCTTTTTATTGTAAAAATACCTTGCGCACCCAATGATTGAAGGCCTAAAGCAAGGGGATTCCCCGGTTTATTTCAAACGCTCAGAAACTTTCAAACCAATTCTACAATAGAAACACTTCGAACTTGTAACTTCACAAACGATTTTTTTAATAAAAACAATTCAGTTTCTCTGCAAATTTTCCAGATGTATATAATAATTAATTACTAATATTGTATAGTACCTATTATTTATTTTATAGGAATAGTGTGAAGTAATATAAATTGGTCAACATGACTGCAAGTTCCATAGTAATTCTTTTTATGTAAAGATACATTTTTTTGTTTAGCAAAATTTTTATTATTTATAAAAAAAATTTGTAAAAATTATTTTCCAAACAAAAATTAAAAAAAATTGTGATAAGAAAATATTTTCCATGTAAATCGTTGATCGTAAACGTTGTAAATTTAAACTTCGTTAAGTACTATACATTTAAGTAACATGTTACTTAATTCTTTTTGAAAATCAAAAATATTAAATATATAAAACATCGGCTGTAAAAGCTAAAAATTACCAAAACTACATAGTGTAAAACATTATTATTAATAGTGAAATTCAAAACGTAGTTGTACGACAAAAAGGATCAAACATTTAGTGATATTTGTGACGCTTTTATAGCGCTGTTACAATGACATTTAATTATTAAATATAATATTTAAAAAAAAATAAATGGCTCTAAAAGCGTGGAGCAGCAAATGGCAAACATATCAATGATTCAGTAAGCATACAAATTGTAACCAAATAACTCAAATATATCAGCAGAAGCAAAACTTGATTATGAAAATCTTTTACATAAGAAAACATTATCAAAAAGATCTCTTTAAATTCATAACATAACATTGCTTGGACCACATTTAATAAATACATTTCAAGATGAAAAAGAATTTGAACGGTGCATTACAAACAATAATTATGTGGCAAGTAGCGTGACGTTTATTCGATCGAAGAAGTTCAACGACACTGTTGTACTTTTACAAACCTCTATTTACTGAGCCTAACATTTTTATTTTACCAGAGAACAATACAACACCGTCGTTTATACCAAATGTTTTGATAATTCTGAAATGGAATGGACGATTAACCTTAAATGGAATATCAAGGTTTACCGCATTAGCAGAACTGTATAAAGCCACAACAGCTGGAATGAATAACATAAAAGAGATTAATTATTTTCATTCGTTAAGAGCATATATATATTATGTGAAACGTAAACAAAACTAAGGTCTCACTTTCGGATTTTGAAAATTGGTTATAGCAAGTAAGTATGTTGAGTGGCTCAAAAAAAAGTTTAATCAAGTTTACGTTTACAATGTAAAACGGTAATTACTGTATCATTTTTAATGCTTACCAGTAGTAGCTGCTGCAGCTTCAGAGCCGTCTTTGTTCACCTCAATTACAACTTTCTGCTTAATTTTGTCCACCTTAAGCGACTGTTGTGAAATTCCACTTAAATCCGATCTGTAGTTGAATAATTCTTGAACACCCATCTATATAAATGATTAAGAAGTTTAAAAAAATTGAAGAATTTAAAAATAGTCTTTAAAACGAAGTAAAACAAACCTTTTTTAGAGTAGGTATCAATTCAATGGTTTTTTCAAATTTAAACATGGGCATGATAATCGAAACTTTTTGAATAGATCTTAGCTTTCTCAAGTTTTGGAGTGTGATTGCTTCTAATCTTGTTTCAACTTCTTCAAGACTCACATCATTGTCGGGGAGTACGATCTGCATTACAATATTACTACTTCCCTGTAAAAGAAACAAAACTTAACAAAGGTCGTTAATATTTGTGACTTACTTTTTATAAAGAAAAAATTATTTCTTACATTATATGGCAATTCTACAAAACTTGCGCCTATTGCAGGAACATTTGCATAAGATATGTTAACTTTTAGTTTCATTCCTGGTACTAAGGTACGCTGTCCATTACTACTATTGAAGTATAAACGATTATAATCTTTAAATTTGTATTGCCATTCGCTTTTAAAGTAAACGACATTGGTGAGAACCATGGCTGTATTTGAATCTATTTCGCCTGAATATGAGAAAAAGGATATAAAAAAAGAAATCTTTAAAATAAATTACAGAAAACAAGATGTAAAATATCAAAAGTAAATTGAAGATCTTTAACAATAATTGAATTTCTGAAGCATTATTAATTTTGACAAGTTGGAAATGTTTCTGTTGTATATGTTTAAAATTTTTAAAACATTACAAACCGGGAGTTAGAATTTCGTTGATTTTGCCATTTGTTCCTCTTGACACCCATTAGTTGATTGCCTCTGCTGCTTGTGGTGCATTAGAAAAATCTACTAGTTCTCCATCTGCATGCATGTCAAATTTTAATGCATAACTAAATTCTCGTGTAACTCTATAGCTGGTACTGAGATAAATTTTATTCAAAATGTTAAGTTCTGACGTACTGACATTCTAAACAATACCATAATTTATTATTACAGTTGTCCGCAATACTCTTAGTATAAATGTATAATAAGTTCATAATAATAGAAAAAGAATTATTTCTCCTTACCGACAGAAAATAGTGAAGAGAATGATAACTCTCTATGATCTGGCGATCAGTAAAATTTCTTAAATAGAGAGCTTGGAGTAATTCATTTTTTGTATTTCCTCTAGCTCCGGGTAAAACCATACTTAATGCTAAGTTTGCACTCAAGGGAGATAATAAAACGTTTCCTGATTCGTGTCTTGCTACTGTCTGGAAAGCAGAAAGCAAATGTGAATAAAACATAATTCTTCAACAGTTTTTTCAAGATTCTCAAATGTACCTTGTACAAGTTGACAGCGAATGATTCCAAGGACTCAATAAACAATGAATCGACATTATCTAAGTTGCTTAGATAACCTATCAGAAGAAAGGCAAGTAAATCTGGAAAAAGAAGAATAACATTTAAAATCAAGTGTTTTAGAAGAATTGGCAGAATAATAAATACGCAGACTGTATAAGGTCTATCCGGAAGCTTCCACAGGAAGGAGGTTGCTTCCTTTAACGTTTAAACGTTTTTTAAGCTTTAACGTTTTATAAAATTCTTCCCAAGAATTAAATTGAATTTATTGGCAGGATAAGAAAGAAGTAAATATTTTTGATGAAAATTAGGTAATAATCAGAAATTTACCAAACGAAATTCAGTAAATTAACAGAAATAAACTTTCTCAGTGTAGAATATATATATTAAATCATGTTTTTTAATTATGATAAAAAGTTTGATGAAAAGCTACTTACAGAGTTTCATTTTAGATGGTGTAATTCTTCAATTTGTGCCTCAATTTTTCGAAATTATTTGATATTCGGTGATATTCTGAAGTCAATGGTTAAATGTTGTTCTATATATACCTTAAATTATGCATTATTTTATTTGTACAAGTGTCAAAACTACTTTATAATCATATAAGATTAATATTTCTCAGTAAACATTAAATATACTTTTAATGCTATCTCATTTTGAATCCTTTCCCCAGAAACTTAGAATGAGTTGAAGGGGTATCATTTTTGTTGCACTTCAAAATGAGTATCATATATACTACTCATTTTGAGTTTAGTTTTTTTCTGTGTATGTGGAATCTCACATGAAATCCTACGTCAAATCTATCATATAAAATCCTATGTGAAATTCCATGTAGGAAATCATATGAGAATTGACATGGATTTTCAAGTCGTACAATCAATCCAAACACCTATATGAATTCCTATAAAAAATCCTGTGACAATTTCATATGTGTTTTTTTATAGAAATCTACATAGGTAAGTTTAGGTAAGTGTAATTCAAATGCTAATAGGTCTTTAATAAATATTTGCAATCGCGCATAAAACTTAATAAAATATTGTAGTTTTAAAAATACACTTTTTGCGCCGTAGACCAACTGTAAATTAATATCGATTAGCCAATAAAATATTTTATCCATAAATTTACTTTTTAAATTTATTTGACAATTATGTAGATTGTAACTTGAAAGAAACATTTCGAAATTTTCACGTGGAGATATTTGCAGTTTTATTTTTAAAGAAACTTTTTGTAATTATTTCTTCTTTCTATGTTTAAACAAGAATTGTATCTAAAATTTAATTTATTTTATCAGGGTTACCACAAATATTTAATTTTATTTTTCCCTGACTTTTCCCTGATTTCCAGAAAAAATTTCCATTTTTGCCCTGATCCTAAAGAATATTCTGATTATTTAAAAATTATTAGATACTCAAAAAAATATTCTATTACATTTATTTACAAATTTCTCTAATTATAAAATTATTCAAAAAAAAATCAATAACTTCTTTTTTAAATAAATATTTAATAATTATTGTTCTTCTGTAGGAATTGAAATATTGAATTAAATTCAATTATTTAAAAAAAAATTTAATAAAATTCGTTGCAATAATTCAATTATTTTCATAAATAATAAATCGATTATTCGGTAATTCATTTTTCAATCAACTTTTATTAGAAAATTCTAGAAGAATTCAATTATTTAAATTAAAAAATAAATAATTTATTAAATAATTGAATGTTTATGAAAATTTGTCAAAACTAATTTTAATAAAATTTTTAAGAATAATTACGTTTCTCGAGAAATTTGATTAAAATATTGTATCAAAAATAATTAAAATCCTGCGAACAGTTTTATTATTCATAAAATTAATTATAAAATTTTCCCAAGAATTTTATTAAAATTTTTCTAAAATAATTGGATTTCGGAAAAGAATTTTATTATTTATAAAGATACTTGAAATTTTGACAAGAATTTTATTAAATTTTTTATAAATAATTAAATTTCGATGAAGAATTTTATTATTTATAAAGATACTTGAAATTTGGACAAGAATTTAAAAAAAAAATTTTAAACATAATTTTATTTCTGCGAAGAATTTTATTATTTTTAAAAATAATTTAATTCTTTCTACGAATTTTATTCAAGTTTATAAAAATTATTGAATTTCGGTGAAGAATTTTATTATTTATGAAAATAATTGAATTTTTGAAAAGAACTGTGTTAAATTTTTTTAAATAATTGAATTCTCGCAACGAATTTTATAAAAATCTTTTTAAATAATTGATATTTTTCGAAAAATTCTATAAAATTTTTTATTTTTAATAATTGAATTCATGTGAAAATTTTATTATTTATGAAAATAATTTAATTTTTTCGAAGAAATTTATTTAAAATCTGGTAAATAATTGAATTCCTGTGAAATTTTGCCAAGAATTTTATTAAAATTTTTAAAAATAATTGAATTTTGATGAAGAATTTTATTATTTCCCAGTAAAAAAAAACTAATTCAAATGAATTGAAACGAATTAACATTTTTGGTAGGCTCCAATTCGTATTTGTCACAAAGCGGGATTCACTCAAGCTCTTTGTATATTCAATTGAATTTAATTCAATATGTACCAATTTGTCCAAACGAATTCGCATTCGAAAGAAATGGCCAAGGAATGCATTGAATTCGTGCTAACGAATTGAAAAAAATTAAAGGCTCAAAACTTGTCCAGTGAATTGGTACGGATAGAAGGTTCGGAAGTTCAATACAGTTTCACGAATTCAGGAAAATTGCATCATGGCTCCAATTCGTATTTGTCACAAAGCGGGATTCACGAAAGCTCTTTGTGAATTCTTTTTAATTCATTTCAATTAGTTTTCGTTTACTGGGATCCGATTGTAATATTAATTCCAATGTTTTTACTCTTTCCATGAATTTGGTTAAATTTTTATTACGTTCTTCTAATGTAGATCCAAAAATAATAATTTCATCTAAGTATACAAAACATGCATCACTAATTAATTCTTAAAAAGCGCCATGCCTCACCCTTTTAAATGTAGCTGGTGTATTTTTTAAACCAAATGTCATTCGGAAAAAGAGTTATTAAAGAAATCTAAGTGATCCACATTGTTGTTAGTCAATTTACATATTTTAATTACTGTGTAATTATCTCAATAGCAAGTATAGTTCTCGAGTAGGATAAGGGAAAGGAAGAAACATATCGTAGTGCTCTTTTAGAAGCAGAAAAATTAAATTACAGCAAAAAATATTATTATATTCATTTATTTACTTTAATATAGTAAACAAGATTATTCTGGTCTTTTGTAGTTTCCAGAGAACAATACAATACCGTCATTTCTACCTCCTGTTTTGATAATTCTAAAATGGAATGGACGATCAACTCTAAAGTTTATTGGACCGTCGCCTCTTCTCGAATAAGCAGTTCTGAAGACAGCCACAACAGCTGTAATGAATAATATAAAAAAGATGAATTATTTTCATTCGTTAAGAGCATATGAGAAACGTAAACAAACCGTACGCTTCACTTTTGGTTTGTGAAAATTGGGTATAGCAATAGTAACTTTGAGTGGCTCAAAAAATTTTAAACTGAAGTTTACAATGTACAACGTTAATTACTGTATATAATTTTTAATGCTTACCAGTAGCTGCTGCAGCTTCAGAGCCTTCTTTGTTGACCTCAATTACAACTTTCTGCTTAATTTTGTTCACCTTAAGCAGCTGCTGTGTAATTCCACCTAAATCCGATCTGTAGCTGAATAATTCTTGAATACCCATCTATATTCAAAAAAATGTTATCTTTATTTCCTAATTATATTTTATTAAATACAATTGATTTTTGAAACGAATAATAAGTTTAAAAAATTGATGAATTTAAAAATAGTCGTCAAAACGAAGTAAAACAAACCTCTTTTAGAATAGGTATCAATTCAATGGTTTTTTCAAATTTAAACTTGGGCATGTAAATAATAACTTTTTTTGAAGATCTTTCCTTTCTCAAGTTTGGTAGTGTTATTGTTTCTAATTTTGTTTCAACTTCTTGAAGACTCACATCAGAGTTAGGGAGTACGATCTGCATTATAATATCACTACTGCCCTATAAAAGAAATAAAAATTAACAAAGGCCGTTAACATTTGTGACTTATTTTTTTATAAAGAAAACATTATTTCTTACCTTATATGGCAATTCTACAAAACTTGCGCCTATTGCAGGAACATTTGCATAAGATATGTCAACTTCTTGTTTCATTCCTGGTACTAAAGTTCTCTGTCCGTCAGCACTATTAAAGTAGAGATAATTAAAATCTTCGAATTTGTATTGCCATTCGCCTTTAAAGTAAACGACATTGGTGAGAACCATGGCTGTATTTTCATCCAAATCGCCTGACAATGAGAAAAATGATGAAAAATTTAAACAAAGAAATTTTTAAAATACAGCAAAAAAAATTAAATTACAAAAACTAAAAGGAAGATTATTTTTGAACAATAATTGAATCATAATAATGCTTCTGACGAAGCATTATTAATTATACAAGTTGGAAATATTTCTGTTGCATGTTTAAAATTTTTGAAACATTACGAACCGGCAGTCAGAATTTGGTTGATTTTGCCATTTGTTCCTCTTGACACCCATGTGTTGATTGATCTTGCTGCTTGTCCTGCATTAGAAAAATCTAGTTGTTCTTCTTCTGCATGGAAATACCGTGTTAATACATCTTTATAGGTTTGCTTAACATTCAGGTTGGTACTGATAAACGCTTTATTCAAAATATTAAGTTCTGAGCTATTGACATTCTAAAAAATACAATAATTTATTATTACAGTCATCAACAATACTCTTAGTATAAATGTGTAATAAGTTAATAATAATAATAAGAATAAATAATAGAAAAAGAATAATTTCTCCTTACAGGCAGCGTATAGTAAAGACTACTATAATCATATTTGATCTGTGCATCGTGATCTTCTAAATAGAGAGTTTGGAGTAATTCTCTTTTTGTATTTCCTCTAGCTCCGAGTACAACCATACTTAAAGCTAAGTTTGCACTCAAGGGAGATAATAAAACGTTTCCTGATTCGTGTCTTGCTACTGTCTGGAAAGCAGAAAGCAAATGTGAATAAAACATAATTCTTTAACAGTTTTTTCAAGATTCTTAAATGTACCTTGTACAAGTTGACAGAGAATGATTCCAAGGACTCAATAAACATTGAATCGACATTATCTAAATTACTTAGATAACCTATCAGAAGAATGGTAAGGAAATCTAGAAAAAGAAGTATAACATTTAGAATCAAGAGCTTCAGAAGAATTGACAAAATAGTAAATACCCAGCTTGGGTAACAATACAGAAAGTTTATTCCTTATATTTTATCGAATTTTTCTATAAAGTTGGGATATAGTGTCATAATGGTAATTTTTAATAATTTTTAAATTACTTTCTCCGGTAATATTGGATAAAATTTAATTTACCGTTTTCATTTCTTTCCATCGGTTTTTTTATGAATTAAACATTAGTTATATGTTATAACATCCAAAACTTATATTAAAAATCCTAAAAATTAATCTAAAACATAATAAATTAATCCTCTGCAAGTTTTACTGAATTATTTAGTAAATCTGATCTTTGATCAGATAATATATTATTCGGATTGACGCTGACTATTACCGGATTCTTTGCATACAGATTTTGGATTGTTCCATACTTGTTTCGGATTAAATCTTTTAATTGGATTAAATTCGGATTATTGCGGACTGATTTCGTATTATTTACATATTGATTTCGGATTATTTTGTATTTATTTTAGATGAATTTTTTGACGGACATAATTTCGGATTGTTGCATAATAATTACGGACTTAATTCATAGACATAGTCTGGAGCTCTAGACTGATTTAAGATTCAAAATTTAAAATTAAAAATTTAGAAAACATTTGTAGATTTATGTATATGTTTCAAAATTTATACTAAGAAAATCGTAATTTTAAAATATTTTATAAATCTTTCTCACAAGCGGTGAAATAAAATTCAGATTCATATGTAAGAGCAGTTTAAATTTTCTATTATGCAAAATGAAATTCCAATTCGTATATATTGTTATAAAATTGTAGGGAGTTATATGTAATGACTAAAGCAGGTTATGATTTGCTTTTCAAGTTTTACTGAACTATTTAGTAAATATAGAATGAAATATATATCGATAACTGTACCGAACAAAATTCAGTAAAATAGTAGGAATAAATTTTCTCAGTGTAGAATATATATTAAATCATCTTTTTGAATTATGATAAAAAGTTTGATGAAAAGTAACTTACAGAGTTTCATTTTAGATGTTGTAATTTTTCAATTCGTGCCTCGATTTTTCGAAATTAATTAAATTGTATTCGGCGATATTCTGAAGTAAATTGTTAAATGCTGCCCTATATATACCTCACGTTATGCTTTATTTTCTTTGCATAAGTGTCGAAACTACTTTATAAACATTTAAAAGTATTATTTGTCATTATAGCTTATATGTAATTCAAATGCTATAGGTCTTGAATAAATATTTGCGATCATATAAAACTTAATAAAATTTTATAATTTTAATAATACACTTTTTGCGCCGTAGACCAACTAAAAATTAATATTGATTAGCAAATAGGATATGTTTTTCACAAATTTACTTTTTAAATTTATTTTCCAATTATACAGATAACATGAAACAAACAAAAATTTCGAAATTTTCACGTGGTGTTCACGATGTTCACACGAGATAAACTTTTAAAAATATAAGATTCGATATAGGATTTCATGTGAGTGTTAGAAATTTAATATTAATTTTTTCGACCACATTTCTCTTTAAATATTTAATAAATTGAGCTGAAATTTAGTAAGAAAATCTAAAATATAATATATTATTCTTCTTCTTCTTTGGAACTATAAGTTAATTGCTTTTTGAACTTTCTGCTGATCCTCGTCATGTATTGGAAATAACCTTGAAAAGCAGTCAGCTGCATTATTTTCTTTTTCTTTAACATATTCTATACCTTATTGAAACTCTTCTAAACATAATCTCCATCTTAATAATATTAAACTAGGATCTTTTACATTATGTAACCAAATTAGTGCTTCATGATCTGTCTGAATAGTAAATTAAATGTCCGTCCCAATAAATATTGTCTTAGTCTTTTTGTAGCCCAAACGATTCTTCTGTTTTATTTAATACTCTTGAAATATAGCAACAAGGATGTCCATCTTGAGAAAGAACAGCTCCTACTCCAACAAAAATGCTGACATCCGTTGTCAAAACAAATCTTTTATTAAAATCTGGATATTTTAATACTGGTAATTTACACAGAATCTTTTAATAATTCGAAGCTTGTACTGTAGTCTTTTATCCAATTGAAAATAGTTATGTTAATCTATATTATGTGCAAAGTTTTTAATAAACTTTCTGTAATATTCAACTATTCCTAAAAATGATTTCACCCAAAAAAAAATTTTACTTTCAATTTTATCCGAAGAAAAAATTTTACCATAAAAAATGAAATTAGGATTTTTTTTAAATCTACAACAAATTGATTAGTAAAGATAATTTTATAAATAAATTAATTATTGCGTCGTTTTCTGTTTCCAGAATTATTAATTTTGTATTGTCTTCATTATCCAATCGTACATGTCAGCTGTATTAATAAATATTGCATAAGTAATGTTTTCCGAATTAATATACGTTACAGAATTGGGATCAAAACCCACTAATTTGTTATTGAACACAACAGAAGTGCCAGGAAGAAAGTGTGAATAATTCTCACTGGAATTGTAATTATATTCAGTTGTGCAGAAGCAGTCATTTTTAATTTCCGGAAGTCTATCGTAGCACGCGTTTGTTATCGATATAAAAGCGCTTCCCAAATTTTCCGTTTCGATCTGAAAAAATTGAAATGTAAAATAAGTTCCTTTGATTTCTAAAATAAAAATTGAAGAGACATAAACCTTTCTATTGAATTTGAATCCAGTTAATTCCAGACAATTCATGTTTTCCGGTTTCTCGGTTGGTTTTGCTAATTGAATTGGCTTTTGGGACTCATCAAAATTAATGGGCTTTATCAACTGGAAATTTTATTAATATTTTTTTTAGGCTTAAAATCAGAAAAAGAAGACTTCTCACTGATCTACTAACATATGTGGAACAAGAGAACAGTATAACCAACAGATAGTCGAAGAATAACTAATAATAATTAAAAAAAAATCTTTACTTAATAATAATTTATAAAGAAAGTGTTGGGTTATTAAAACTATACTTACTTTGATTAAAGCGAAATTTTCAGAATTAACACTGATACTGTTATTTCCTAGAACTACCTTCTCAATTTTATGAGTCACTTTGTCAGTGTCAGGAGGAATAGCATCTACTTTCGTAGCAATAAAAATATCCTTAGGACAAAAGTAATCAAGATCCTCATCATCATTTCTAGAAAAGGAATGAAAATTCTGCACTAACTTTTCATTTAAATTGCTATCGATTATTTAAAAATTCTCATACTCATTTATTGTACTGAAGCATTCAGCTGAAGAAAGGATCCAATGCTCAGACAAAATAGTGGCTCCACAATATTTATCGTCAATATTACAATTCTCATTTCTTCGTACTGTCACTACGGCCTGTAAAAAAGGTTTACAGTTTATTTTATTCTGACGCGAATAATGAGTGAAGCAAAATTTGTTATAGAAAAAGTATAACAAACAAAATCTTTATATTTTTCATTTGTTAATCATAATTTTCTTAAATTCTCTAATTTCTAATAATATTTTATGAATCATGAATTTTGACGCACATTTGTAAAATTGTAATAATGATCTTATATAAATAAAAAAAAGGTATCAAACAATTGTTATCATTGAATACTATTTCAGCATTTCCGTAAAATTGTCTCTATATATAAATATATGTGAAAATTGATATCATTTTTAAACGTTATAGTCTATGATGTTAAGGTATATATGATTTCAAATAAAATGTATAACTTTCTTTTATTTTGAAAATAGCATTTATTATTCGCTTATTTATTACATTTGCAGGAGTGTGAAAAATTGAAATACAATTTTGTCTTGAAAAATATTGATGTAGTAAAATATGTACTCAGTAGTGAAATTTATTAAAAATAGTTGAAAAATATTTCTTTATAGAATCTTAACCCCTCAGTGATAGCAGAACTGTAAAGTATGATATGGACGTTTTCATCATCTTAAAATAAGCAAAAAGTTTGATTAAATTATCATTTTTCCATTTTAGAGGGTCATTCCAAGAAAGAAGAAATAAGGTAAAGTTTTTCTTCAAATACTTAAAATGACCCATTATCAAAAAACTATATAAAATAAATCCACACTAACAATACCGAAATTACTCATAGAAAATGAGTACAATTTTCCTGCTGTAAAATTAATGGGTTTTCTGCATCTCAGCATTATTATTTTCAGTAAATTTTTCGACGCTGGTGATAAATTATACCAGTAGCTTTCATATCTGAAATTTCAATATTGTTTTTAATATTGTAAATGTCGAAGCGATTACAATGTTACCGACAGAAAGTCACTAGAAAAAACCGGTTATTATTTAAATTCGCCAAGTTCGCTTTAAATTTACTTTTAGTATTTGAATTTGCCGCTCTTTCTAGTTACTTTCTGTCGGTAATGGTAATTTAAAAATTAGACATATTTTTATAAATAACTCACATATTCTGAGAAAGTTGATTACTTTGGTCAATTAAACGTTGACTGGGCAATGTTAAACAAAAGAAACGAAAGATTTGACCCATATTGTACGTAAAAGTGGCAAACGTTTCACTGGGTTCATTTGAATACATGACTAACTGAAGATTTATTAAATTTTCTCTAAACATTATATTAATACGTATATATATATATATATATAAATCCAAAAAGAAGCGTGAAATTAATAAAAATTGAAAAGTTCCTGATTAGAAAAAAATTCTGATTAAATTGGAATTGACGGTCTAGTGATAATCTAGTAACCTTTTGCCTACTTTTAATTGAAGAAAGATAAATAAGGTCAATGGAGGTTAAAAATAAGTAATCACCAGATGGCGCTACAAAATTTAGCCGATCCCAATTAATTAAATTAATAAAACTGAAACGTATAATAAATAAATAATAATAAGTATTTAAATATTTATTTTATAAAAATGATTGAATATGTAAAAAAATTTAGAATTAAACTTATTACCAGGATTATTCGAAAGTTCAAATTATTTACTCAAAAATATCTTACATTCAAGTTGTTGTTAGAAATATTTATTTCTACACCAGTTTTTCAAATGTTTCTTAATTTTTTTTTTAAATTTAAATAAAATAACTGTTAGAAAAATTATATTTTTTAAAAAATGAATAATTTTTATTAAATTTTGAAAAAAAAATCTTTTAAAGTAACAATGGCAATGAAAATTTCACATGCTAGTTTTCAATAATTTTTAAATACCTCGCTTCTTCATGGGGATTTGTATGAAAATTTTGAATTTTTTTTAACCATACCCGAACTCCTGTGAAGCTTATCATTAATACATTTAATCCCAAACTCAAAAAATGAGAAATTGAAAAACAATCACGAATCTCATTAACGAACCTTGTAAAAAATAATGTTATTACATTATAGAAAAGTAGAATTTTCTTTCTTACTTGAAAACGGTTGTCCATCCGTAGGCTTAATAATTTTGCAAATATAAAAAAAAAAAAAAAAATCAGTAATGGAATATAAAATACAAACATTATAACAGATTTGTGTCTTTCAATACAGAGCTTAATTTCCTTTTGTACAATTTTCTCGCCAGAAATTGATACACTATAATCTGTTTTAACAATATTTTTTATTTTTGCTCTGTGAATGAAAAAAAAAACTATTTTGAGACTAAATTTCGATTTTATAGAAAATTAAATGAAATATTATTTATATGATGGAAAATAAATCCACTGTAGGATATTACCCTAATATTTCCAATTGTCCACATGCGTGGCAAATAAAAACAATGAAGATTCCATCGACAGCTAAAATGAGTGTCATTATTGCAAAAGATACCGGCCAATGATGCATCGCTATTGCTATATAATTATTTTTGTCATTTTGATCTATCAAGTAATCGGTGTCCATATAAATGTTTCTTGGTCGAGATTCATTTAATGGTTTTATTATATCCAAAAAAATCGGAATCAGTGGTACAACAAGAAATTCTATCGTGGCTGTATAAAGTAAAACTAAAATACATTATTTTTGAAACTAGTGAACTTGTAAATAATTTTTTTCCCCTTATTTTTAAAAATATTTACTAATTTTAAAAATAACGCATTTAAAATTTTTTTTTTAATTTAATTTTTATTTAATTAATTAATTTTTTTTAGTTTTGCACTAAAAAATATACTTTTACCCTAAAATGTAATTTCAAATTTTGTTACTTACCAACTCGTGCCTTGTTTAGATTCTTCGCTAAAAGTCCATTTCTGTTTAAAATTTCTAATTCCACGTTTGTATTGCACAATAGCCAATCTGCCTTTATTTTAGAAAAAATTAGATGTATCTAAAAGAAATGATTTTTTATTTATTTAATTTAAATATAAAACAATTTTAAAGTTAATAACTTATATAAAACTCGAATAGAGAAAGTGGAAGTCAAATTACTAAGTTGCATCCCAAGTGAAAATTTTTTTTTTTTTTTTTGAAAATAATGTATAGAGAATTTTAATTTATTACTTTATTTTTGTTGACAGAGACAGCAATGTAGGAATTTATACTCGTAAGATTTACTAAGCAAGCTGGGAGGCATGTAAATAAAACGTCCTTTTCGTCCCAATTATTTATCACCGCCAGCAACTAAATAATATTAAACTGTTTCTTTAATTTCCATAATAATTTATTGTAAGCAGTTGTGTAACCCTTCTAGAGTCATTTTTATAAAAAATAAATGACTTTTATAAAAGTTGACAATTGGTTTGACAGCTGTCAACTTGTCAATTTGACATCAATTTATTCATAATCAGCAAAATTGCAAATGTATGCAGACTTTTTTAAAAAAAATCTTTTGAGGTAAAAAATAAATTTAAGAACAATTAAGAGTTTTTAATATTTCCTAAGGACCCTAAAAATTTTAAAATTTTTTTATCATTTTTTTATGAATTCCAAGAATTTAATTTTTTTCAGTACTTTTAATAAAGTTCCCTAACTTTTCCCTGAATTCCCTAACTTTCCTAAACTGTGGCAACCCTGATTTATAGTTTAGTTAAATATTTTCATAGGTGCATGTAGGTATTATTTAAAAACGTTTCGTCAATTATTTAAAAAATATTCAAGAAATTATTAAGAAAGCTATTGTAAAAAATTATTAAAAAATTTTGTATTGTGTACATTAGGCGCAAAATTTTACTTGCGGTATCAAAAAGCTTATAAGACAAAGCCAAAGAAAGAATGAAATTAATTTTTGAGTTGCTTTCGATTGAGAATGCCATAGTCCGATGGAACATGACAAATATTTAATGACTTTTATTTGTGAATTGTATGTTTCCATTAAGACGTCTAGTGTTGAAATAAAAGTGAATCTTTCAAACTTTTCCATACTATAGATAACATCTGATAGTTTTAAACTCCTATTAGTTTTGTATTCCAAGTACAAAATTAACCAGTCTTTAAGTGGAATTTTTGCTAGTTTCTGATGTAATATTCAGCATTGCTTAATGTAAATTTATACTGTTCTGTAAGATAATTATTTTTACCATAGAAAATTCCTGTCGGTTTTTGTGAATCTTTTAAATAAATAATGCAAATTAGTTGAGACTATGTACAGTGTGCATAATAGAGAGAAATCAATTTTTACCCCGTATGAAGTGTGGTCAGTCTGAATGCTGCCTTTCAAGGGAATCGTCTTGCGTGTTGAGGAGGAAAATCAATTTTCTTAGTGGGATTTCGGCTCATTTTTTTCACTAGTTAATACATTGTAGCAAATTTGAACATTTACTTACCTTCTTTATTTTATTTTTACAACTACAAAAGTCTGGATGATTTATCAAGTCACTTGTTCAATCACTCACCTTTCGCAATTTAAAGCACTTCGTGTACTCTATAGTACTATTCACTAATTCACTTAGTTAACTTTTATATTCGTATTGTTTATGGATTTTCACAAACAATACGAATCCTTGAACAATAGCATTTGTAACATATGAATGTCTTTTTTTTTTACCTAATTTGCATATCTACTCTTTTCATATAAGAATAATTTGTTTCTTACCACAAACGGTGATTCCTCTATAGCCATATATTGATAAGGCGCTTCTCTTTTCTTAGTGTCACAAGAGATGTTTCCTTCAAAGCAAACCAAAATTATATTATTACAGAATATAAGTTAATAATTAATTGCAAACACTATTTTACATGTCATAAGATGGTAACTTAGTTTTTTCCGTGATAATATTTATTATAAGATGGTAATTAGGTGAATTTTTTTTTTTACATATTTTTCACTACAAATTATTCTGGTCAACAACAAAAATACATCTTTTAATATAAGTTAATAATAAACACTGAACCGTGGAGCTGTTGACTCCTTGCACTAAACTAATTTTTTTTTTCTTTTTAAATGCTTTATTGAACTACATAATAATTAGAATTTATAAATGATGTCATGTAATATTTAATTTAAAAACCAAAATTAACAATACAAAAACTAACTTGATAAGAAAGCCATTGATTCAAATGTTGAAAAAATAAGAACGAAGTAAATCAACATCATGGCAATATTTTAAAAAAGACACTAATTATGATAAGATATATTGGTAAGTTTTATAAATGTATATCAACGAAGCAGGAAATTATTTTTCATATTTATCATATATTCTTCCGGAACAAATTTTTGAGATTATTCTCATCCAATTATAAGTTTTACTAGTTACTTTTAGAAACTTTTATTTATTATATTGTTTATTGTACCCGATGGCATAACATTCGAGCTCAATAATTGTGTCATCAATATTGCCGGACATTACTCAGACAACATTGCCTCGCAATATTATAATCATTATTTGGGTGATTTTCCACGAAATTATAACTTTTTTTTTTATTTGCAAAAGAGTAACTTTTGCTTAAGAAAAAAAATTTTTTTCGATTATGATATTACTAAAAAAAAATTAATTGTATAAAAGTTGAAAGCAGATTTAAAAATAATTTTTAAGTTATTAAATAGAGAACAGTAGGGAACCAAAAGTGCCCACTTTTTTTTAATATTGATGTATTATTCAACAATATCCATAAAAATGTGATACATAATAACGTAATAAATAACAAAAGAACGTTTGTTAAAATTTGTGACTTTCACATCTATATTTGGATCATTTTGTTTAATGATTATTTATAGTCGATTGAAATTTTTATTCTACCACTATGTTCTCTTTAAGAATGTAAGTTATGAATGGTAAATATAAAAAAATGACACAGGCTAACGAAATGCAAAATGTTTCTATAACTGCTAATAATGGTACATCAACAAACAGAACCTAATTGATAATCTGAATGTAAGAATCCGGTTTCAAATTGTATTACAAAAAAATTGTTTAAAGCTAGAAATTAATAAATTGTAAATTGTATCAATATTGTATTAAAAAAAAATTACCTGGATTTTTTGATTAATTTAAAAAAATTTTTAGAATACTAAAGGCGTAACGCTTAAAATTCTAAACAAACTCTACGTCAACAATCAATTTAAAGTGAAAACGGAATTTTCATCATTAGCAGAAAAATATTTACGATCATCAGTGGAAAAGATTGATTTTTCGAATAATATTAATGCAATAAATACTATCAATTCTTGGATTACAATTGACACTAATAATAAAATTAAACATCTGTTTAATGTCTTAAATTTTAAACACAGTTTTTTTTAAGGACATCAAATTGGGACAAAAAATGTCCCAATATCAAAATTGTTTAAACGCAAAGTTTTGATACTTTTTTTGTCTCAATTTAATATACTTGGAAAAAGTGAAAAAAAATCGCATTTTGAAGTGAGATTTTAATTTTAATTTAATTTGAAAATTAGCAAATAGTGATAACAATTTATTTACAGCTTTAGATAAATTTGGCGAAAGAATCAGTATGATTTTCACAATATGTCGTTTACTTCAAAAGGTAAATGAAAGGATAAATTCTTTCTTTACAAACCGAGATTTCCGAATTTCTTCAGAGTTTTTTTAGTAAATACTGTCCCAGTAATGTTTCATAAAAAAGTTGTAATTTATGGAAATCTTATTGAACTAAAAGGATCATTTGTCGAAGTACCTTATGAGGTAAAAACATGACAGAAACTTCATTTATCCACACAGAACTTAATATACTTTCAGAATATTTTCACTAACTTTAAGAATATATTATAGTTTCAGAATGTTTCAAAAAAAAATTTTATAAATATATGTACATACAAAATTTTTTGCATTAAAAACCCATTTTTACTTTTACATTAAAATTACGTGTCTATAATTTTACACATCGAGTAAATTTTTATTCTTAATAATTATAAACATACTAAAGGGTGAAGAAATATCAATTTTGATTTTTCTTCCGGATGAAATTAATGAAATTAATGAAATTAATGAAATTAATGGTCTTAAAAATATGGAAAGAAAAATGGAAAATTACAGTCTTGAAGATATCAGAAAAAAAGGATCTAGAAAATTAGTCCGTCTTCGTTTGCCTCGATTTAATGTCGAAAGCACAATACAAGTCAAAGACATCTTGCAAGAGGTAAATTTTAATTAAAGTATACTATTATTTATTTTTAAATAAAAAAATAATTATTACTTATATTGTAGATGGGTATAAAATCGATTTTTTCCAAATCAGCCAACTTCAACCGAATTTCAAACTCACCAACTTTTGTGAATAAAATTTTGCAAAAAGTTTTCATTGAAGTTGATGAGAATAGTGCCGAATCAGTTGCTACTAGTGGTAAAGTTAAAATAATATTTTTATTATTATATGTTAGAAAACATCATATTTAATTAATATTAAAAAATTTAATGAAATAAATTTCTTTTTATAGAACACCATTGAAGTTCGGCAGCATTCTTCTTTCCGAAAGATTTTAACGTTAATCATTCTAAGATTATTAAACGCTTTAGTTATAATTACAGAATTATTTTTTTGAATATTGTAAATTTCGATCAAGAGTAAAAAATAATAAATGAATGATTAAATTTGAAAATTGAAAATTGTTTAAAATTGAAAATTTTTTAATTTACAATTTACTGTTATCAAAACGAAGTAAATACAAAGAAGGACGTTGGAAGACTGACTATAGAAACACAATTCTAAAAAACGACAATCGACTTACATCCTTTTCTAGATAATAAAAATCGTTAAAAATAATTGTCACCCTTTACAGAAGGAATAAAAGATTTATTAAAAATTCATCTGTTCCATGATATTATTTCTAACCTATAATTACGTTTTACTCAATTCTATAGATCGGGAGGCGTAGGAATATTAAAATTTCTCTTTAAAGCAGTGAAGAGGGTAGCAAAGACAATGTAACTATAATTATAGATTCAGTATAATGCTTGACACAAAGAAGGAAAGAACAAGTTAAATCAAACTATTATTATTTTTCGTTAAGTTCTGTTTCCAAATAAGATCTTTGAAATGAATAAAAAATATGTTAATTTCCTCCATTTGTTCTAATTTATCGATCGACAAACTTTTTCCATAAAAAATCAGAAGTTTGAATTATTTTTATTCAACATTTAAAAAGTAAGTTTTAACTAAGAGAAGTAGGTAATAATTTAAATCATATTTTAAGTAATATTTTAAGTAATATTTGAAGTCATTTTTTAAATCATATTTCATGAAGAACATTTTTTGATAAAAACGAATGATTGTAGAAAATGGAAAATATAAAAATTAGAAATACTGACGTTATTGAAACGTTACTTCAAACAATGTCCTATGTTGGTGTTTGGAGACCAACATTTCTAACATCACTCTGGACCATTCGAATTTATACTCTTTATAGTTTTATCGTGATACTAAATTTGCTATTCTTTAGCATGACATTCATTATTATTTTATATCAAAATAAAGACAGACCAGATGTTTTTACAGAAAATATTTTTATTTCCACCTCTTTATGCCTACTGGCCTTCAAAGTAATATATTTCAACATTCATCGAAATGATGTGATAAATTTATTGAATTTACTTTTGCAAAACAATTGTACTCATTTTGGTAATAGTAAAGAAATTGAAATTTATAGAAAATTTCAGATTAAAGGAAGGTTAGTATAGGGGGAAATAATTTAATCCAATTATTACTCTTAAATATTCTCTCAAATTTTGCAGTTTTTCAGATTCATTGCACGGCTATTCTTGGCTTCTTCTTTATTTTTCTCAACAGTTTACTTAATATGGCCATTAAGAAAAGGGGAGGCAATTACTCTACCATTAAAGAGATGGCTTCCTTATTCTATTGTTTCGAGAAAGGCATTTTGGATGACTTATATATTTGAATGTATATCAGTTTATTATGGTGCTTTTACATACTCATCATTTGAATCATTATTGGCAAATTTTATGCAACAAATTTGCGCCCAACTTGATATTCTCACGGAGCGTTTGTTTCAAATTACGAAGATAAGAAATAATATTAATGAAAAGGTGGACATTTACAAAGAGGAATGTAAATTCGTAAGGGAATGTGTAAACCATCACGTTTGTATTTTTTTGTAAGTTTACATTATTTTCTAAAATGATAAAAAGAACAGAATTTTTATCAAATTCCTCGAATGAATTTTTAATTATTTTCATAAAAAATAAAATTCATCTCAAGAATTCAATTATTTTTTAAAAATTTAATTGAATTCCTTGAAACAATATTCAATTATTTTCAAAAATTTTTTATAAAAAGTTCTTAAAAAAATTTTAATAAAAATTTTTACAAGAATTCAATTATTTTCAAAATTATAATAAAAAATTAAAAAAAAACAGAGTCAACTTTTTTTGAATTCTTATTGTCTTATTTCAGAATGGAAAAAAAATTAAATGACATTTTTGGTTTTTTGGTATTCACCCAATTCTTTTTTACCACTTTCAATTTGTGTACTTGCGGATTTCATTTAACAAAAATAACCTCAAATGATGCGTATTTTTGGTTCTTTTGTATGCTTATATGGTGTTTTATATTCCAAATCTTCACTCAATGTTACTTTGGAGATGAAATGACAAATAAGGTCAAACAAATTTTGTTTATACTTTAAATTGATAATTACAAAAATATTCAGCAAATAGAAAAAATAAAATAAAAATTCAAATAATAATAATAAAAATGAAAATAAAAATAATATAATAATAATAATAAAAATTCAAATAAAAATTTTAAATAAAAATAAAAATTAAAAATCCGTATTACAGAGTTTATCTATTGTTGATAAAATATGTCAAATGGACTGGGATTTATTAAGTCTACAAACGAAGAAAAAATTGATATTCATAATGATAAGGGCTAGCTATCCCATTCAGCTTACCGGTGCTTCGCTTATTGTCTTTTCTATAGAAACATTTTGTAAAGTAATCCATTTTTCCTTTGTTTATTAATTGCAATATGTTCTATTTGTCTTTAAAAAAAAAATTAATATTATAAATTGTTATAAATTTTCTCTTTACAGATTATTAAAGCTTCTTATTCATCTTTCAGTTTACTAAAGAAAACAAATTGAACTAAATTGATGACATTTGAAATTGTAGCCCATTTTAACGACTTCAACTTTAAAATGTGAATTATTAAAAACTTCAATAAATATTTTGAAACAATATTCAAAATTTTTGGTAAAAATATAGTAAATAGATCTTATAAATATTAATTTCTCACCTTTCCATAATATTTTAAATATTAAAATACTTACTAAGTACTTCTGTCAAAAATTATAATAAATAAAAATTGGACAAATTTATTGTTTTCTATACTTGCTTCAAGTAATTTAGAAACAGTGATACAATTTTTATTTTTAATTATCGAATTACAGTAAACATAAAATAATTGAAATAATACAAACTTATATCTAGAAAAAAACTTGTTTTTAGAAAATTTTTCTGTTTAGAGAAATAATTTTAAAGTCAAAAATAAACAAAAACGGAGTTAATAACTTCTTTTAAATTTGTTAAACAAAGAAGAGAAAAATCGGTTTTACCTTTTTTTAGAAGTTAATTCATTATACCGTTTGAAAAATTCTTTTATTATTCTCAGTCAACGTGGCTCACAATCAGTCTGTAAGAAAATATTTTATTTTTATTTTATTTATATTATATTTTAAATAAAATATGAAAATATTTTTTATTTAAATAAATTTATTTAAAATACTATTTTATTCAATAAGTATTGAATGATTTATTTCTTAAAAAAATTATAATAAAAAAAAATTCTTGAAATTAGTTATTTAAAAATATTTTTAAATAATTTTTTTGAATGATAATCCCGTTTGTTGAAATAAATAAATAATTGAATTTTTTTTATGTATAATTGAAAAATTTGCAAATAATTGAAATTTGGTTTTGATGAGAACAATTGAATTTTTGGGAAATATTAAAAAAGAATAAAATTTTTGAAGAATTTCAATTGCAAAATCGAAACAAGATGATTTTTTCATAATTTTAATCATATAATAAAGCAGATTTTTAAAAATATTTTATTTATTTTTTTATAGACAATTATGTTAGTTTTCAAAAATAAATTTTTTAAAAGAATTTTTGGAAAACTTAAAAAAATAACCAATTTTTTTTGAAGAATTTTAATTAAAAATTTTGAAAATGATTGTTTTCTTCAAATTTTTAATAATAATTATAAGAATTTAGATGTTTAAAAAAATTTTAATTTAATTATTTTATGGAGATGTATTTTTTGGAAATATGTAAATAATTGAAAATAATTTAATTAATTTAAAAAAATTTGTAATTTAATTTTAACTAATTTAAAATTTTAATTTATTCTAAGAATTACTTTTTTTCAAATAATTTCTTAACATACTTTCTTTTAAACTAATTTTCATTTTGATTTTTCACTATAATTTTTAAAAATTCAATTATTTCTAAAATTTGCAATTAAATTTTTTCAAAATTTGTTTTTTGACAATTTTAAAGAAATTAAAAAAAAATAAATGATTTTGTTTTTTTACTACAATTTATATACCTAATTTTCATTTTAATTTTTCATTATAATTTATAAGAATTTAATTATTCCTAAAACTTGAAATTAAAATTATTTTAAAATTGTAATAAAATTAAAAAAAAAAATCAATTATTTTGAATTAAATTTATTTCTAAAAGTCGCAATTTAAATTTTTATAAATTTTTTTTCGAATATTTTAATGAATTAAAAAAAAAACCGATTATTTTCAATAAACTTTTACAAAATTTTAATTAGATATTTTAAAACTTTCTAAATACAAGTAATTTTTATTTTTATTTTTTCATTATAATTTTTGAGAATTTAATTATTTCTAAAAATTGCAATTAAAATTTTTAAAAATTTGTTTTTCGTATAAATTTTAATAAAATTTTAAAAAAATTATTTATTCTGGATAAAATTTTACAAAATTGAAATTATTTTAAAAGTTTTCAATTTTAATAAGTAATTTTTATTTTGATTTTTTATTATAATTTTTGAGAATAATTCAATTATTTCTAAAATTTTCTATAATTTATTTTTTTACAATTTTAATGAATTTTTTAAAGAAATCAATCATTTTGATTTTTCATTACAATTTTTGAGAAAACATTTATTTCTAAAATTCGCAATTAAAATTTTTTAAAATTTGTTTTTCGAATATTTTAATGAATTTAAAAGAAACCAATTATTTTCAATAAACTTTTACAAAGTTTTAATTAGGTATTTTAATGCTTTCTGATTCTAATTAATAATTTTTATTTTTAGTTTTCATTATAATTTCTGAGAATTTAATTATTTCTAAAATTTGCAATTAAAATTTTTGAAAATTTCTTTTTCGACAATTTGAATGAAATTTAACCAAAAATCAATCATTTTTATTTTTTATTATAATTTTTAAGAATTTAATTACTTCTAAATCTCGCAATGAAAATTTTCCAAAAAATTTGTTTTCTGAAAATTTTAATAAATTATTTAAAAAATCAATTAGTTTCACACTTGCCTTTTTAATTTTGCTGAACTTCAACTTCAACTTCAACTTTCGGTTTTGGTTTCAAAATGACCATAAAATTATTTGAAACTCCAGCTCGATTGTAATTAGTCCTGATGCTTAGATGACTCTTAAATGGATTGGAATCATCAAAAATATAATCGACATCTCCCAAAGTAGATTGAATAGTATTTTTCATTTCCTCGCGATATTCTTCCATAATTGTTGTCACTATTAAAGGACAATTATTGAATCGTGACCAAAATTTTAAAAGACTTGGCAACACTTTTACTTCCGAAACATCTGTTGTCTCAGGATCAACAATATCAGTTGCCATCAGAATATTCGGTTCTGCAATATTTCTTCCCTCACAATCTTCATAGCATGACGCCAGGAATCCGAGAGTAAGTTTCTTCTCCTTCTTTTTACATTCACGACAAATTTCCATTTGATCAGGTTTTATTCCCAATTCAGCGGCTGGATCAATGAATAAAATCGTGAGTTCCTTTAAATCAGGAATTAAATGCAACAGTGCCTCCCAGAATTCCGTGTAGTCAGGTTGATGTAAATTCTTCATGTAGATTGTCAATTTGGAAAGAGTTGTTAATTCGAGTATTTGCAAAGCATTAAAGGTTGATAGAATAGTGCCGAATGTGACGGTTAACCAATATTTCAAATCATCACCAACATTTAGAGAAAGATTCTTTGACTTTGAAAATTTTTCCAAAAAGTCCCCCATGTTGGTGATTTTTTCCAAAGTTGGGGACAATTGTATCGCGTGTAAAACGGACGTTGCTAGCATCTGTAACTGTACTTCGCCACCTTTTTTAATTCTGTTGGACAATTGAAGTCTTAGTTGGAATGATTTTTTTAAATTTGCACAATCCTTGTCGTGAATCGAACTGCTGGGATGATCCTTGCAAAAAGTCGCAACTGGACAACCCGGACAATTTTTTAATAAAGTTTGTCTACTTTCGTAGCATACAAAGCACGATCTTGGGAAATATAATAAAAACGCAGCGTTTGGATTTTCAAATAGTTTCGGGCAACGTGACTCAATTTCTTCCAATATGCGCATTTTTTCCTTACGCCATGTATGAACATCGCAACCTCGAAGCTTTTCATAGAGATGAGAAACGCCTTCTTCTTTCATCATTGCGTGAATTGTTTTACATAAATCCTTATGTTCGGGCCAATGATCCATTTGGTGCACTTCAGAGCAGTAGGAAATCATTTTACAACGACTGCATCTCTTTAAATCGTCTGTTGCTTGACAAATAAAGCAGGCATTCGGGTAAAATTCGATGTCCATTTTGTAAAATTTCCTATTTTCCTTGTTACGGCGTTTTAACTCTTAAACAAAAAAAATAATTCATTATTGATAAAAAAAAATGTAATCACTAAATAATTTATTTCAATTTATTAAACAAAGGAAAATAGGTATTACTAAAAAATTGTACATATTCCTTCTTGTTAATAGTAAAATTATTGCATTTAATGTAAATCATCTCGTAAATTAATCGTTTTTTTATAAGAAGTTTCATAATCCAAAATTTCTGCATCGTCAAAATTAAAAGAATGATTATATTCAATTTGATGTTTGTTCACAACAGAATCGAGGTTTTTGTTTTTGTTCACTAATTCTTTTTTTCAAAGTGCGTTTCGATTCACATACGTGGCTAGGCAACTATTACAATTAAATTTATAAACAATATCCCACTTTCACGTTAAGTCCATTCTTAATTTTATTACAGAGCTTAGGCTTTTTTCTACACTGCGAATCCGGGTAATAAGGCTTGAATAGAAAGGTATTAGAAATTATTTCATCATCAATAGGAAGACGAAAATTTGAAATACTTCTGAATTCCAGTTTTGTCTGCTAGATTTGAATACTTCTAATAAGGCAAATTTGAATGTAAAGCGAATCCTTTTCAATGCTCAAAGTTTACAATATTAGAAGGAACAGGCACAGGAAATCAATGGTTTGAACTTGGATCAATTAATTATTAGTGAAAATGGTAAAAAAAATTTGTTAAAATATTTTCAAAAAGAAAAAAGATTTGGCCCATGGGGGGATCGAACCCGCGACCTTCGCGTTATTAGCACGACGCTCTAACCAACTGAGCTAATGGGCCAACTGTATGATCAGGCTCCTGAATACATATTTTAGTAAAATTGAAGGTGTGGCCTTCCTCTGAGTGCACGCTGTGGAGATTCTGCTCCTTTCCCTCACTTCAAAGTGTTTCGTATAGCAACCGTTGCTATGTTGCACTAGTGACTAGACTGTAGCGAGAAGTCAGAAGTCTGCGCAATGTGAGTGAAGCCAGTTGACGCATACACGTGTACACTAGTTGGGAACGTGTTTTAAATGTAAAAAAATATAAAATTTAATAAATTATCAACTATCAAACTATCAAATTTGGTTCTTATTTCTTGTAAACTACAATCGTGATGTTTTGTGAAAAACGCTTAGTATCACTACAAAGTATTTCTCATCTTTTTGATCATTTGTATTTGTAAACATACCTAGTCTAACCTATAGCCTTCTTCTAGGCGTACATGTGACGTTGCATACATATAGATTGAAGTGTCAATTTCAAAATAATCAACATGACAGATTAATTGTTTCTGATATTTTATTTCGACTTTAACAAGTTTTTATATTACGTTTACAAATTTTTTGATATCGTTTTCTTTATTTACAACCTAAATATACCTAATTAGCATACGTGTCACCGGTTAACTACCAATATAAATTTTCTATTTTTTATTTACTTATAAATTCGAGTAAACCAAAAGTGGCCCTATTGTCTTTACTTATATTTTCTACAAAAAATAACAACTGATAACAAAAGTTAAATTGCTCTTAAACACAAGTGGTCAACATCAATTTAAACAATCTAAAATGATAGCCGGCGAAATCGTTTTCAATTGAAATTAATGTCAATAGAGATAATCTGCGATAAGTTAACATTTCTTTTTCTTTTTTTTTTTGATAGCGTAAGTGAATGAAAGTGAAAATTTCCATCAGTTGCAAAATAACGTACAACAAAAGTTATTTATTATATGCCATTTCAAGAAGCGATGGATTCATTGCAAAAACAGGTGGAGTGTCTTTTGAAAGATAGAAATCTTTCGAATTTAAAATTTAATTTTTCAAATGCTTGCAAGGATGGTGAAAATTATTTGGGTTCGGTGTATCGGGTTAAAGTTAACGGTGAGAAGAATGGTGAACATGAAGAATTGAATTTAATTATAAAATGTATTCCGGCCGATGAGGAATTGAGGGTGCTTATAAGATCTGCAGATATATTTATAAATGAAACTGCCTTCTATGAGGAGAGACTGCCACTTATTAATAATTTACTGAAAGAATATAATTTACGATATGAGGACTGTCCTGCTTACTATGGAGCGTGCAAAACACATAAGAAAGAGGTACTTGAATTTTTTAATTTTAGAACTGTTTTCTATCTACACTACTAAAAAATACATAAAAAATGGGTTTTAAAAGTCGCCAACACTAAATTTTAAGATGCTTCTTTACAAACATAACATAACTTAAGTTGTTTTTAATATATAATTTATAGAATATAAGATATCAAAGTATCTTAAAACAAGATGTCTTCTTTTCTACAATAATACTGTTATTTAAATTTATACTAATCTCACTTTCTACTTATAATTACAGATCCTGATTTTAGAAGATTTGAAACCTCAAGGATTTGTGTTGAAAAAAACAAAAATATTAGATTATCAACATGCTGTTATTACAGTACGACATCTTGGTAAATTTCACGCTTGCAGTTTTGCTCTGCGAGATAAACGACCAGCTGAATTCGAGTCTTTTCGAAAAATAAAAGAACCGCTCTTTTTCGAATCAGGCTGCTATACTAAAAATGTCGATCTAATTATGGAAGCTGCTATTATGGTAAAATTATGTTTTAACCTCTTAGTATTAAAAAAAGTATACTCTTTTTTAAAGCTTTAATCTTTAAACTAAAGATAACATTTTTGATTTTAAATTCATTTTTCTGCTATTATTTGGTATCTCTACGAAAATTAAAGTTTTACATTTCTTCAGGCGGTGGAAAATGATGAACAACATTACATCGATAAAGTTAAGCGACTCAAGAAAAATGCACAAGAAATTTTGGATTTCTCAGTTGATGGTAGAAATGCAGAACCGTATACAGTTCTTAACCATGGCGATTTATGGACTTACAATATGTTGTTCAAATACAATGAGGTAAGTATGTTTTCATTTCAAAATATAGAGCGAAACTATTGTATTCTAACATCCCATTTTCTGTCTGAAATAAATATTTAATATTTCTATTATGCCAGAGGAGACTAAATTTTATTCCTTAATTTCTTGGCAGAAAGCAGAAAAAAATTTGTTAAATGGCGATAATTTTTTAAATTATACAATGTTGCAATTATTCTTATAGAAATCAGAACCAGTAGATGTACGTCTCCTGGACTTCCAACTAAACAGATTCGTTTCCCCGGCAATGGATATTCATTACACGTTCTACACTTGTCTCACGCAGGAAATGAGAGACAATTATTACGACGAATTGTTACATCATTATCATGACTCGTTATCACAACAGTTAAAGGAACTGGATTGTGACGTGGAAAAACTATTTCCATTTGAAGCTCTTATGGAACAACTAAAACGTTTTGGCGGTTATGGCGCTTGCATGTCCATCATAGACATTTATGTTTTCACTCTTCGAGACGAAGAGAAAGCGGAACCATTTTTTTACATTGATTTTATAAGAAAACTACCGGCGCTATTGAAGACTAATAAATTTTATCATGAAATGCTGAGAAATGCAATTAAAGACATGGTACATAGGAATTATATATAAATTTTAACAGAATTTTAAATTTTAATACAAATTTTGTATTTTACTATTTGCAATTTAGTAAATTTTCAAAATCCTATATATACTACAAAAAATATCAAAAAACCAAAAAATTGGTTGATATTCAGTTTTCTTGAAAGTATCAAAGTGATGTTAAATTGGATCAAATTGATATAAAAAATTTAGATTAATTTGAGATTTGATCCACGTTGCAATTTGATACTTTTAAGTTAACAGTGTTGTAGTTATAAAGCAGTAGCTATTTTTTTTTTGCTTGTATATAAAATTTTATGTTAATTTTTAAGAAATTTTAAAAATAATCTTTTACTAAAATTTACTACAATCTTTTGTGTTGATTTATCTAATTATCTTTCTTTTTTAATTATAAATAAAACGTAGGTAGTTTCGATAAGAAAAAGATAGTTATGTTAAAAACACTTTACCGGTAAATAAATCTTGTTACATAATTGTATCAAATCAACTTTTTAATGAAAAAGCAAAATCTTTTCTAAGTATTTTGACCTTGATAAATGTTTTTATACATATAACAATATTAGATTTCATAGATAAGGTTTTATATACAAATATTAAAGTAATGTTGATTTATTTCAAAACAAACTTTTTAAGAAACAGTTGTGTTTCCTTATTACAAGATAATCTAATAACAAATATGTATTCTTTCAAATATTTGTAATAATAAAATAAGATTTTTAAAATGCGTAATTTTAATACTTTTGAATTTATTTTCAAAATTCTTAGTTTTAAATGATCGCTTTTCACGCTCGACTTTGTTACTTCTGCATTTTTATTCATAATAATAATAAATGTAATAATTATTCATTACTACAGTAAATGTTACTGTCCCATTTATTATTTGGCAAATTACAAAATTTTATATTTTCAACTAAAAACATCAATTTTTCAATAATTTCAGATTCAAAATTCAGGAAATTTACTTTATTAACTATTCTTTTTCGCAAGGATTAAATTATTTAAAAAAAGTTTTAATAAAATTCTTGATAAAGAATTAAGTTAATTTCAAAATGTTTAATAAAACATTCTTTGGAAGAATTCAATTATTTTTATAAACAGTAAAATTCATCGCAGGAATTCAATTATTTTCAAAACAATTTTAATAAAATTTCACGAAAAGATTCAATTCTTTGAAAAAAATTTTTAATAAAATTCTTGTTAAGAATTAAATTCTTTTCAATAATTTTAATAACATTCTTTCGAAGAATTAAGAATTTGATTCTTTTTATAAATAATATTTTTTGCGAGAATTCAATTTCAATACCTAAAATTTTAATTAAATTTTCTCAAAAGAATGCAAAAGAAATTAATAAAGTTTCGATATTTAAGCAAAAAGAAAAGTTTTTATTCCTTAGAAATTTTACTTTTTGAAATGTTATTTCTCCACAAAATGCTTAATTGAAATTTGATGTAAATTTGATTGATATCCACTCATGAAACTAAAAATTTGTACATACAAAAAAATCTCAAAAATGTTTAAAGTTAAAAATATTTTCCAAATTATATTTTTTTTATTTTTATAACAAAATTAAAAGTTTTTAAACTATGATTGTAAGATACGAATCGTTTTTTTAGGATTCAGGAGAAAATTTTCAAAAGCTGATAAAATCTATAATTATCAAAAAAATAGAGTTAAACATAAATTTAATATTTTAAGAGGATGACAAATTTGACCAGTCGCTGTTGAATTAAAAAAAATGTGTGAATAATTTAATTTTCAAAATATTATATTGAAAAAAAAGTTCCAAAATGATGAAAAATTAGGTACATTTGTTTTCGAAAGTAAATATTTTTCCTACTTGGAAAAGTTCAATGACGAATCTAACCTAAAATTTGAAAATTATTTCATGGTATAACCAATTTTTATTCGGATTTCTTACCCAAATGTAATATTTAATGTTTTCCTTATTATTAAGAATAACATTCTCCACATTTGTACGAAAAAATATTTACATTAAAATATTTTTTTACTACATTAAAGATCAAATTGACCAAACCATTAAAATTATTAAAGGTTTAGAACAAGTTTAAATAACATCAATTACATTGAGTGAGAATTTAGCTAAATATTCAAAAATTACCTTTTATAAACTATTAACTACTCCAGTAATTAATTTTTCGATTTCCTCTTTTCCTTTGAGCGGTCTAAGGAAAATAAAACAGCAATAAAATATTCGTTTCGCGTTCGTTGAGCAATCGTACAGAAAAGGCCAGTCCAGAGCAGAAGAGAAATATTTCAGTGTAATTCAGGGTTGTGAAAGTTATACAATTTAAGCTGATTCTACAAAACTAAGCAGTGTCGCTCCTGGACAGAGTTGGGCAAGTACAATATGCGAAGAATAATTTACTTACAACCAGCGCCATTGGTGGCGAATTTCAACAATTGTGTCTTTCTCAACTCAAGAATCACTCTCGAGTGGTATCGAGTGGTATGTATAGTGCATGACTCTACAAGTGTCAAAACAACACAATTTCACCGGTTGTAGAAAGATTTGTTTCTTTTGTTTAATTTATTTCTTCCAGGAAATTCAAAGCGGAAGCGGTTAAAGGTTTGTCAAACATTGCAAGAAAATTGGAGATCGATGCATCGCGATTATATTCTTAGCAATTTAAATGAGATTTATTAATTTGTATTCGAAGCAGAGATAATTATAGAGACCAGAGAGACTTAATTTCCGATTATCTATACAATAATTTCTTTAATTTTGAGAATTTATAAATTACCCGTTATATATATTGAAAATGTTAAATCAGGAGGTGTCGGAATTTTTACAAAACCAAATAGAATTTTACTTAAAAGACAAAAATCTTTCGAATTTAAAATTTAACTTTTCGAGTGCATGTAATGATGGTGAAAATTTTTTTGGCTCATTGTATCGCGTTAGAGTTAATGGCGAGAAGAATGGTGAAAATGAAGAGTTGAATTTAATTGTTAAATGTGTTCCAACCGATGACGAGTTGAGAGAACTTTTAAGAGATCGAGATATATTTCTCAATGAAATTGCTTTCTATGAGGAGAGATTTCCACTTATTAGGAATTTTTTGAATGAATTTAATTTACAATATCATGACTGTCCGACTTACTATGGAGGATGTAAGACACCAAAGAAAGAGGTATTTTAATTTTTAAATTTAGACGAAAAAATTTAATTTTCCTACATTTATTTATTTGATATTTGTGACGCGCTCCCAAGAAAGGTACTTGGTGTTTTGCTCCTTAGATACCATTCTTGGAAACACGGCATTTATTTCTCATTTATTTAATACAGAAGACCTTAATGTACAGCTACCTATTGAAAAAGAAGTTAAAAAAGCTATAATTTAAAATTACAGCTCCTGATTTTGGAAGATTTGAAACCTGAAGGATTTGTTTTGAAAGAAACAAAATTATTAGACTATCAACATGCAGTTATTGCAGCAAGACATCTTGGAAGGTTTCACGCTTACAGTTTTGCCCTTCGAGATAAAAAACCCAAAGAATTTGAGATTTTGCATAAAATTAAGGAACCTTTTTTCTTTGAGTCTGGCTGTTATACTAAAAATTTTGACCTCCTTATGGAAGCTGCTGTTAAGGCATAAAATTATTTTCTTGTTCTTTTACGTCTCATTTTCTTTCTATATATATAAGAGATTCTATAATTATTTATAAAGAAATAAACTCGAAAAAGAAATTTATTTTTAAAAATTAATTTAATTTCAGGCTGTGGAGAACGAAGAAAACCATTACGTCGACAAAGTTAAACGACTCAGGGAAAATGCACAAGGAATTATTGATTACGCATGTGTTGGAAAAAATGCAGAACCTTATGGTGTCCTTCTTCATGGTGATTTATGGACATACAATATGTTATTTAAATACAATCAAGTAGGTATATTTTTTAAAATAATCTAGAGAATTTAAACTTAAGTTAGTTAAATAATAATAACATAATATTCTAAACATAATGTTCCTAAAAATTTACGTTAAATATTCGAAACATTATCTGACATTCACATGGATACTTTATAAATTTTCTATTCTTGTAGAAATTGGAACCAGAAGACGTACGTTTCCTGGACTTTCAATTAAATAGATACGGTTCCCCAGCGATTGATATTCACTACATGTTCTATATTTGTCTCATGCAGGAAATGAGAGAAAAATATTACGACGAATTCCTACATCATTATCATGATTCATTAGCTGAGATGCTAAAAAAATTGGACTGTGATGTTGAAAAACTTTTTCCATTCAAAGCTCTTTTGGAACATTTGCAACGTTTTGGTCGCTATGGCGCTTGTTTGTTCGTCAGAGATATTTGTCTTGCAACCGCTCGACCTGAAGACAATCCACAACCAATTTATCATCTCGATTTTCTTCGAACCCTACCAATGCTTTTGAATACCAATAAACTCTATTTTGAAATGTTGAGAGATGCACTTAAAGACATGGTAGATAGAAACTACCTGTAAATTATATAATTTTAAAAAATAATAATTTATTGTCGAATTGAGATTCTTGTGATCACTATAGATGTCAACAATGGTATGAAAGTATGACTCATGTGTTAGAATTTTGGTAATTGAGATAAGACTTCAGTTCGATTAGAGTCGTCAAGCTGAGTGCATAAGACGATTGTTTTTCACAAATGTTAATTTTTTTTTATTTATTATTATTAAGTCCAACAGTTACAACCAATAACCAATTGTATGTCATTACAAAATCAGAAATAAGGAAGAAAATAATTATGTGCTATGGAAAGTAGAGTATTAATAATTCACAAAACTCAATATAATCTTTTTTTTAGAAATTTGAGGTTGAATATAAACTAATATAAAGATAATATTAAACCAAACGGATTGAACTGAAAACTTGTTACAATTAATAAATTCATTATTATAAACTCTATCTTTCAACCACGTCTCAGTTAAAGCAACAACTTTGTAATCATAAAATATGTCACTAAATAACAATGTTTCCAGTTTCGTATTCAAACCACGCACATTTTGATAAAATAATTTACAATCGATATCAGTGCGGTCAATATTATGAACAATTTAATGATACCAAAAGTCGTTTTCAATTGATATAAAAAAATACAGATAATCAGTGATTCGTTTCAACCAGTTTCAACATACAATCTCAGTAGATAAACAAAGTGTCATTACTTCTGAAATTCTCCAAGAGTTTAAAATTAAAACCTTGTAGGATTCATACAAATGTCTAATCAGGGAGTGCCGGAATTTTTACAAAACGAAATAGAATTTTTCTTAAAAGACAAAAATCTTTCGAATTTAAAATTTCATTTTTCAAGTGCATGCAAGGATGGTGAAAATTATTTGGGCTCATTGTATCGTGTTAGAGTTAATGGCGAGAAGAATGGTGAAAATGAAGAATTAAATTTAATTGTTAAATGTGTTCCAACCGATAAAGAGTTGAGAGAACTTTTACGAGCTCAAGATATGTTTCTCAATGAAATTGCTTTCTATGAGGAGAGATTTCCACTTATTAGGAATTTTTTGAATGAATTTAATTTACAATATCATGACTGTCCGGCTTACTATGGAGGATGTAAGACACCAAAGAAAGAGGTATTTTTATTTTCAAATTTAGACGAAAAGATTTTATAATAAATTCTTTAACGTCTTTAACGAAAAGATTTAAATTTTCCTGTATTTTTTATTTATTTATTTGTTAATTTAATTATATATATTTATTCAATACAGACGGCTTTAAATGTAAAAGTAACTATTGAAAAAGAATTAAAAGCTCTAATTTTAATTTACAGATCCTGATTTTAGAAGATTTGAAACCTGAAGGATTTGTTTTGAAAGAAACAAAATTATTGGACTATCAACATGCAGTTATTGCAGCAAAACATCTTGGAAGGTTTCACGCTTACAGTTTTGCCCTTCGTGATAAAAAACCTGCGGAATTTGAGATTTTGCGAAAAATTAAGGAACCGTTTTTCTTTGAGTCTGGCTGCTACGCTAAAAATATAGATCTCATTATGGAGGCTGCTGTTAAGGTATTAAAGCTTTTTTTACCGGGAGTATATGTTTAAAAATTAAATTAATTTTAGGCTGTGGAGAACGAAGAAAATCATTACGTTGATAAAATTAAACGACTCAGGGAAAAAGCACAGGAAATTATTGATTACGCATGTGATGGAAGAAATGCAGAACCTTGTGCTGGCCTTCTTCACGGTGATTTATGGACCTGCAATATGTTATTTAAATACAATCAAGTAGGTCTATTTTTCCTAAAAAACTGAATTTTAATATTCTAATCATTATCCACCATTTAAATTTTTTATAAAATTTTTTTTCTCATAGAAATCAGAACCAGAAGACGTACGCTTCCTGGACTTCCAATTAAATAGATACGGTTCGCCAGCGATAGATATTCACTACACATTCTACACTTGTCTCACACAGGAAATGAGAGACAAATATTACGACGAATTACTACATCATTATCATAATTCGTTAGCTGAGATGTTAAAAAAATTGGACTGTGATGTTGATAAACTTTTTCCATTCGAAGTTCTTTTGGAACATCTGCAACGATTTGGACGCTATGGCACTTGTACGTCCGTCGTAGATATTCATCTTTTCACTGTTCGACCTGAAGATAATCCACAAACAATGTATCATCTCGATTTTCTTCGAACCCTACCAATGCTTTTGAAAACCAATAAACTCTATTTTGAAATGTTGAGAGATGCACTTAAAGACATGGTAGATAGAAACTACCTGTAAATTATATAATTTTAAAAAATAATAAATTATTGTAGAATTGAGATTCTTGTGACCACTATAGATGTCAACAATGGTATGAAAGTATGACTCATGTGTTAGAATTTTGGTAATTGAGATAAGACTTCAGTTCGACTAAGAGTCGTCAAGCTGAGTGCTTTGCTGAGTGCATAAGACGATTGTTTTTTACAAATGTTAATTTTTTTTATTTATTTTTATTAAGTCGAACAGTTACAACCAATAACAGGACTACAAAATAAAACAGTAATTACAGTATATCAAAGTAATACAATTTCGTAGATTGTATGTCATTACAAAATCAGAAATAAGGAAGAAAATAATTATGTGCTATGGAAAGTAGAGTATTAATAATTCACAAAACTCAATATAATCTTTTTTTTAGAAATTTGAGGTTGAATATAAACTAATATAAAGATAATATTAAACCAAACGGATTGAACTGAAAACTTGTTACAATTAATAAATTCATTATTATAAACTCTATCTTTCAACCACGTCTCAGTTAAAGCAACAACTTTGTAATCATAAAATATGTCACTAAATAACAATATTTCCAGTTACGTATTCAAACCACACACTTTTTGATAAAATAATTTACAATCGATATCAGCGCCATCGATGGCGACTTTCGTCAACTTATCTTTTTCAACTCAGGAATACTCAATAATCGTACTTGAGTGGTATGTAGAGGACGACTGTAATCTGTGACTAAAAGTGTGAAAACAACACATTTCACCGCGGTTATGGAAAGATTTGTTTATATATTTCAGTTTTGATAGTTTTGTACCATAACAAAAAGTATAAATAGGGAAGATTTAGTTATTTAAATTAATACTTTTCTACATTAATCAAAATACAAGAATTTTAATAAACGTGTAGTAAATTGCGAACTATATTACAATACCAACAATAACATATTATGTTTCATCGAAATATTCAGTTTACTATAAAAATTTCATAAAATAGACCCTCAATTTGTAGTTATACATATTTAAACAATTTATTCCAAATATTTTTAAAAATTACTCCCTAATATTAGTGCGGTCAATATTATGAACAATTTAATGATACCAAAAGTCGTTTTCAATTGATATAAAAAAATACAGATAATCATTGATTAGTTTCAACTAGTTTCAACATACAATATTAGTAGATAAGCAAAGTGTCATTTCTTCTGAAATTCTCCAACAGTTTAGAATTAAAACCTTGTAGGATTCATACATATTTATTTAAAATGTCTAATCAGGGAGTGCCGGAATTTTTACAAAACGAAATAGAATTTTTCTTAAAAGACAAAAATCTTTCGAATTTAAAATTTCATTTTTCAAGTGCATGCAAGGATGGTGAAAATTTTTTGGGCTCATTGTATCGTGTTAGAGTTAATGGCGAGAAGAATGGTGAAAATGAAGAATTAAATTTAATTGTTAAATGTGTTCCAACCGATGACGATTTGAGAGAACTTTTACGAGCTCAAGATATATTTCTCAATGAAATTGCTTTCTATGAGGAGAGATTTCCACTTATTAGGAATTTTTTGAATGAATTTAATTTACAATATCATGACTGTCCTGCTTACTATGGAGGATGTAAGACACCAAAGAAAGAGGTATTTTTATTTTTAAATTTAGACGAAAAGATTTTATAATATATAGTCTTTAATGTCTTTAACGAAAAGATTTAAATTTTCCTGTATTTTTTAATTATTTATTTAATTTTATATATTTATTCATTACAGGCGGCCTTAAATGTAAAAGTAACTATTGAAAAAGAATTAAAAGCTCTAATTTTAATTTACAGATCCTGATTTTGGAAGATTTGAAACCTCAAGGATTTGTATTGAAGGAAACAAAATTATTGGACTATCAACATGCAGTTATTGCAGCAAAACATCTTGGAAGGTTTCACGCTTATAGTTTTGCCCTTCGGGATAAAAAACCCGAGGAATTTGAGATTTTGCGTAAAATTAAGGAACCGTTTTTCTTTGAGTCTGGCTGCTACGCTAAAAATATAGATCTCATTATGGAGGCTGCTGTTAAGGTATAAAATACCTATTTTTGATTTACAAGGATTTAAAAGGGTTTAGATAGATCACAAATTTATTCCACTTTAAAGTGATTAAAAAGTATTCACTCTAATATTGTGAACTTTGAGCATTGAAAAGGATTCGCTTTACATACGAATTTGACTTACTAGAAGTATTCAAATCTAGAGGACAAAAAAGGAATTCAGAAGTGTTTAAAATTTTCGTCTTCCAATTGATGATGACATGATTTTTAAAACCTTTCTATTCAAGCCTTCTTACTGGGATTATATTTTTAAAAATTAAATTAATTTCAGGCTGTGGAGAACGAAGAAAATCATTACGTTGATAAAATTAAACGACTCAGGGAAAAAGCACAGGAAATTATTGATTACGCATGTGATGGAAGAAATGCAGAACCTTGTTCTGGCCTTCTTCACGGTGATTTATGGACCTGCAATATGTTATTTAAATACAATCAAGTAGGTCTATTTTTCCTAAAAAACTGATTTTTAATATTCTAATCAATTCTAATCATTATCTACCATTTACATATTTTATAAAAAAAATTTTCTCATAGAAATCAGAACCAGAAGACGTACGCTTTCTAGACTTCCAATTAAATAGATACGGTTCGCCAGCGATGGATATTCACTACACATTCTACACTTGTCTCACACAGGAAATGAGAGACAAATATTACGACGAATTACTTCATCATTATCATGATTCATTAGCTGAGATGTTAAAAAAATTGGACTGTGATGTTGAAAAACTTTTTCCATTCGAAGTTCTTTTGGAACATTTGCAACGGTTTGGACGCTATGGCGCTTGTATGTCCGTCATAGATATTCATCTTTTCACCGCTCGACCTGAAGACAATCCACAGCCAATTTATCATCTCGATTTTCTTCGAACCCTACCAATGCTTTTGAAAAGCAATAAACTCTATTTTGAAATGTTAAGAGATGCACTCAAAGACATGGTAGATAGAAATTATCTATAAAATTATAAATAGACAATTTTTCGTGTCGCGGTCTGACAAAAGGTACCTAAGAAGACAAAAAATTTGGTGCTTTTTTATAATCAAAATATACAAAAAAAGAGGATCAATTTTCAATATAATTGTTTAATTCTTCGTTACTTTTAAAATTGCCTAAATGTATTAAAAATTTATTTCTGTTTTAAATTACAGAAAAATTTTTAATTAAGATTAAAATAATAAAAGTATAAAAATTAAACTTAAAGAAATACTCAACGATACTAAGTTGTTTGAAAAAGTGCGAAAACTATTTTAAACATTTATTTATTTAGTTGAACACAGTTTTATCAGTGTACCTTGTCGCTAATGACCCTGGTAGTCGAAGCGACGTTTTCAAATTCTTAGACAAAAGAAAATAGTCTTTAAATAAATTGCCTCTTAGGTACCTTTCTTCAAAAGCACATTTTATTGCAATTTAGTGAATTTTTCCGTTTATATTATTGTAAAATAATTTTAATTAACGACAAAGTATGACAAAGTTGTCTTTTAAAATATTTAAGTGTTATCTACAATACCTAAAGTGTTTATGAAAGCATTTTTTCAATTAAGTGTCGATTTGCGTCATAATCAGTTGTTATCTACCTACGATAATCGTTAATTTTTTTTTATCTAGTTAAAAAATAAAAAAATATATATTTTACATATTTTGTTTTTTTTTCTCGAAAAATTAGGTAGTTAAAATGAAAAAGAAGAACCCATTACGTCTAGTTTTTATTCGATTACTATTTTTTCTATTATAACATTTTATTATAAAATTTGTCTTTAATTTTCTATTAATAATCGACTTTTTATTATTACAGAGTTCGCACTCGATAGTTAATTTTAAAAAAGTTGCAAAAAGTAGCTTTAAAACTAAAAAAAGTGATTATCGAAAAATTAAACTTGATGACTAAAAAAACTTATTTTTAGAAATTTCACAGAACTGACAAAAATTCCATTCTATATTTTCTGAATTTTTCCTAATTTTCATAAAAAATATTTACTTCTTTCTTATCCTACTGCTAATAAATTTAATTCCTGCAACGAATTTTATTATTCATCAAAGAATTTAAATATTTATAAAAATAATTTAATTTTGCAAAGAATTTTATTAAAATGCCTCAAAATAATTGAATTTTCGTGAATAATTTTGTTATTCATCGACATAAAAAAATATAATTAAAATTGTATTTAAAATAAGTCATTGACTGCTTTCATACAATTTTATTGAAATATTTGAAAATAATTGAATTTCCGTTGGAAAATTCTAATATTTTTGTAAATAATTGAATTTTTACAAAGAATTTTAAAACGACATTTTTTTTAAATAAATGATTTTTTCGAGGAATCAAAATTAAATTTTTAAGAATAATTACATTTTTTGAGAAATTCCTTTAAAATTGTATTAAAAAAAATAATTAAAATCCTGCGATGAATTTTATTATTTATGGAAATAATTGAATAGTTTCAAAGAATTTTACTAAAATATTCAAAAATAATTGATTTCCTAAGAAGAATTTTATTATTTATTAAAATAATTGAATTATTGCGAAAAATGTTATTATAATGTTTAAAAAGAATTGAATTTCTGTAAAAAATTGTGTTATTTTCAAAAATAATTGCATTCTTGGGAAGAATTTTATTATAATCTAAAAGATGAATTGAATTATTTAAAAAAAAATGGAATTAAAATTGTATTTAAAATAATTGACTTCTTTCGAACAATTTCATTAAATTAATTGGAAATAATTGAATTCCTGAGTAGTATAGCTAGGCCGGTTCTGGCTCAAATCGGTAATGTAGATTCCTACTTACCGACCGAGAGGGTAAGTTACCGACCGTTGGTGGGGTATATGTGGGCAATTTACCCTCTCGGTCGGTAAGTAGGAATCTACATTACCGATTTGAGCCAGAACCGGCCTAGCTATACTACTTTCCTGTGAAAAATCCTAATATTTTTGTAAATAATTGAATTCTTTAAAACAATTTAAAAAAAATTTTTTTTTAAACAATTGATTTTTTCGAGGAATTGAAATAAAAAATTTTAAGAATAATTACATTTTTTGAGAAATTCTTGTAAAATTGTATTAAAAATAATTGAAATTATGGGATAAATTTTATTATTTATGAAAATAATTGAAAAGTTACAAAGAATTTAATTAAAGTTTTCAAAAATAATTGAATTTTGGGATGAATTTTATAAATTTTTTAAAAATAATTTAATTCTTTTGCTTTTTATGAAAATATTAGATATTGAAAATAATTGAATTTCGAATATTTTTTGAAAATAATTGAATTTCGAATATTTTTTGAAAATAATTATTTTCAATTAATTGAATCGTTATAAAGAATTTGATTATAATTTTTGAGAATAGTTTTTTGATTTCTATTAGCGAATTTAAAGTAGTGGAAATTTAAAAAAAGCAGAATTCGTAGGTTTTAGTGGCTGAAATCTAAAAAAGTACCCAAATAGTAGAATAACGTAAAAAAAGTACCAAATAATAGGTTTTAGTAGATGAGTGCGAAGCCTGTTATTAATATTTTTTTTTGATTGATTTTGAGTGTGCGATTAAAGAGAAAGAAGATTTTGTCTTCAAAGTACAGTTAAGAATTATAATCCGCGTGTGTGAGAGTAGAAGAGGGTCGGGAGACAAGTGATTATATGGTTGATAGCAGCCTCATTTTATTGGAACTCTTCATACACAGTTAAACAGTCATTAAATTCTACAGTTGAAACAAGTGCAAGTGTACCGAGCATATCAGTTTTATCGCGCAATTATTTTTTAATTTTACAATTATTAATATTATGGAACCACCGGATTTTGTGAAAAAGCAACTGGACATTTTTTTGAAAGAGAAAAATCTTTTGAATGGAAAATTTCAATTTTCAAATGCCAGCAAGGATGGTGATAATTTTTTGGGTACATTATATCGTACGAAAATTAACGCCGTCGAGAATAATGGTGAAAATAAAGAATTGCATTTAGTTGTTAAATGCTTTCCACTCGACGAAAGACTTCGAGGTTTTTCCAAAATTGACGATATGTTTCTTAATGAGATTGCATTTTACGAGGAGAGACTACCACTTTTTGTTAAAACACTTGGGGAATTTAAATTGACAATAAGAGGTGTTCCTTTTTACTATAAAGGTTGCAAAACACCACAAAATGAGGTATTATTTATATTTTAAGTGTTCTTAGTTCTTAAATTTTTTTTGCCTTTATTTATAAATACCTACAAATATCATTTTAATTTTTTACAGATCCTGATTTTAGAAGATTTGAAACCTCAAGGATTTGTGTTGAAGGAAACAAAATTATTGGACTATCAACATGCAATTCTTGTAGCTGAACAACTTGGAAGATTTCACGCCTACAGTTTTGCACTTCGGGACAAAAAGCCTGAAGAATTTGAAAATTTTCGAAAAATTAAAGAGCCGTTATTTTACGAGACAAATTGTTACGCGCAACAAATTGATATAATCACTGATGTTGCAATTGAGGTATTTTAAAAATAAAATAAATTTCATTTATTAGCGAATGATAAGTACATTTGTCGTACATCTAAATATTCTTTCATTTTAAGTTTATGTGATTTAACAAACTTTTTTAAAAAAAACAGTTTTTAAAAAAACTTTTTTTAAACAACATTATACAGGCTTTAAAAAATGAAGCTGAACACTACATTGAGAAAATTAGGGAGTTGAAAAAAAATATGGAAAAAATTATTCAGTATGCTTGTGATGGTCGAAATGCCGAACCTTACACCACTTTAAATCATGGTGACTTGTGGACACTTAATATGTTATTCAAGTACAATAAAGTGAGTCATTTCTTTCGTTTATTTAAATTTTAAGATAGAAGAGACCCACAGGCTTCGTACTCATTTATACTACTATTTTGATTCTTTTTTTTAGATTTGTGATAATTTAATAATAATTAATTAATTAATAAAAAATAATTAAAAATTGTTTCTAGAAATCCGAACCGGAGGACATTCGATTTCTTGACTTTCAACTGCACAGATTCAGTTCTCCGGCAATGGATATTCTTTACACTTTCTTCACTTGTCTTACTGAGGAAGTGAGAGCAAAACACTACGATGAATTACTACAGCATTATCATGAATCGTTATCTGAATTATTGACAAAATTGAATTGTGATGTGGAGAAATTGTTTCCATTTGAAGTTCTCACGGAGCATCTTAAACGATTCGGTGGTTTTGGTGCTTGTGTTTTGCTCATTGATCTTCATATCATAACTGCCCAAGAAGGCGATAATCCACAGCCTCTTTATGATCTCAATTATTTGAAAACTCTTCCTCAACTCTTGAAAACTAATAAACTTTATTACACTATGATGAGAGATTCGCTGAAATTTATGATCGACAGAAATTATTTATAATATATTTATTTAACCCTTTTGTGCCCCCGAGAAACCCAGCGAATGGATTTTATTGAAACTTATTACTCAGGGGTTCTTTGGAGTCGCTGATTACGAATTTAAAGTCAGATTTTCGAAATTTTGAAAATTCAAAATGGCGGATCCAATATGGCGGACGTTTTTTTTAAATTGCTCAAATTTATATAAAACTTTTCTTACTCGGGGGTTTTTAGGGTCGTTGATTACGAATCTGAAGTCAGATTAAAAAAATTCAAAATGGTGACCCCGAAAACTCTCGAATAACAAGTTTTGAGCGAATTTGAACAAAAAAAAATGTCCACCATTTTGAATTGTTTGTAATAATTATAATCGTACTTCGTAATTTTCAATATTGCTTGAAAACTATTTAAAAAAACATAAAATTAATTTGTTTAATAACTTTATTACAAAATATTGTCAACGACATTTTTCTAAATTATCAATTCTTCTTGTTTTGAACAGGACGCTTCTTTGGAGCTAGAAAAATATTAAAAACAATAATTAAAAATTATGCACTTGTGAGTATTGTAATAATATGAAATCATTAATAATTATTGTTAACTGTTAATAATTATTAACTATTAAGAATTATTATGAACTATTAAAAAATATTATTAACTATTAATAATTATTAATTATATTATTAATTAATATGTAACGCGCTTCGAAGAAAGCGAAGAAAGGTACCTATAAGGAGCAAACGAATTATAGGTTATGTTTGTATTAAATTTATCTTGCTTGAAACCCTTGAAATTTTCCGTTTGATTATTTAAATTTGAAACCAGTCTTTATTGAATATTTTTATTGTATTAAAGACTTGAACATCAATAATTTGCGCAATAATAATTGATTTTCTTTCTGTATTTTTACTTCAAAAATTATAAACATAACCTTAAATTTTTATTCTTGCGCGTCACGTTATTATAATTAATAAATGATAACATATTTTGGTTAATAAATAAAAATAAAAGTAATTTTTTCAATTATATTTACCGCAATATCCGTAAGTGTATGCAAAGTCTCGAATCTTCTTTCCAACTGCCAAATATTTCGCGTAGTCCGGGTATAAACGTTGAGTGTGGTAAGTTACGCGAGAGGCTAAAAAATAAATTTTATTTATTTTCAAAGTACGCTTTACACTTTTTTTTCTTATTATTTTTTGTTTCGTAAATTATAGAATTACCACAAAATCCATTATTTTCCACAAATTTTATTAATTCTTTGAATTCGTCGTAGTTCTCGAAACTTCTACTCGCCTCGGTTCCAAATTGTTCGGCGTATTTATTTAAAATTGTTGTTTGAAAAGTCAAGCAATAATAATGTCCTCCTCTCGATTGTATGTCGTGTGGCCAACAATTTCCTGTATAAATAAATAAATAAATGAATAAATGTGACTCATTTTTTCGGTAAAATGGACCTTACGCGACAAAAAATTGTAGGTTATGTTTAGGAGAGTTTTTGGTTAATTTGTAAATATTTATGTAACGAAGTAACTTTCTTCATCAGTTTTTTAAAAAATTTAAAGTTTCTTGAATAAAAAAAAAAAAAAATTGAACAGAGAAAAGAAAAAAAAATGATGATAACTTTGCTTAATAATTTTTTTGAACTTACTATTGGCATCTTGAATTGTAGAATAACCAGCACTGCTGTATGCATTCAATTCCCAGGCAAAAGATATTAAAAGAAAAATGGCGAAAATAATTTTATTTGACATTTTGAGTATAATTGTTAATTGACTGTCCTATAAAGTTATAATAAATAAAATTTTGCTTTGCTCATTTATATATACCACCAATTTTATACATTTTATTTTTAAAAATATTCTATTGTTGCAATTAAAAAATTCACAGAAATTTGCATAATTATCTAATGAATAAATGAACCAAAAACAGCTTATATAATTTGTATTTAGGTAGATATTTAATGCAAATAGATTGTATAATAAAATTACAATATAATTTAGAAAAATCTTTCATTTGTATCAAATTAGAAGATAATAGAGAAGATTGACGAAAATTATCATAATCATGTAATACAAACATAGATAAAATAATTCTTGTTGAATTCTGATTCTGGATATTCTAAAAATTTTCTAAGCTATTATATCCTAATTATAATAAATTATTAGAACTAATAAATTATTAAAATTTTTTTAATAAATTAATTAGTAAAAAATTTTTTTCAATAATTAATTTAATAAGTTAATTTATTTTTTTAAAACAGGACAATTTGTGTAATTATTGTTTATATCCGAAAAATAAAAATATATACAAATAAAAAATTTTATTATAAATATAAAAATTTAATTTTAAAATATAAAAAATGTAGATGTTGCTTTATTATACTTAATACTTTTAATATTAGATTTCAAAAAAATAAGGAAATTTGTGTTATTAAATAAACAAAAAAAACTTTGCAAACAAAGTATAACGAAAAATGGATGTTTAATAGAAATTTTTTTAAATAAAAGTTTTATAAAGTATAATTTCTGAAAGAGATTGAAATTGATAAAAAATTGAGATAAAATAAGCGAGAAAAATATTATAAAAAATGATGAAATATTATTTCAGTATTTGGATAGGTGGATGAATTTCTGCTTTTTTTCATTTGTAAATTATTTTATTGTTTAGCATTTAAACACTAAAATTTGAAGTACAAACTGGAAAAAATATTCAATATATATATATATTTATTTTTTATATTATATATATATTAAAATTTTAAAATTCATAAGCAAATTCTGAGAATAAAATTCTTTGCAGAAATTCACTTATGTTAAAAATTTTTTTTAAAATCTCTTCAAAATTTCAACTACTTTTAAAAATATATTTTCAATTTTATTAAAAAAATTTTTTTTTTTAAATAAAAATAGAGAAAAACTACGAAAAGGTTTGAAGCATTTTTCTGAATACGAATGAATTTTTTAAAGAATATTAAATTTTAGCATTCTTTTTAATCCACTTAATATATTTTGCGACGTGAGTATAAACTCCGGGATAATTTTTATTACCACAACCCTCACCCCAGGAGACAATTCCATAAAGTTTTCTATTTGCCACCATTGGTCCACCAGAATCATTGATACATGCGTCCTTGCCTCCAAATTTCAAATCACCAGCACAAATCATATTTTTAGTGACAAGACGCTTTTTTTGTTTATAATTTGTTTCACATTCCTTATGATTAACAATCGTAACTGAAACTTTTTTCAAACTTTCAGAATCATTTACGCCGCCTGCAATTTTGCAGTTTTTCTCCTAAAAAAAACAATATAATAAAAATTGTATTGTTAAAAAACGCTAAAGTAAATTATACTATTTTATAGAGTTTTTTTTTTATTTTATTTTATTTTTTTTTATATTCTATTCTATTATTTTATTATTTTATTATTATTAATTTATTATTTTATATTCATGCTTAGCCTTTTATTGACACAGCTATATTTTGCAACGCCATTGACACACTAGCGATTTTGTAATTTGACTTTAAAATTAAAATAAATTAAATTAACAAAAAATAAAATTAAATAAAATTAACCTTAAAAACTTTGACTTTCATTTTCACTCTGACTTTGATTTTGAAAGTCGAAGTAAAAGACAGAATGAAAATGAAAGTCAAAGTCAAATTAAAATTACAAGGTCAAAATGACCTAGTGTGTTAATAGAAGGTTAAAAATACCTCTGTGCATCCCCAACCGGAAACTGTCACTTCTAAACCAGAGGGGGGCTCAAAAGTTGCCTCTGGAAGCTCTACAGCATTAATGAATTCACCGAATTTAAATTCGCCCTGAATCTGATGAAAAAAATTAATTTCATAATAAATTACTTTATTGACAAGAAATTTTTTCTTAAATCATTTTATTGGTAGTAAAACTTCTTAAATCATTACTTTATTGTTTTTCAATATCAAAGAGATCAAAAAATAATAATAAATAAATTTCTTGAAACAGAAAAAATTCATTCAAACCTATAAAATTTTTAAAATAATTTATTGTAAAATGTTTGCTTTTAATATATTTTTAAAAATCTTGTTTTTGTAATTCTTTCTCTTTTTATACAAAAAAATTTATTTTTTCCTTACCTCAAGTAATGCAATATCATTATCGGCTGAAGTTGTTTTATATGATGAATGAATAATAACTGTAAGTATTTTGTAACAGTTTCCATTCTTTTTAAATTCACTGCCAGCGCCAACACTTAAGTAGTTTTTATTAAGACCTCTGCAAAAAATTTTTTAATTTTTTAATTTTTTAATTTGTTAAAATAATTCAATTCTTGAAAGAATTTAAACAAAATGTTTTTAAATAATTTGATTTTGTTCGAAAAATGTTATGAAAATTGTATTTTAAGTCCTGTAAAAATTTGATTATTTATAAAAATAATTAAATTTCTACGACGAATTTTATTAAAATAATTATCAATATAATTGAATTTATCTTAAGTATTTTATTATTTATGAAAGTAATTGAATTCCAGCGAAGAATTTTATTATTTATGAAAATAATGGAATAATTGCAAAAAATTTTATTGAAGTTTTTTGGAAAATTTTGTTAGTATAGTAGATATTGCGAAAATAATTGAATTTCAGCGAAAATTTTCATTATTTGGGAAAATAATTGAATCTAAAAAATGGATCCAAACAGTAGCAAATTCATTTCTAAAAAAAATATTTTTATATATAACGAAAGGGCATGTCCCGTTTATAATGGTAAATAAATAAATAAATAAATAAATAAATAAACAAATAAATAAATAAATAAATAAATAAATAATGCCAAATTGTTATTCTTTAAGAAAATAAAAAAAAAATTTGTCAATTCTTTTTTTGACTGTAAACTTTTTTTATTTTTAATCAGAGATAATAAAATCTAATAAAGAATTTTTGCTTTATAAAAATAAAACTCGTTGACCTTCGTACTCGAAATAACGATAAAAATATTATTTTTTTCGTAAAATTATAACTGAAATTTTTTTTTTCATAAAAAACATTTTCTTAAACAAAAAATAATTTTTTCTATATTTTATAAAATTCATACTTTATTGAAAGACAATGAGCAGCTGTAATAGACCATTTTATGTGAATAATTGAAGCACCACATATAAAGTCATTCGAATACCATAGAGAAAGTTGATATGGTACATCTTTAATTTTTGCATCTTGTCCACCGACAATTCGGCCACTTAATTGAGGAAGTTGAAATGACAGATCGAAGCCTAAAATTAATATTAAAATTAGTAATTAATAATACTAATAATTTATATTTATTTCTTTTAATTTATTTATTTATATTTATTAAAATTAATAATTAATATTAAATAAATTAATATTCAAAAAGCGCTAAAATGTTCAGTAAGAAAAAAAAATTTTAATTAGTGCACTGAGGAAATATTATATAAATAAATAAAGAAATAATTTTAAAATAATTTAGAATTAACAGTTAAATAAAAAATAAAAAGGGTAAACAAAAAAAATATTCATTAACTTAAGAATTAATTTAAAAACAAATATTTACTTACCAATAATTGCAAACACTAATATCAGTAAAGGAAATTTAATCATTTCAATAACTTTAATATTTTTAAAAATAATTTTTCTTTCTTTTTAGAAATTAGAGGCAAGACAAAATGCACATCACTAAGTAGCATTTGATATACTCTGATTTTGATAATGGTCTTATCAGATTTATATATAGTAATTTGAAGTTAGAATCATTTTCTTAAACAAAAATAAACAGTAGCGTTTCTAAAACAACTGTCACCCTTGTTGAAATAAATAAATTTTTCGTGAAAAATATTTAAATAATAATTCTAAATGAATTTGGAACTAGTATCTTATAAATTTATCTTTAGAAAATTAATTCTTCTAAAACTTTCATCAAACAATAATCGATTAGTACCAAAACGAAGAATAACGAAGAATAATTCTTTCCCTAAGTTTTATCTTATTACGAAAAAAGGTTACCATAAATATTTGAGAACGTTTTTTATGGATTAAAGAATTTGATATTTTCAACATTTACACTTGTTTGAATTCAAATGGTCATAAGTTAGTACCAAAATGAAGCTTGACTCTTTCCCTAACTTTTATCTCATTACGAGTATAGGCTAGTATAAATATTTGAGAACGTTTTTTATGATTTTAGAAATTCGATATTTTCAACAAGTAAACTTGTTTGAATTCAAATGGCCATAAGTTTTCTGGTATTCAAGATATCAAGTTCCGGTTGGTACCAAAATGAAGCTTGACTCTTTCCTTAACTTTTATCTCATTACGAGTGTAAGCTAGGACAAATATTTGAGAACGTTTTTTATGATTTTAGAAATTCGATATTTTCAACAAGTAAACTTGTTTGAATTCAAATAGCCATAAGTTTTCTAAATAAGGACTATCCGCCATCTGTGAAAAATTTAATGAAACTTGTTGAGAATAAGAATACTTAGAAACAAGTTACCATCTCTCACGGTAACTTGTCGACGTTACCTCTTAAGATAACAAATTTACAGATTTCTACTGTAGTACAGCAAGTGTACTATACAGATTTCTACTGTCTCAATAAACGGTAATGTAAATAAAGTTATTGAAAAATTCTTTTTCTCGTTTATATTTTTAACAGTTTTTTCAACAATAAAATACGGAATTTATTTTATTTATTTTTTATCATTAAAAATATTTTTAAAAACGAAATCATATTGTTAACGATCGGTAAGTATGTTCTCTATTTTTTTCAGAAAACTCGGTAGGTTGTGACCTCTGGTGATATTTTTACTAAAATGAAATCGTTGAAGAAAGATATTAAAGTAAAATGGAAATATAATTCATTCAAATAAAAACAAGAATTGTAAAACCTTCTTGGTTATGAAATTTTATCGGTATGAAATAAACTGTTATTTTGCCTTTGATTTTTTTCCAGACAACATGCCAGTTATCAAAAAATTAAGGGGAATTACTAATTTTTATTAGCAGTACAGTAAAGCACAAGTTTGTACTTCTTCTAATTTATAGTAAGTCTACAATAATTTTTTTTGATCTAGAATTTTCAAAAAAAAAAACTAATTATGAATAATGAATTATATTTTTATACAGTAGCAAAAAAAGCATTAAATATAATGTAGTAATCAAGATTTGGTACCTCAACAAAGCTCACTTCATGAATTCTTAAATGACATATACATATATAGAAACGATAAGAGAAAAAAATTATTTGATTGATGGTAAAGTTAAAAATATCTCATGTAATTTTCACTTCATAATTTCGGCATTAATATCAGCTTCCCTCTTGTCCTGAGTAAGCGTAGCTTATAATGCCGGCGTACGGTCTCACATCAACTGATTGATGAGAGTATATAGTCGACGCTCTCGACCCTTTTATATATATTTTCTTACGCTAAACTCTACTAGTATAACACACACATCATAATCCGTTATGTTTGCAATAAAAAGGGTCCAAATTTTTCTTATTGACATATATATATATATATGTCAATAAGAAATATACTTCAAAAAAATTGTATGCTCTACTTGGATATGCGGGGAATATGACACAATCGAATGTCAATACTATAGTCATTATAGTGTAGACGTACCATAATTTTAAAGGTGAGTTCAGAATATGTTAATTTCTGACACTCGGCAAGGCCACAAGTCATTTAAGAAGAAGAAGAAGTACCTAAGAAATTGAAAATTTGATGCTATGTTTGTGATATTTTTGGAATGAAAAATGAAAATATTTTTTGAAAATAATTGAATCGTTTCAAAGAATTTGATTATAATTTTTGAGAATAGTTTTTTGATTTCTATAGTATTAGTGAACTTAAAGTAGTGGGCAAGAAAATAAGACTTATTTTTCGCAGTGCATTGTTATGAATATTTTTTTCACTGTTTGTATATGGTATAAATAGCGCAAATATTTGATAAAGGAAATGCTGGTCATTCAATTATGAGGTGAGCATCAATACTCATTAATGTTTGTCACATCTACGATCAATGGATTGCGATGGAACAAAGATCTCTGATTGGCATCTCTCTCTCTCTCTCCAAATTATAACGGATGATCGGTCAGTGAGCGTGCAAGACTATTATTTTCGGAGCAGGATGATGCTGACGTTGTGTTGCACTGGTGCATAATCTTGTTGGTATTGAGATTCCATTTGAAAGCAACACAAACATATATTCAGATTCTGGCCATATAATGGCTAAAGTCCATTGAACATATATAGTATAGACCATACTATATGTACAACGCATCAATGTTTGTCAGGTAACAAGAAAAAGCAGCGGGATATCCAACTAACTGGCATAACAGAAGCGCTTTCAATGAAAAACAAGATGTAACAAATATACCAGAAATGATGATCGCCAACATTTTCACTGATCCTTTCTTAATTCTTCCCACATAGCACAATAGTATGAGGTAAGGTTATGTTGAGTACTAATCGTAAGGCACATAAGGTTACACAATATTGCTGCGGTAGACCTGAGGTGAACTAAAAACTTCCGCCATGGAGGTAAGGTTACATGTTAGGGTGTGGTGAGTATATATGATAAGGCCATGGTAACCTTACACGTTAAGGTTAAGGTAACCTTACACGTTAAGGTTGATGTAACCTTACACGTTAAGGTTGAGGTAACGTTACATGTTAAGGTTGAGGTAAGGTTACATGTCAAGGTTGAGGTAAGGTAATTATTAAGTTGTAAGGTTGAGGTAAGGTTGTGATAAATTTACCAGTTATGGAAAATATTGAAAAAATAATTAATAAATAAATATTCAATTAAAAAGTTAGTTTGTTGCTCTTCTCTATTTTGGAAACCTGACATGAAGCAGAAAATTTTAAAAACAAATTTGGGGGGACTGGGATTTGAACCCGGGATCGACGCGCATAAACCTATCATTCTAACTAACTGAGCTAAGTAGAGAACTGGTAGAAGGAAAATTAATATTGCCTTTAAGGAGTTAATCATCTTCTTGGTTCACCTTAAAGGCAACATTAATTTTCCTTCTGCCAGTTCTCTACTTAGCTCAGTTAGTTAGAATGATAGGTTTATGCGCGTCGATCCCGGGTTCGAATCCCAGTCCCCCCAAATTTGTTTTCAAAATTTTCTGCTTTATGTCAGGTTTCCAAAATAGAGAAGAGCAACAAACTTAACTTTCTAATTTAATATTTATTTATTATATTATTAATTATTTTTTCAATATTTTCCATAACTGGTAAGCTTATCACAACCTTACCTTAACCTTACAACTTATTAATTACCTTACCTCAACCTTGACATGTAACCTTACCTCAACCTTAACATGTAACGTTACCTCAACCTTAACGTGTAAGGTTACATCAACCTTAACGTGTAAGGTTACCTTAACCTTAACGTGTAAGGTTACCATGGCCTTATCATATATACTCACCACACCCTAACATGTAACCTTACCTCCATGGCGGAAGTTTTTAGTTCACCTCAGGTCTACCGCAGCAATATTGTGTAACCTTATGTGCCTTACGATTAGTACTCAACATAACCTTACCTCATACTATGGTGCTATGTGGGTTAATGTGTTTCTTTTTTTCTATTCTGATATTTCTTTCATCATTTTAATAACTTTTCAATTATTATTTTCTAAAATGTATCAAATTCTTCTTCAATTCAATTAGCAATTATTTGTCATTGATGTCAAGAAGAATTTTATACATTTTAGAAAATCAGGGAAAAGTTAGGAGAATAAAAAATTAAATTTTCTTCATTTCTTCACCTTTTATTCAGGGTTCCGAATAAGAGAAGGTGAAGAAATAGAAACTATTTGCAATTTTAGCCTTTTTGGGGTTAATCTCTGCGCCTTTAATAATCCTCCATTTAGTATTACTCCTCATTTTCCGCGGAGCAAACGCGCGGCTTCTCTTTTGGATGATCTCGCTTTCGCGCCGCAAGTGCACCACTATAATGCTTAAAGAGCAGATGAGGGATTTCATAATGCGAGATGTGAATATACATATATAGGCGGTACGTTGACGAGCGCATTGTGTAGCCGGGCAAGTAACGAGCTACACGAGTCACGCTGCGTCACGTTTATCCCAAATGCCACCCTCACTTTTGCTCATTCCTCTTTTCGCCGTTCTGTGCCATTCTGTACCATTCTGTACCATTCTGTCCCATTCTGCCATCAGAGAACAAACTAAATTTATGCCAGCGATTCGGGAATAATGCCGCACGGAATAATTGACTAAAGCTGCCGCTGTATTTATAACCAATGTGTATTTACGCGATTGCCAATGTTGTACGCGAGGATGACGCACTGTGACGTAACGACTCATCATGAGTGTATATATAATAGCACCTAATAACAGGGTTCCACTTGTGATTCTTCATCAAGGGGGTTGACACCCCACAGTGTGGGGCAATTCGTCACGGCCAGCTGTGGCGCCTCGACTTTACAAATTCGTACAAGAACATTGGGGTTACTTCCGCTTTCAATTCGATCTAATGCTTGATTTATCTGCTTTAGTCAAGTGCCATAATTTCAAAACGCGATGAGTTGTCGCTTTTCATTTTAATTTCAAGCTTCGCACTCGTTGAGTATGACAAAAAAGTGGCAAACAGTATAGCTTTAAGCTTTTTAATCATCTAGAGTCTCAATACTTAAGCGTATACAGAGCTAACGCTTTCCA